GACGCTGCTAGAGACTCTCTTCCTTCTGAGAGAACGACTATGTTCGCTTACTCAATTAGGGCTAGTTCACTTATGATGTTTATCGGGTAGAGATTCCTCATTCAAGTATCAAGACTGTTCTTCTTGGGGTTGTTCAAATTTTTTGTAAGCTGAAAAAAGCAATTTCAGAAATGTTTATGTGTGCGTAGCAATTTCTAGATTCCCAACTAGTGGTTTTTAACAATCGCATGTATCTGTCTTGTCCATATAAGTACAATCAATTACTATTATTTTTGAAGTACAAAATCTCTTAAAAGCAGAGCTCGAAGTCTACTCGAGATTTTCATCGATTTTGTAAGGTGGAGTCGACTCGACTTCGAGCCCTACCTGAAAGTGAAAGAATGAAGCAGAATGACTGTTGATTTACAAGTCAAATTGATTTAACTTGTGCCGGTAATAACAGACTGACTTTTAATTCTAAACAGAAGCACATTTAAGAATTGGAGAAGCTTGTGGTTGAATGTAAAGACCAATATTCCGATATTTGGATATGCATTTATTGGAGGAAGGGATGTAAAAATCTCAAACAAGGGAATGCTGGCATTGTTATTCTTCTCAAGGGACTTCAAGACTTCAACCTCGTTCATTTAATCCTAAACCAATGCAACTTTAATGGTTCAACTTAAAGAATTGTCTAAAATGAAGCAATTACTAACACAAAACTGTTTTATTAAGGAAGAAAAGGACGTTAATAATTATGACTTATGAACAAAAGATTACCAAATATAATAAATTAAGTTTTATTGCAAATTTGAGCATAAAATTTTAATCATATTTTAATTTTTGCTTCTATAAGCATTAACTGTCGTTTGACCTAGAGCATTTTCATGCTTGTACTCTTTAACCCTTTATAAATAAAACATAAATTTATGATCATTAAATATTATTTCAATTTTTCTCATAACAATAAATTTATTTATTTTCTCTCTTTCAACAAAAAAATCACATCCATATTTTAAGCTTTCTGCTTCTTAGTAGGGATGAAAATGAAAACACAGAAAAGTCATGAATTTAAGAGCTTTTTAGCTTCCTTCACGAGACACAAATTTTATTGTATTTGATTTATTTTTATTGTAGCCTTTATAAATATAATCCATTAATAGTTTTTGACATAAGAAGGGGAACTTTGTGAACTATGGGATGTAATTTCGTGTATAAGATCTTATATGAATTTTTTTCAACCCTTCTCACAAACAAAAAATAGAAAGTATAACAGAACTAGAGTCATAAAACACACACTGGAGCATTCTCCATATTTATATAGTGATTGAATTGAAATCACGTAAAAATATTTTTTTATAATACTCAGCTGGTGATTTTAGCAAAAAGCTCTTTTGATCTGGAAATACTTTTTTTGTGTGAGTTCCTTTGTATGCGAACGAGTGAGTGAATGTGTCATAAATGACTCTGCTTCTCAATAATATTATACAGTTTTTTTTTTTTGGAATCTAGCATTACGTGACTGCCTCAGGTGTGAGCCAAAAATTTATTTCTCGTGACACTAAGGCTGCTTTATGGCTATAATTTTCCTTCTTTTCTTCTTCACACACTTCTTTTATGTACATTTACAATGAATAACTGTACCATCAACAAAGGAAACCCCAATCAAATCAAAATGGTTAGAAGGTGCGAATACTCAAATAAAAAACACATGACAAAGAAAGGGATCCTGAGCAAAATGGAGCACTTGTTTAACTGCTTGCTCCTTATTTGGAACGTTGTTTGAGGATTTTGATTGCATTTTGTCTTTAATAGGGGATTTAGATGGAGTTTAATATTGTCTTAAGTGAGCTGAATTGGCTCGATAACGGAATGGTTTAGTACTTCGGTACCTACTTTCTGCAATACCGACACAGCGATCAAGGGTTCGAGACTGGGTATGAGGAATTTTTCACAAGGTCTTTTTCGAATCATATGTACTCGAAATGAGGCTCACAGTCTTCCAGAAATGTGATAAAAGGAGTGGTTCGGATCCCACTATAAATTGTAGGTCTAGGTTTGAGTGCAGTGGTTTAGCACATCCTCACTCGTTAAAATTTCATTAGCTGCGAAACGCCCTAGCGCACATCTGGAACACTATTAATTAGGGTTCGGAAATCTACAGTTATTATCAGTTAGTAACACTTATCTACAGTTATCTACAATTTGTAACTGTAGATAAGTAACTGTAGATAATTTTTTCAAAGTGGAAAAAAACGTTATTAATTTACTGAAAAAAGAGTTGAAATGCTAAAATCAGGACTGCAACAGCATGTAACAGTTCAAATAAAGTGACATTAGGTTTCATTCAGTATTTTAAAAGCGTTTGTGTGGTGATTTAATTGAAAATTAAGAAATTTTCGCAAATTTTTTTTGTTTACAAACATGTGAACAATATTTGAATTTCATATAACCGTTACAAATATTCGATAAACAAAAAGTTGATTTTTAATAGCTAATGTAGACATATGAGCTCTCTTAATGTATAATAAGTGTATTCTATATATAAATTTATTAAAAAAGTCTCCAAAAATTGTTTGTTTACAAAACTTTGCAAATTTTTTTAACGGATTTTCTTCATTCAAAGAAATTATCTACAGTTTACTAACTGTTGATAACTGTAGATTTTGTGTAGATAATCTAAAAGTTGATAACTGTAGATAATCAGTTAGTGGTTTTCCGAACCCTACTATTAATCTGAATAGGTAAAGGTTTTTTTGATATTGTCTGATGCAATATACAGTTGTAGCATTATGTCCCTAAACAATTGGAGGTTAGGAGTTAATCTTTCCTACCGAAAGTCATCATCGAGGATTAAATAACATAACAATTCATCAAAGTGGAAAGACAACATGAATGGACATGATTTTTAACTCGTGGTTTACGGTATGCAAATCCTAAAGTTATATACTTCCAGTTTTAACCTAACCTCTGTATTAGAGAAGCCTTACTCTTAAAAATGATGGCTGAATAGTGAAATTCAACTCATCACATACATAAATCTTAAAAGCCATCTAGCGACAGAATAATCCGATTTTATATTTGTGAAACTGATAAAAGGAAGTTACAAAACATCATCTTTTGATGGACAACATAAAATAAATTATTTTTTATCTCGAACCTACAAAAGTACTCAAAAAAGCTAAATCGCTGATCCTTGAAACTTAGTTTGTCATTTTTCAATCAACTTATTCCTTCAAAACATGACCATATTGAATTATTGATGATTAACTTCCTATATATTTCCAGAAATTTTCCGATTCCAAAATTAATGATGCGCGGTATCCATTCCATCTAGATGATTTACTTCCATATTTTTCTCCTTAATAATAAAATTTTTCTCTCGCTCATTCAAAAAATCTTTGTCGTTAAGGAAGAAAAAAAAAGTAATTTTTTCATCTCGATAAAATAAAATATGGGTAAGATGGAGCAGAAATGGAATCAATCTATTAAATTAAATATAGATTTTGCATGCATAACACATCTGTTGAAGGAGAAGCAGGGAAATTAATTGATTGCTTCATTGCATTCAAATTGAATTTAGTCTTGCAAGGATGTTATTAATCGAAAAGGATATAAAGGGTGATTCATAAATGATGTCCAATTTTGAGCAAGGAGAAAGCGTGCTAAACTGATTAAAAATGATCGAAATGTAAATTATTATTTCTACACTCTAACATTATTGGTTCTTCATCAAATAATTCAGCGAGTAATGTGATTTTATAAAAAATTGGAAATTGTGAAATTAATCTGTTAAATTAGCGTCTTTATTAACGACGCTCAAGAACTTTACTCATGAAGCTTATAAATGATATAAGTTGATAATTAGTTGAGTGGTGTGGGTCCTTTCCTACATTTTTTAATTAACATAACAAGTGATCGTTTTCAATTCTGGGATACAAGATTGTGGTCAAGAATTTTAATGAACCAATTATTGCATAAACAATAGAACTCATTATATTGCTTTTTGTGTCTAAGTCTATTGTTCGCAAGCTTAATTCTGTTTTTTCAATAAGTGAGCTTTTGTCATAGTCATTGTTGCCTTTGCAGCAGTTAAGATACGATTAGTGACATCCTTAACAACTGACTAATTTTGTGGTGTTTTTCAAATAGTTTAAGTATGTTTCTGTAGAAAACACGAGAAAAAATAAAATTTTTATTCTTCCTGTATCTGATAGGGCTGGTCAAACTATGACAAGTTTCCCATACTCTTGCAGTGCCCTGGATAAATTCTCAACTCAAAATTTTATTTTATCTTATAGCCAGTACTTTGATCTTTCCAACAATACCAAATTTATAATATATAAGTGTGGTTCTTTACACATCTCGAATTTTGAGTAATTTTTCAGTTTTTTCAACATTATTCAGAATTATTGTACTCATATATGACATATTATATATCGTTGGAAAGATAATTTAAACAGCTTAACATAAAAGGTAATACAAATACTTTTTGTTAAGCATATAGTGTATTTAAAGTCATTTATATATCATTGAAAATGGAAAATGATGACATTTCAAATAAAAATGGTCCAAGTCCATGCCAAAAACTCAAATTGATTTTAAAATATCAAAAACACTATTTTCTAACATTTCTGAAAGTTTTATCAAGTTTGGACATGATTTTGATGAGATATTTCAAATGGTTCAAAGTTGAAAATTTGACGGATTTTTTTCCAGGTTTTCAAAGTTTTAGAAAGATACAAGTGAGAGCTATATAAAACAGTCAAAACTTGTCTCTCCACTCACTTGAAATATGCAGTTATAGTCAATTGAAGTCAAAACATAGTAAAAAACCGTACATTTTTTGAAAAAATCTAAATTTTTTGATGCATAAAAATAATTTTAAACCTTTAAAGGGATATTTTTCTTGTAGATCTAGTAAAGAACTACAATTTTATGAAAAAAGAAAAACATTCAAGTGCATCAGAAATCCACATACTCAAAAAGAATGTGCCGTACTACTAACATTTGAAGTTTCTTCAATTTTTAAGCACTTTCCATGAAATAAAACGTGTGTGACTGATATTTATATTAAAGCTTCGGCTTATATCTTTCATTTAAAAAAGTTTCAAGAAAAATGGTTGAGACAAGAAAAAGTTCTGACAAATTGAAAATATTAACTATCGAAGGTCATCAAAATACTTTTCGGGCTATATCTCCAGCACTGCTGCACTTTGGGCCAAAATTAAAAAAAATTCTGATTCCTTGGATAAAGACGTTTCAAATAAGCCAATAAAATAATTTTTGGAAAAAAATCGATTTTATCCCATATTGCAATAGTATTTATGAAAAGTTTAAATTATGTCAACAGATTTAACTAAGTTATTGTCTTTTTTCAGCCTTTCATTCTCAGAGAAAGTTGACAACATTTTTGAAATGGCACAAAAAGCAGGTCTTCAACTCTTGAAAATTAAACCCTAATTTTTATCAATCCGATTTGTATATAACGAGAAGGCTTTGCAATAGCAGTTGATAGAAATATAAAAAAGCAAGTTACAAAAAAGAAAACATAACATTAAGTGAGCATAATGATTATTGATGTAAATCGAAGTAATTGTAATTCTTTTAAGTTCTTTTAAAATTCAAACCTTTAACGACCAAAAGTTATTTGAAATTTATGTTCTAAAAGTTTAGTACAAAGTGCAAAAATAATGTGAGAGAAAATTACAGTGTGAGTAAAAGCGAGTAAAAATAAATTATTATAAATGCAAATACGTGGTTTGAGGATTAAAAACAGTGAAATCAAGATATATTTGTAAGTTCCTTTAAATACAAATTGACAAAATCTGACAATTTACGAGAAATAATTAAAATAATACGTTTTTAAAAACATTGACTCGTCTCAAAAATATTAAAAGTATTTTCATAGAAAAAAAACAAGCGCGAGTCGACTCGAGCTCTGCTTACAAATCAAAGTTGTTGTAAGGCTTTCGATAACTTTCCACGCTTGCAACATAAATAAATTTGATAATAATTCATTTACACAACATTCCATTCCATTACAGGAGCAATAATTTTTGAGTCTTATGAACCTTACGATCATATATGTTATGATGACTGTCACATTCGATATAGTTTTGGATATGAGGTTAAGCTATAAAAATAAGCATTTTTTACACCTGCTTGCACACAGCACATTGATACAAGTATCTTTTGTAACTACACACAAGAGTCATTTACTTTTCTCCAATCACCCACACTTGCGGCAACTCACCTTTTCTTTTCATGCGATGTGATTTTATAAAAAATAATGAAGAAAGAAAAGGTGAGAAGTATCGTAAATGTGTGAAAATATTTGCAGTAGTTTGTTACTAAGGTACACAGAAATAACATGAGCATGAGATTTTTATTATGCATTACTTCCAATAGAATGCCAATTATCAATTCTCTCACTAATTAACCATGGCACATAAGACTGAGGGTCATCCTTTAATCCAGGCTTAAAAGCAACCGTAATGCCTCCATTAATTAGTGCATGAAGAACACCCATGCCATTAGATATTATCGTTGAGTTACAAGTAGACATTAAAATAAAATCAAATGTGTCTATAGATTTTCCAGTTAGATGGACATCAACTGCTGTTGTGTTTTTAAGGAATACCTCACGACAAAATATAAGCTTAGGTTGATCGCAAATAACGACAAAAATGTTCCTTTTTGTAGAATTTTTCTGATGAAAGTTCATGGCTTTTGTATAATATTCCGGTGGCAACTGTCGGAACCGAGGAGGAAATTAGATAGAAACATTAAGGAAATGTAGGCTATTGGTAAAATTGACTTGCCTTATCATTGCTCCTTATATAGACACCGATAAAATTGAAATTATTGTCATCATGCGATCCTCGAATACGGGAAACTGTTTTTGCTATTTCCAACTCCTGATGCACTTTTCTCACGATATTTTCGTTCATTCTTTTTCAATTTTATTTTGTGTTTATTTGAGAGGAAGAAAAAAAACGTGAAAAATTAAATGGCGTGAAGAAATCCCTAGTGTATTTTTATCATATCTAGCTCCACAGATGGAAAACATGCCAACACAGAGGCTACAGATGGAAAGGATACGTTCGAATATTTTGTGATGCTCTTATAAGTGGGGTGAGTAATAGTTGTTCTTGATTGATTTTTGAGATTTTTCTCTAAAGGATTATATCGATATTCGGGATCCTAGATTTTAATAGAAATTCTAGAGCTGATTTCAAGGGAAAATTGTAATATTGAAAAGGGTTATTAATGATTCTACAGGATATCTAAGACTAATTGAAAGCTGTTTTGACCAAATTTTAACCTAATAAAAAGCTTAATCTTGCCCAGAAATTTGTCTTGCCATAAAAGAACTTTATGAAATTATCTTACACATCTCTTTGAAATGCTGCCTCGGTTAATGACTTAAATTTGGATATTTCGTATTTTATTAGAAGCAAAGTTCAAGCTATGATATGGTTCAATTGATTAATGATAAAGGTTTTTAATGTAGTTAACACAATTTAAATAAATAACGACCCACTTCTCTCATGAAAAACAAGTGACGAAATACCCGAACGCAACCTTGAAGGAATATTGTTAAATGGTGCAAGAAATTTTTTCGATCGATTGTCTAATAAGCTTAACTAAATTAAGATAAAAAAAAAGTTCTCCCTTATTTTCTTCATACCTTAAAAAAGGCCTCTTTGACTGAAAACGCATTGAAATTTCTTTCCATCGTTTTGCTTTCGGATCCAATAAAAATGGGGTGCTGGTGGCAATTTTGTTCAATTCAATGGGCGAGATATTTCCGATAATTTTTGCGTACTTTAAATTATAGCATGATGACGGAAAATTGGTAATTGTTTCAAGCGAGAGACTGGAATAAGAGAAAGAGATAGAGAATAATTTATAGATATGAAAACTTCTAAAATGCCATTTGTACCCGTCAAATATTTGATTCAAGTGTGAAATCATTCGTTCCGTATAAACAGCCTTTAAAAATAACCTTTTCTCATCATCACACTGCTGTGTCAGTTGCTCTAAAGCGTCTAACGAGAAAAATTGCCACAAAACCTCAGGAAAATTTTCTTCATCCGGTCCGGGAAGTGCACTTATTAAAAATTCACCCGAACGACATTTCATATTGTCATCCTCATTATCATCACTAAAAGTCACTCCTAATTGATCCTTGAATAATTCTATTGTCTCATTTCCCCATAAAATTTCATAATCATCATCACTATTAATGCTAATTTTATGCTGAGCGCTTTTTATGCTCGGACATGACTTTTCAAAAATATTTAAAATGTATTTATGAAGCTTCCCGGTTCTTCCATTCGTTGGAATTTGATTGAGGAGAATTAAAAATATAAAAATAGTCAAAATAAGTGAAGCTAGTATACAAAAACGAGAATTTAATTGCATCAATCTGGTGAATTTTTTCGTCATATTTATGGCACTGCCTCTAGTTTTCAGTCTCTCATATGACGTCATATTTTTTTAAAAATATTCTGCAGCTTTTTATTTTATCGACAGCAGCAGCAGTTTTTAATGCAATTACACTTTTATGCACATCCATTCACTGTCAACTGCATAAATGAAACTAATTTAATGATGATAATTTACATCAAGCAGGCCTTATCACGACAGTATTTGTATATAGCTGGCAGAGAACATTCTTACTAACTATAAACGAATAAATTTCGTTCTTCTTTTTTTTTATTGTGATAAAAAGATTGTTTTTTATACAATTGTGTGTCGATGTTGTTTGCTTGCTTTATATTGTTAAAAATCGTCGTGTTTTATTGTACTATAATTTGGTAACATGCTTATTTTTTCATTCACACACTACATACTTAATTCTGTCAAAAAAAATACTTGAGGTCAGGGGTGTATTTAGAGAGGCAGGTGGTCTACACCTCGAAAACATTGATTCCAAATTTTCTACTTTATTTGCATTGCTTCAGCACTTTACATCAATTTTTTCTGTTGAATATTGAAGCCAACATGCTGTTATATAACTTTTCTTAATTTCGGTTGTGAGCTAAGTACTCGAAGTAAAAAGTGACTTAAGAAAATCAGAAAATTGGAATTATCAAGATTTGAATCGACGATCTTCAAACTACGACACCCAATTTGAGTTAAGCACAACTAAATTTAAACTGCATGATCTTCACCAATGAGCAATATGCTTGATTTTAAAGATAAATTTTGTTTAAACGTTGCAAATCCTAAAATCTTTCTCTTCCTCAAAGTTAATTAATTACAGAATTCTCAGCAAGCCTCAAAAACCCTTCAGTCCTAAAACGCGAACGTAATAAGAGAACGAAACTTTTTATGAATGTATTAAATGGATGTTTTTAAATCATGTATGGCACATTGAGATTTTTTCTTCTCCATAATTTACTTGCAACATGAAACACTCTTTATGATTAATCTGCTGAACTATGCAGAATAGCAACTTGCTGAATGAATTATGATGATACTCTACTCAAACACAAGATAACGAGTAGTTCAGACATTATTATTATTATGCTACCTCATTGAATCCAATTAATATTCAGTCGATATTTCATAGTCATCATAATTGACCACACTCAGAAAAGTCAGTCTTCTTTAAGAACTTTCACCAAGCAGTGATTGAAGGAAAATTAAAATTACCTTGGATGATGCTTTTTATGTCAAAAAAATGTGCGTAAATCCAACTGTATCTAATAAATAATTTGAGCTGAATTCGCTCAGTCACGTTCTCACGTTCTCATATTGACTGCTTTTATTGTAGAGATATTCTAGATCATTATTCTAACGCAAATTGATTATGACTGCTTGCGTCATTGTTTTAAATTTCAATAGAAATTATGATTTTTTACTGAATTTGAATTTTATTTAAATTTTAAATTTCAATTGTTCTAGCTTTTTAAAAGAGAGTCACACAGCTCCAATGCAAAATATTCCTACAAATAAGCTTAACCGGTCCTTTCCTTCCTTTAATGTCAATTGATTGACAATATTATCAACCACACTTTACATTCTCAAAAAATGATTATCAGACTACGTAAAAATCTAAAAATTAAGCAATAAAATAGAATAGACCAAAAAATGTCCTCGTTACCAAAAACATACCATCTAACAAGCTCTTCTACATTCTTATTCATTTCCTTTTTTTATTCATTCAGGGCACATCATTTAAATTTTCAATAGCTTTTCACCCCAAAAAACGATAAAAATAATTGCAAAAGTTTAATAATACATTATACTAAAATAACGATTCACGTTACATCCTTTTACTTATGTCAACATAATAGAAGCCATCAAGGTTCTAATAGAGGATAAGGGAAAAGTAGTAAGGAATAGTCGATGTGGAAACAGCTAGAAGACGCTTAAAATCGGTAATGATAAGCATAGACGTATTATTCAGTGAGTTGGGAAGACTTAGTGTTGTAGGGTGGAGTCATAATTATACTTGATTTTAAGCCACAAAATGGTCCTCTTTGATATCCATGCAGTTGAGACCAAACCCCTTCAATTTGCTAGGTTCTTTTTAAAAACTTCCAGGGGTTGACACGATTTCATCTTGATGAAAAATTTCTTCATTCTATTGTTAAGATGAAATTTTTGTATGAATTGATGAAAAATGATGAAATTTTCGGGTGAGCTCGGTTTGTATGAAAAATACCTCGAAAAAGCAATTTTTTCTTATTTGAGGTGAAAAATCTTTCGGAAAAGCCATTTTTCGACTCGATTTTCTAAGATGAGATGTGAAAAAGCGAATTTTCATAAATATTTTTGTAAAAAATGATTTTTTAAGGTAATTTGTATGAAATTATATACTTCACAAACCAAATTAATCGTGAAATTCTTAAAGATGAAAATAATGAAAGAAGATGATTTTTTTGTATGAATTGATGAAAAAATGATGAAAAGATGAAATCGTGTCAACCCCTGGAAAAACTTAAAATCTAAAATTTCTGTTATCTTACTTTGTAAACTATTGGTAGAAATGTAATGTACCTTGTAATGTCCCTAATCACAATTCGTGTATGCGAAACTACACCCAACACACGAACCGAGCTTTCTCTATAGAACAGGAAAACGGGAAAAGAGCTTCAAGAACTTGACTTAACGTGGGATTTAACCTAGAATTTTTGGTACGCTCTAGCACTAAGGTCACTGATGACAATTCACCACTTAAATACGAGATTTTTAAGGAATAAGTTCTGCATCAGAACCTTATGATATTAAAGATTTAAACCTTCTTAGATCAAATAAAGGATATCATGAAAGCTAGTTTCCATTAAGGAATAAGCCGCCTTGAAGCTATTTGACAGTTAATTTGTCTCCTTTACAATATAAAGTTACTTGACATGATGACTATTTTAGACAAGAAAGATGATCAGACAGTCATACAAAGAGAGAAGACATCAGTTCCTTTTTTCAATGGAAAAAAAATCGCCAGAAAAAAAATTGAATGTGACGAAAATCATCTCATAAAGAAAAAGGAGAACTACCTGTCGTAAGAATGAATGGATAGGTGTAGAGCCTTATAGGTGGCAAGAAAGAGAAGACAAAAAAAAATGAAAGGTATCACGTCTATGCAATAAAAGAAGATTCATGGCATTAAACGGTAGAAAGAAAATTGTGCAATCAACAAAGAAAAATTTTTACGATGTGCTCGTGGCATCTAGAAATTTTTACTTGCCGTAGATCCAATATAATATTATTTTTTTTTTTTGAAGAGTAACAATTTTTTCTCAATATAGAATTATGTTATTGCGAATTAAAGACGGATAGAGGATATCGATCCAAAATTAACCGTGTTGGAACATAAATTTTCAAGATTTATTCGATGCTCATTTATGTGAAACTTACATAGTTGACGATCTGTCGAAAGCACGTCTACGAGAAAAAAAAACAACAAGAAGATTTAATATGGAAATTTATGTGATTATGGGAAAAGCTTGGGAAAAGGAAAAGAAAACATATTGAAAAAAAAATGTTATTTGTTATCGAATGATTTTTTTATTATTTATTATGTAGGATTGTTATGATATTAAAAACATTTTTTATGTTATTTCTCAAATTCGAAATTTATTTATGTGTGCGTATAAAAAATTATGATATCTATTGAATGTTGGGATCGTAAAATATTCTCTTTTTTCCTTGTTATGCTGAGTCTAATTTAATTTCAAATAAGGAAAAATAAATAAAATTAAATTTGTCTGAAAATTTTCCATTATCGACATCTTTTTGGGATTCAACCATCAAAATCATACCCAATATGAAGAAAATTATTAATAGAATATGTGACTAGAGTTGGAAATCTAGCTCATTGTGATGAAAAGGTACTAATTGATTTATAATTTTGAATGTCAAAAGCTTTGAAATTTCAAATTTGATGAACAATGTTAGGGTCGCCTAAACTGACATCCAACATTTAGGAGGAAAAATCAAGCTTTTTTGATGGACATAATTTATGTAGGGGCCGTTCACTTATTACGTTCGCATTTTAGGGGGGAGGGGGGGTTTGAAAAATTGTAACAAAATGTAACATAGGGGGGGGGGTTGTCAAGAAGTATGTAACGTTCTAACTGTCGTCTGTCTTTTAAAAAAAAGTTCACGAAAAAAATTGTTTACAAAATCATACAAAAAACTTTTTTTTTAAATTTTTCATCTTTTTAATGATAAAATAAATTATGAACGTTTGGAGGGGGGGGGGGGGGGGGGGGTGAGTTGTAACATATTGTAACAAGGGGGGAGGGGGGGTGAAAAAAGTCGTTTTTTTGCGTAACGTAATAAGTGAACGGCCCCGTACAGCAATCAAAGTTTTCTCCAAACCACTGCATCATGAGATGAAATTTTTATTCTCTTGTTTTGTGGGTCGTCGACCATAAGTCTTTTCAATTTGCTTTTCAATTTCACAATATTTAAAAAGCTAACGTAGTAAATTAACAAACTATTAGGCTGCATTTTTTCACTGTGTCGAGTCAGTCTTCTTTATTTCCTTCTCCTAGGATGTCAATTCTTAAACAGTTTTTAAGGTTGATTGTCAATACGTTTGTAGTGAGTTGTGTCCATAAAAGGCAGAGAATACTGAGATTGCTCATCTGTTGCATATAATAACGAGTGCATAAAACGATAAAGCTTTTCAAAAAAACTTGTATCCAGCATCCTTGTATTGTAATCCAGCAAATATAATTAACATAAATTTTCAGCATGAAATAATAAATTTTGATGAGTTTTACTTGAGCATAGCCAAATTTAGGAAAGTTCCAGGATGAAGTTTGTCGAAGATCATCGATTTTCGTGTTATCAGGCTCCAATACATCTAAAAGTCGACATACATTTCTTTATACACAGATTGCACAGTTTTTAGGAATCACTTTAAATTGTTACAATTAAATCCTTTCAAAAGTTTTGAATGATATTGAAGATTGCCATAAGTAGTTAATTTTAATAGCTTCATATTTTTGTAATCAACGTTGATCACTTCGAATAACTTCTTAGATTATATTCATAGTTGTCATTAAGTTTTGCACATGTTCGAAAGAATTTCCAACTCTATTCACTCAAATAAATCACTGGAAAATCAATTTTTATACAAATGTCTTTGTCAAACGAAAAAATTTCAATATTCTATGCCAAATTTTAACTTCTTTTTTTATAATAATTTTGGATAAACTTTTTGGGACATCGTTTAATGTTTTGTTTGTTACTTTTTCTTATGTCTTCTTATTAAAATAAATGTATCTGATGATCATAAATCCTTAAATTCTAATTTTAAAGGAGGAAAACATCTCCATTTATACCAAGTATCCTAAGCATTTTGTTTCATCGTCATTGTCTTCTTCATCAACATAATTTCTCATTGTTATGAAGCAATTCATGTCACATTTAATGTTAGAGATGAAATATTTATCACAAAAATTCAGAGAATTTTCTCCTCTTTTTTTTAATCCGAAAAGAATTTCCTTTTTTTGTCGCATGAAGAACAGAAATAAAATTATCACGATTGATTGAAGAAAATAAAAAATCGATGGAAAAATTATTGTATGCTGCCAATCATCGAGAAAAAGATTCATTCGATTCCGTGAGCAAAAATCATGACCTGAATAGTAATTAGAATTATTAAATATAGACACAACAACAAGAAAAAGATAAAAATTGATGCTTACCAAGCCAGGTTCCACCATTACATCGTCTGACATATGAGAATTGTCACAGGGAAGTACGAGAACAGCTTGTTTGTTTGGCACCCGACGACAAACATAATTATCATAAATTCTACGGTTATTTTGTCGCGTCTCAAGTGAACTTAATCCTCTAGGCCATCGACGCTCATGGCAATTCTCCATCAATTCATCAAGTATATGAGGTGGACAACCGGATTCTGATAACGCTCTTTTCACCATAAGCTAAATAAGCATAAACGATAATGTAATCATGAGCATTTCGCGGAAATATTTTGAAATTAGTGCCTGCGTATAATACTTACTTGAAGTGAATCATCGGGCGTACTTATCATGCCACCCCAACGAGTAACTCGCGCTCGTGGTAAAGAATTTGACCAGCGTATTACTTCATCGCGTTCCATCTGATCAGCAATGGCTCGCATGGCTGGATTTGAAACGCGCATAGCTCGCATGAAATCTTTTATCAAATTTAATTCCCGTTTTAGTTCATTGATTGTAATATTTTGATCAGCTATTTCAGTCTTTAATTCGGTCATTTTTTGTTGCTGTTGATGGCAAAGTGTTCGAAGTTCTCTTACACAATTATGATCTTTGAACTCATCTTTCGGAATAATAAAACCGCAACCCGATTCGCAAGGCATAGGCCGTTTTGGATTATGCTCACATTCATCTATGTGTGATTGAAGAGCGTCTAACTTAAGTACTTGACTACATCCATAAATTGCATTGTCGCATGCTATATTTAATCGAGATAATAAATTTCGCAAGATTCTCGGAACTGATCTAAGATTCGCTGATGTGATTGCTTGACGATCAACAGGACATGTCGGTTGACGTGATAACCACTCGTGTATACAAGCTTGACAAAATGCATGCTCGCATGTGACAACCTGTTAATTGAACATTATGTTAGAGATTAGTATCATGATTGAGCGATAACTTTCATAACTTAATACCTGAACTGGTTCCTCTAAAACTTGGCTACATATGGGACATATTAACTCTTCATCAACTTCACCTATTTGAGAAAAAAGATGGAATGAAATATGTGCAATAATGAGAACATACGTACGACAAACAAAGATTAATTAGGTCAATCAGAATTGTCACATGAAGAGTATTTACCAGAAAATCGACCTAAATCGAAGCCCATTATTTCAAATTATTCCAACTATTATTTTATGTTTCTCGTCTCCTTATCTCCTCAATTCTTTTACACGATCACAAACAATCATTTGAATACCTTCTTAACTTTACTTCCAGCGTAATAAATTAATTAAATTGATGAGCACAATGATGGAATTCCTTTAAAATTTGTTATATTAAAAATTCTATTGATGTTGTTGTTTAATTTCAAATTTTAAATTTTCCAAAGGGAGATTCAAATTTTAAAAAGTCGTTGATAATATCACATTCACAAATTATTTATTTAATTTTGTTTCCATGATGTGTCATCTAATTCGTGTACTGTCACTAAATTGGAGCATCAGTCCTTAATCAGCTTATTTAATCAGTTCATCCTGTAGTTTTTCATTGATAAATTAAGATTTGCAGATTTCTGTGCATCCCCTGTAAGCCACTGGATTATGCTAGTCCAAAATGCCACAACAAATTGAAGTATATCCAAAATAAAATTTCTTAAATCATTACTACAACGATCAGTGAAATTTAATGACTGTTTGTGGCAGTATTTATTTAAATAGTGATATTATACACTATAATTGGACATACTTATTTAAATCATGTAAGTTATCAGTCAGCTTTAAATACTTAGTACCTTTATAATTTCCCTGCTGTATATTTACAATTGAATATTCACATAAACAATTGACTCAACGTGTATTAATGAGCTGTCCTAATATTTTGATAAGGTGCAAGCTATTAATGACTAAGCGATCAAAATATTTACACATCGAAAAAATATGAATGAACACACAGCTTCCAAAATAAAAATATCCATGCACACATCAAGTTAGTTGAGTTTTGAAAGCTGAATCGACAAGATCAATCTTTGTTTTTCTCTCGCGATCAATAAGGTAAAAATAATAATATTTAAGCAGCTTTTAATAAAATTAAGGGAGTGAAGATGATGAGCACTTGCTAAGAAATTAAACAAACAACTGTCATCAAGCATTCCATAAGTAATTAATTATGTGTACATAATAAAACATGTTAAATGATTAACTAACCATTCTCAACATGTATTTCCAAAAACCGGTATTTTTTTGGCAAAACAAAAATCTTCGCATTAGTGGAAAGGAATCAGAGTTGGTTCTGATGCTATGTAGCATGTTCTGAAGCTGTGATTTATTTCAGCTGCTATTTAATTTTTCGGACCATATGTCAATAATATTGATTGATTAAACTCCCAAAAACTGGTTCCATAAATTTTTTCAATGACTTTATTTCTCATAGCATTGAACATTTTAAGTGACATGATCCAGACTAAAACAATTTGAAGTATGACTTTTCAAGTTCTATTGGGGTCTTCTTGATTCAATCGTCTAATCAAAGTCTTCTATGGGGTTATTAATCAAGAAATCCCATTTCTTGTCACGTAAATTAAATTTGTTCAATAAGTTTGGGCCCGTTCACTTATTACGTTCGCATTTTAGGGGGGAGGGGGGTTTGAAAAATTGTAACAAAATGTAACCTAGGGGGGGTGTCAAGAAGTATGTAACGTTCTAGCTGTCACCTGAGTTTTAAAAAAAGTTCACGAAAAAAATTTGTTTACAAATTCACACCAAAAAAATTTTTTTCAATTTTCCACCTTTTTAATGATTTATGAAAAATTATCAAAATAAAATAAATTATGAACGTTCAGGGGGGGGGGGGGTTTGAGTTGTAACATATTGTAACTGGAGGGGGGTGAAAAAAAGTCGTTTTTTTGCGTAACGTAATAAGTGAACGGCCCCTTTAAAAATCTCTTATTCCAAGCCAAATGATAAATGTAACAAGTAAATGACCACGTGTCGTATGGTTTTTATCCTTCAATTGATATGATGACACTTTGATATTAGTTTCTAATATAAATAAAACTGATGATAAGATAAAAAGCTCACGTTAGAGGATTGTGCAAAGTAGAGGAAGGTTATTCAATTAAAATGCATTCAGTTTGCATTGTTTTTCCTCGAATTTCTTGAAATAATAACAAGAATATTTGTCTTTATTGTAAGCTTCTCTTTTTAAAATTTAAGATTATGAGTTTTAATTTCAATATAATAATAATAATGTGTGAAGGGCTCAGCCTTTCAGCTGGAGGCACTGCGATTTAGTAATTTCAACATTTACCAAATTCAATTTTAAACAATTGTTGATTACATTATTCGTGAAATTGTTTGTTGAATTCAGTTCCTTTTTCAACTGTAATGCTCAAATTTCACGATAATGAAATCTTTTGTAAGAATCAACCTTTCTCCTTACTTTGTCAATTTTTCAATTGATGATTCGATATTAAGGATAATAATCAACAATTTGATCAAGGGGCCGTTCACTTATTACGTTCGCATTTTAATGGGGGGGGGGGGGGGGTTGAAAAATTGTAACAAAATGTAACATAGGGGGGGGGGGGGGTGTCAAGAAGTATGTAACGTTCTAACTGTCGTCTGTCTTTAAAATACGAAAAAAAAATTGTGGGGGGGGGGGTGTTGTGAGTTGTAACATATTGTAACAAGGTGGGGGGGGTGATAATTCTTAATCAATGACTGTTTTTTTTTGTAAAAGCCTTTTAATTTTTGAGTAATTTTGAAATATATCTTCCATTGTTGAAATCAAACAATCTGTTCCCAACATTTATAGATCAATATACAAAATATTTAACATCCAAGATTCTATTTTATTCAAATTTGATCACAAAGAGGCTCAACAATTATTCAACTCTGCAAGAAAACTGGACAATGAGCTGATCAAAAAATTCGTAAACAAGTTTTACTTTTCACGTGATTTTTATTTACCCGTAACGCATTGACCTTTCAAGCCATTACCATTATCCAGACAGTTGTATTCTGTGAAAATAAAAATAAACGTAGATTGGTCACTGCTTTTCTGCGTATTTATTTAAATGGAATGCTATAGCTTAAAAACAAGTTTTTTTGCCGGTAAAATTATGCAGAATACTTTTTTTATTCAAACATCCGAAGATTATTGTGCTCAATGATTCATGAAATTTTAAATCGATGTCATCTTTTTTGGCTTTTATTTTTGCAGATTTATAACATTGAAACAAGTCACAAAAATATTCATACAATGGGTCTCAGTAGCGTGGAAAGGATCATTCCAGGAGCCCGTTGGCTTCGTGGATATTCAACAGAATTTTTTGCTGCCGATTTTATTGCAGGAATTACAGTTGGCTTGACAGTTCTACCTCAAAGTTTAGCATATGCCACATTAGCTGGTTTAGATCCACAATATGGACTGTATTCTGCCTTCATGGGAGGTGCTGTTTACGCTTTACTCGGTGGATGTCGGTATGTAAATATTTTCTGGGAAATCCCCGTCCACAAAATCTTCTTTTTTTTACACGCTTTTTATTGTTAATTTTAAAAAAACAAAACATTAAAATTTTATTGTTTACAGAGAAGTGACGATTGGACCAACTGCCTTATTAGCATTGATGACTAGTCGACATACAAATCTTGGTGGTATGTCAGGACCTCATTTGGCAATTTTGTTATGCTTTTTAGCAGGAATTGTAGAACTTATTATGGCACTGCTGAGATTGGGTGCCTTAGTTGATCTCATTTCCTTGCCAGTCACAATTGGATTCACGTCAGCCACAGCTCTTATTATTGGTGCTTCTCAGTTAAAGGTAATTAATATTGATTTTCTGTCTGATGTTCTCTTACCTCCTTTGATTTGTCAAAGCATGGTAGTAAAACTCTCATGCTTGATTTCCGATTTTTCTCATCATTTATAGGGACTTTTAGGATTGCCGGGTTCGCCAAGCAGTTCAAGCTTCCTACCAACTATGAAATTTATAATTACAAAGTTCACAGACCTGAGTCCTTCAGATGCATTATTGGGAATAGGCTCAATAGTCATACTACTTGTGTTAAGGGTAAATATTTACATATTATTACTACCTTAATGAGAAGCTTCTCATTGATGCACATTTTTATTGCTCAAATAATAACAGAAACTCAAAGACATCAAAACACCTGAGGATGCAACAAAGAAACGAAAAATTTTCGGTGGTCTTTTATGGCTCATATCAACATCCAGAAATGCATTACTCGTTCTAATCTCGAGTATGTTTGCGTATCACGCACAAAATAGTGGACATACACCATTCATTTTAACTGGAAAAGTTAAAGCTGGTCTGCCATCTTTCAGTCTACCTCCATTTGAAACAGATATTTCTGGACAGAATGGAACAACAATACATTGGGATACGATGGATATGATAACTGAATTAGGATCATCAATTGCTCTAGTTCCGATAATTGCAGTCTTGGGAAATGTTGCAATCAGTAAAGCTTTCGGAGGTGCTGGAATTGATGCTACAAAGGAGTTAATAGCATTATCTTTGAGTAACATTTTAGGATCATTCGTAGGATCTATGCCAGTCACTGGGTCTTTCAGTCGATCGGCTGTTAATTATGCTTCGGGAGTTAAAACTCCATTGGGTGGCATCTATACAGGAATTTTAGTAATTTTAGCATTGAGTGTGCTGACACCGTACTTCCAATATATACCTAGAGCAGGATTATCAGCGGTAATTATTTCAGCTGTAATTTTCATGATTGAGTACGAAGTAATCAAGCCTTTATGGCGATGTTCAAGACGTGAGTATTTTGTTATAATGTTCAGTCAATGACAACTTCCGTTGATGTAAAAAAAAAATTCCTTTCTTTTTTAATTTAAACTTTTTTTATAGGTGAATTATTTACAGTTGCCTTGACATTAATTCTAAGTCTCGCAATTGGCGTGGAAATTGGACTTTTGTCTGGTGTATTTTTGGACATAGCTTTTGTAATGCATCGTACTGCACGGCCAATATTGTCATTTGAACAATGTGAATCATTATCAGCTATAGAATTTACAATGATGAAACCAAGACACAGTCTATTGTGCTTCCCAGCTACAGAATATATCAGAACAGCACTTAATGAGAATATTGCACGTCTTGAACGAAGTCCAACGTTTGTCGTAATTGATTTCAGAAATATACACGAATTAGATTATACCGCAGCAAAAGGAATTATTGGATTAAAGAAGGAACTTGCATTGAGAAAAATTACATTAATTCTTCTCGGATGTGATGAGAAAGTAAAGCTAATGTTAAAGACGTCATCCAAAGCTAATGATGTGTGGCAAGTCAAGGACGAAAATGAACTTGATATTTTATTACAAGACGTTAAAGGAAATCCAAAAGAAGAGTTAAAGCACGTAATTGCACCTTTACTTGCACAAGAAGATAATGAAGATGATATTACTGTAATCAGAAAGGAATCTCAGTGACGCGAGTAGTATTAAATATTAATTATTATTGTTTTACGATTTTTTACAAGCCCTTTTTGTATGAATCTCTATGACTACACGTCTCCTTTTGTTAATGTCTATAAATGTACAATAAGTATGATGATAATAAAAAGACAGAAATATCTGCATATAATAACAATTTTATTCACTCTTGGACTTATTCTTGTATTTTCCATACGCAACCTTTGCAATCTCTCTGTTCTCAACTATCCATGAAAACAGTGTAAAAAATACGAAGATTCCTCCAACAAGAATATGATATAGTATTGATTTCGGCAACAGATGATACTGAAAGCAAGAATAATATTTATTAATGACTGTAAATCCATAGATTGAAAAACTTGAAGCTTACCTCAGAGTATTTACAAGCGATTCCAGCCACAATTAACGTACATCCAAATATTTTTCCAGGAATCAATCCTTCAAGTGGATTTGCTTGCATATTACTATACTCCTTTGCAATGTAATTTGTGCTATATGCAATACGAAAAGCCATGTTACAGCAATTAGCCCAAATAAAACCAACAGCTCCAAAATAGTTGGTCAGTTGATATGACAGGATTAAAAATGTTACAGAAAATATTGCCATATAATAATTATATCTATCGATCTGCTTGCTAGTATTTGTAGCAAACATATAGCCTTCAGTGATTCCATTTACAGCAAGTAGAATTATAGCCAATGCATGCCATCGAAGTAGCGTTTCTGGAAGACCACCTTCAACAAAATCATGTCCTCCATACAATAATAAAAGAGTTCCAGAATAGGACTGTCCAAAGACGAATCCAATTAATCCAATAGAAGTGACTCCTTTGCATACATTCTTTAATACTTGACTAGCTTCTTTGACTTTGTCTTTATCTTGTTCCTTTAATGCAATATCTCGTGCAATTGTTTGCGTAAAATAAAAGTAACTGCTATCTTCAATAGGTCGGAAAATGAATCGTGCTGCAAGACTTCCCATATTGTTTACAATGTCATATACAGCCTGCTGCTGAAAATTCAGCACTGGACTTATCGACATTACGTATTTCTCGCCTTCAGTCAATACTTGCTTTAAGATTCCTTGCTTAATAAAGCTTAAAACTAATTTGTTGAGATCAGAATTAAAAGCACTTCCCTGTAAGAATTAAAGGACATTCTTAGAGTCAATGGCATTTGGGGAAAAAAATAGAACTTATTAAAGATACTTACAGGATTTTTAAGCACTGTTGGTACCATCTCAGTCACAGAATTAAAAGGAAAGTCATTCATGTGTTCATAATATTGTCCCATTTCGTCTCTAGCCTTGTCAATATCGTCGTCATGTTTCTTCAAAACGTGCCGATAAGTTTTTAATCGTTGGATATAAATGTGAAAGAAGCCATAATTTCCTCCTATAATCACTAAGCAACTAGTGAATTGTGCGATTCCGAAAGCATAAATCGCTATGTTCTTATTGTTTAAGACTAAAATGATAAATACAACGGATCTAACAAAAATGTGAAGGGTGTCTAAGACTACTTTAAGCTTAACAAAACAGAAAACTTGAGCAACAAATGCCGGTGCTTCTGCTGTCAGTTCAAAAATGCACGATAGAACCATTGCATAACATCCAAATTTGTATGCAGTCTGATAATCGTCACCGACTGAAGACAGCACATTCAACCAAACATAAAGACATGGAATTGATAAAATTGCAGCCATTGGAACTGTTATCCACATTTGATTAATTAGCTGTGACCATGAACACTTGTTTTTATGTTGTGTTGTTGACGACAATGCTGCTCTGCTTATAGACTCTTTTGATAAAAACAGTAAGGTACTTTCTAAGAGAAGCAGTCGTACATTCATAATTCCCAAAACATTGTGATCCACCCTCCTTAAAATGAATGCATTTATGGCAAATGTTATTGCCCGACAAAATATCTGAAAATAAATGAAGAGAAAAATATAGAAACGGCTATGACAAAAAATTATAAGCAATCAAGCTGTCTAATGAAAAGAAATTTATAGTCCTCAACAAACATGCTGATCTTCTTTTCATATTTCTTCGTTCTTTGAATACAGGTGGCCTTTATAATATGCGCCAAAAACAGCTGTTCATGATATCATTCATTAATATTTATTTTTTGTGTTGTTAGGAACAAGGTCACTTTTTTTGTATAAATATGAAGGCACAAACAAACTTTGGAGAATCATGAGGAAATTAATTATTGATCAATCGGATTTTGATTCGCAGCAATTAAACAGACTAATGAAGATGTAATTTAAAGTATGATCAGTGCAATAAGCATCATAATCGTCTAATTATAGCCACATCACTAGAAATTATTTTATACGGAAGTGTTCATAATGTGACTTACTTGAAAGAATATCGAGAATGATGCATTTAATAGACTTGATTTAAGTACGTTCCTTCCCATTTTATGCTGCTTATTGCTCCTTTTTAGTTATTTCATGAAATTTGAAGTTTCTTTCACTGGCTTTTAACAACACATCACTAATATCCTTTAATATGCATTGATTTATGGATACTTTTAACCCAAATGTTTCGTCACTATAACTTAAACTTAATTAGAGTAGATTAAGCTATGTTCATATTGTATTTACTAGATTATTTTAATTAAACCATGTTATTAGCGTCTTATTATTGTATCAATCAAATTGAACTGAACTTAAATGAAATCTCAAAACTTACTGAACGTATTCCAAACAGAGATGATATTCAGGTATTCGGTAAAAAGCTTCTAGAACATTGGGAGTGTTTCAAGAAGATTACAACTCATATGGTATGTCCCCTGTTTTTCCTTTATCAGCTAAAGAAGAGTCCCTAATTTTAATGAAAAATGTAACGTATATTTTTATTTTAAATTTGTTTCGTTGTGTTTAACGAAGATTTTGTAAATTCAAAAAAATATTTAACTTATATTTCAACAATCTTACTTAATTTTAATTAAACTAATTGTAAGTATAAATAGAGTAAATGTAACATACCCTGGATACATACATAGGCAAAAAATCTACATCGATTACCACCTCTGGTCTATCATTGCTACAAAAATTTTCATGAGTAGCAAAATTTCCGTGAAAATTTAAAATAAAATAGTAAATTTAAGGATAATTGTAGCATAATCTATCGACAACTATTGTGCTTATTGTGTAGATCATAGAATAAACGTTGATTTAGTAAATTTAGCCGTGATTTTATCAAAATATCAGCTTTTCACATAAAAGTATTGTAAAGTTTATTGATTTTTCTTAAAAAAATTCTTTCAAACAATGGATAAGCGAAAATTGTCGTAAGTTAATATTAATACATTTAAATAACATCAGATTTAGAGGAAAAACAGCACATCACTTTAATTTGGAAGTATTAAATTAATTTAACTGGATCTGAAAAAAAATCGAGTCATTCAAAGTACATGAGAAAAAAATCGATAATTTTACATTCCTTTGAGTATGTAATGTAAAGTACCAAAAAAAATTAGAACTCCAAAGAGGCTCATTATTCTGATTGGCGTGAGAATTCAAACACAAATAGACATTTATAAGTTACGGAAAATTTCAATATCTCTGTTATATATTTTATTATCACAAGCTTAGTGAAATTTTGATTATCTACAGTGATTCATTTTGTGTACATGCTAGCTGTTCATCTATATATGTATATATATATATAGAGGAACTTTCAATACAAGTCAAAAAAAAACCAATTTTTTGATCATGCAAAATAATAAATTCCACGAATTAATTGACTGCTAATTGCAAATTAATATTATTTTAGCACTTCTGGAGACTCTTTATACGAAATCTTGGGCCTGCCAAAGACATCCACACCAGAAGATATTAAAAAGACTTACAGAAAACTTGCTCTCAAATACCATCCAGATAAGGTTTGCAGACCATTTGCCTTTATGCTGAATTATTTATTTTAAATTTTCTACTTTTTTTATTCCTTTAGAACCCAGATAATCCAGAGGCAGTAGACAAATTCAAAGAAGTCAATAGAGCACATACTATCCTTAGTGATCAAACAAAGAGGAATATCTATGATAATTATGGTTCTTTGGGACTTTACATTGCTGAGCAGTTTGGCGAAGAAAATGTCAACGCATACTTTGTAGTTACTTCGCCAGCATGCAAGGTAAAACTATAATTCTTAGTAAATTAGCGAGAATATTAATTAAAATTGATTTCTTTCAGGCAATGTTCTTGATTTGCTGCATAGCTACAGGATGTTATTGTTGTTGCTGCTGTTGCTGTTGCTGTAACTTCTGTTTCGGAAAATACAAACCTCCTCCTCATGAATACGATAATCTGAATGTGAGTATACAGCTATCATGCTTATTATTTTGGTGGGCTTACTTTCTTTACTTAATACACAATTATTTGAAATTCTTTAACTACACACTTGAACTAATTTACGCTTAAAAATTTATCTGAAAGTAACATTACTTTTTAAAATTGGACGGTAGGTGATTAATAAGCTGATGAACAGATTATTCATTGCATAAATGTTAATAGCACGTGTTTAAAAGCAAGCACTTAATCATTGGTGAATTAAAGGGCAGTTCACAGCCATTGGCTAGCAAACGTTTATAATTTGATTATAATGCACATTTTTATTTCCTTAACCCATGTTTTTACACATTCAATATCATGTAAATATTTTTTATTGTATTCCTCAATTGGTCATGAAACAACAGAGAGACGGTCCAGGAGGAGCCTCAAGAAGTCATGTAAGTATTTCTGATCTGCTTGAGTTCTGCTTTTTTACTTAAACTTTCTATAATGGCTAATTGGTATTATAAGCAACAAAAGATTTGAGTACACAATGACTTAATTTCCTTATTATCTTATCTCATTTTAGGAGGATTTGAATGATGGCGATGACATCGTCACATCACAGCCAGGCCCAAATCAGGCAACATCAAACATGCCAGCATTCGCAATGCCAGCACCATCAGCAACGAATCCATTCGCAAGTGAGACATCAAATTTAAATCAAGGCGGAAATCGCACTTATACGCCAGGTGAACGTTATTAAATTTTAACCACAAATCATTATTTTATCAAGTAATTATCTTATATGATGAACAAAACCAAAATTATTTTAAGTTGCGTCCAAATATCGAGGAATCGATCATATGCTTTTGTTGTATCATCTTGCTCCTTATTGCAATTATTTTCTAAATGTGTAAATGTTCTCTTCTCTATTTTTTTTTTTGTTTCTTTGCAACTTCGTCTGTAAACCAATCAATCGATAAATTATAGGATATCAATAAGAAATTTTCAATAATTATACGGAATTATTCAAGGTCTGAAGGAACTTTCTTTTTAAAATTCTTACAAAAAACTTCTATTTTTTCCTATTTTTTATTACTATCTCACCAGATACAAAGTACTTAACTAATGCACACTCACGCATAGATTGACTTTATATTCAAACTATCTTTTTATTTCTAGATCTGATGTCTTTTTAATTTTATAAAATTATTCGTTAAATTCGTTATTTTAAAATCTGTGAGTTTCTATGATTGTTTTATATATGGAACGATGCATAGTCATAGCTTGTCCCGCTTTCATTTGAATTATTTATATGCTTTTCATGACTTCATTTTCTTATTATTAATATTTCATTTCCCATTCATTTTCGACACTTTCTAACATAATGAAACATACGTGCTGTTGTATGTAATGTTAATCAATAATACTAGAGTCTAAAATTCTGCTGTTGATTAAGAATCAAATTAAATTAAATTGCGGATCAATAACTCTTTGATGCACTTCTTAGCTTCTTATTAAATAAGATCAGCAAAGCAACATCTGCTTCATTTATTTTTAAACGAATTAAATGTGTTGAAAGAAAAATTTGTTTTGTTTGAATCGTCACAAAACTCCAAACACCCTTCTTCTAAATGTTGGATGTCATTTATGAACGGATCATAACGACAGCTGACTGGCATGTCTAAAAGTCTTAAAACAACAGTTAGCTTAATTGATTCTTCAAACGTCACTTCACGTGATGACATTATGTAAAAAGTCATAAGAGCAGTTTAAATTGACGTTTTTTCAAAGAAGTTTTGGGTTTCTACCCGATACACTAGTTTTAAATGCCATTGTAAAATACCCCTAAGAGCAGATGCAGAACAAGTTTAAGTTATTTTCGCAACAAATATTCGCTCACACTGACTCTTCTCAACTCATTCATTTATAACTCATTCATTTATAACTCATTCAATCATTGAACATGCCATAACTTTATGTTATATCTATTTAACGAAGCAATTGATCTTTGGTGTCGTCTTTTACTTTTATATGGCACATATTAAGATAATGATTTATTTTTGTCAGTTATCTAGAATGGGATAGTCTTTGAAGTTTATGAGAAGGTCAATGATCTTACGGGATTATTTGAAAATGTTTTGATCGATTTTAGCTATTTGTATGAATGTGTTCATGCTAATGTGTTTCCAGGGAGGTTTTTTAAGGTCAACAACCTTGGTAGATTATTTTTAAAGATTAATGCAAACGACTCTTAATTTTGTATAAAGGACGTCATTTATGGACGAATCCTGAAATCCTTTGTATGCCACAAAATTCTCTATTTTTTAAATTCCTACAATTAAAGGAGTTCTTGAGAGTTAAACAGGCATTTACAATCTGAACACATTCATGCATGCTGGACTTAAACTTCTCATCCCTTATCTATCCCATTCATATTGTCTGGTCATTTTTATGTTGGATGTCTAGCATAAAAGTATAAACTGAATTAATCAATAATTTTCTCACATTTTTCAGGCTTAAATTAAAAAGCATTTTTCGAGCGCTGGAAAACTTTGGAACAAAACCCGTTGATTACAATACAGCAACCGACAGCAACTCAAAATTCAGAAAAAATAATAATATAATATTTAGCTTAGTCAGTCTCCGTTTCAATCAAATCCTTATAAATTTGTAAAATTACAAGAAGCTTTTCATTGTAAAATTTAAAGTAATTTATTGATTATTATGAATATTTCTTTGTCATTCATAACAAGGCACGAGGAAAGACCTCATAGTATATTAAAAGTTAAAAGTATATGAATATTTTTCATTCATCCATAAACGAAAAACAGAAGTTAATTCAATTATAAATGCGATAATTAATGAAAAATTTATCATAAATTCAATGAAACATAAAAGTATGTATGCATAAACAACACTATCTAAATTTTTAAATGTTTGTCTCGTAATGATAAAAAGGAAATTACCTACCTACTTAATATTATACAAAAACATAATAGCATTGACTGGAATGTTGAAGCAAAAATAGAGTTTATTCCAAAATTAATAAAGTTCCCATGAAAATACCTAGTTTTTAACTTGTGAGGAACGTGATTAAGTCTTTTGAGTTCTATAATTAACATGGAATAATTTGAATGGCAAACAATTATTGTGGCATGTTAATTGAAATTAATTTAGGCACTTTTAAGGTTTTTTATTATCTTTTAATCCCGTTTTATCCGACAATATATATACTACATATGTATCTTTTCGAAAAAAAAAAATTGTATGTATTACAGACAGAAAAAAATTACAAGCATGTAAAACATATGAAAATAAGATTTCAAAAATAATTAATTAATGTTTAAAATAAAGATTATAAAAATCTATGTTTAACGCCTTTTTTTATATTTGAATTTTAATCCTGCGATTTATTTTTAAACCAACTAGGGCAGTTGATTTCCCCTCGAAATTATTTGTTTTGATTTTCTTTAAAATTTACAGCATTAATTAAACTAGTTAAAAATGAATGATCCGAACCAGAACTATCAAAATCATCCAGCACCAGTAGTGATAAATCCACCAAGCTCAGCGAATCCACAACAAGGAGCGGTAAGTTAATTATTAAAAACTTATAAATCTATAAATTTCATAACTTCATAGCAATTTTGCATTAAAATGATTTATGCAATGAATGTCATGTCATGTCCTGTCAAGTTTAGATTCTTTTCGAGCTTTGTATAGCTGAAGTAGACGTTCCTAGAAAGCTACATACTTTTTATTATTACTAGTTTCTGGAAGTTGAAAGAAAGCTCTTCTCATTAAATTGTAGATAAAGTACAGCATCAGTCTGTGTCAGATCACGTTGGGGAGGATGTGGAAATCCTTCTATTATACGACATTTCTACCAATATGATTAATAGACTACACGAATAATAATAGAAAAATTACCAATTGAGTAACATGTAACAACTTGCTGCTTTCTTTTAATTACAGATGAATTATGGATTTTCCACAGACGAGCTTCGTGTACTAAGAGAATGCAACATTGAGTCATTTTATCAGAGGAGCTTACCCATTGGAGTTGGTATGGGAGTAGCTACATGGCTAGCCGTTCAAAAAGTACGTAATAATCACTATTATTGCAATTCAACTTACATGTCTTACAACACTTTCAAAATGTTAATTATAGGGCATTTTAACAGCATCGACAAAATTTGGACCTACCCCAAAAGTGGTTGTTGCAGGAATAATGGGATATTTTATTGGAAAGTTCTCTTACCAAAATAAGTGTGCAGAAAAGATGATGAGACTGCCAAATTCGAGATTGGGAGAAGCACTGAGACGTAGAAAGAAGGGCGAATATTTCGAACAAATTAATTCAGATGGTGGCTTGTCATTGTCACCTTTTTCGTCATCAACGGATGTCTATACTGATGAGTCGATGAAAGGCTCTCAAAACAATTCACTGGATCTTGATATTGAAAGACCAGTTAATTTTGGACTAGATGATACTTATAGGTAAAATCAAAATATAAGTTTAGTAAAATTAAAGCTTTCTAGCCACAAACTTCTGTTTTAGACCATCAATTGATACGCCAGATAGAAGTTTCAATGATAATTTGCCGTTGGAAGCTCCAAAAACTACAACGACTTATGAAGAATTACGTAAAAGGAATAGAGAAGATTATGATAAAAAGGCTGCTAATCCTTATTATAGACCAATTGCACAAGATGAAGCTCCAACTGTTATTAGACAGCGTGAGAGACCGACTGTAAATGATTATCCATTGCAATCAGGTCCACAGAACAAATATGGAGATGTTTGGACGAAATGAATTGTTAATTAATGATGTTCCTTTAGTGCATTACATAATAAATCAAGAGTGTAGCTCTAAGCGCTTTTACTTACTGATTAAATATATTAAATTTTATCTTGATAGATTAGCTTAATCTAATAACGGTTATTCGAAATTTAAAAAAGTTTATAAAAATCTTAAAGTCGACAATCCCCTATCAACAATAACAAATGAATAGTGAATTAAAGTAGCAAAAAAAATACAGTTTAGATGGAGAAAGGAGGTGATATGAAAGGTTTGGAATCTCTCTGGAAGTCATTAGATGATGCATCAATTATTAGAGATGTGCTGTTTAAAGGAAAATTCATTCAAAATGCAATGCGATTTATATCTGAACGAAATTCAATAACAAATGAGGAAGCAAAAGATATTTTTGTACAAGTCTGTGACGAGCTAGTTAATTCACAGATCCAGCAAAAGCAGCCATCGCGAGCCAGTCATATCCTCAAAAATGCACAGATCAATGAGCTTCATTATTTATATGCTCTATATGATGATTCCAAAGATGAAATTATTAAGGAAATGCTAAACGAATATTTAACTAAGCATAATGATGATTTTAATAAGGAGAAAACAAATTTGAGGGCGTATTATTCTTGTTTTAAACTACTTGTGAAGAATATTGAAAAGCATGCAAAGTACCTCGACAATATTAACAGAATATTCAACACTTATAACATAAACTTTCACAACATCCATAAAGCATCATTCCCAAAGTTTATGCAGCAGTCAATCCAATGGAGAAATGTAAGAAAATATAATTGATAGCTAATGACATAATATAAATTAATATATTTCAAAATTAGGATATATCAGTTGATGTCTTCTTCAAGTCAAAAAGAGATGAGAGGAACTTTGATTTACTGCCAATTTTAGACAAAACTTGCTTCTTTGCCTATATCATGCAGAATGAATTGAGTGGTTTGGTAAAGCAATGGCTTAATGAGCAATATCTATGTAAAGCTGGGACAACAATAAGCTCTACACTTCCAACAGAACCAAACACATTCGATGATGCCTTAAATATTCTGTTTCGTAAATGGAAATTCGAGGAACAAATGATGAATAATATCTCTAGAAGACATAAGGATGTTCTAAAGAATGAATTTGCTAAATTGGGCTTATTTGAAGCACGAGAGAATAAGCAAGTGTGTAGGAAGTTTAATCGATTTTTCACGACTTATACGTACCAAGAGAATTATCCAACGTTAAAAAATCACGAAGTAACAAAATTCATTATTGATAACAAATTGTTAGACTTACTGCCACAACAATTTATTGATCATAGCTATATTCAGAATGTTTTAAAAGAAAGCAACGAAAAAGATCCTTTATATCATGAATTAGTGCTTATTAGATCCATGAAAGACTTGCTCACAAAACAAACAAATTTGCAAAGTTTTGTCGATATTATGAACGTGACGACTAGATACATACAGGAATATGATACATCTTTCAATGCTAATCAACATAAATTACGTTTTATGAATGAGATTGTAGGCAACAATTTACAGAAGCTTGATCAAATTGCTGACATTAATCCATTTTTGAGGAATCTCTTTGTTAAAGTGACAACAAAAGAAGATATGCCATCAATAGAGCAACTGCTCGAAAATTTTCATTCTGTCAAGTTGGAATATGTTCGTGATGAGTTTAATAGCACTAGAAGTGACTTGATTCCAAGTTTTGATAATCCACATTTAACAAGCATTTATGGAAAGAAAGTTAAATTAGATTATATCGATTATGTGCGAAAGTATCAAGGCATTTATGCTTCTTATGCCTTTATTATTGATTCCATTAAGAGTTCCATGTCATTAACAAGACCAATGGTTTTAAGTGCATGTGAGGAAGTAGCAAAACTAGCTTTGAATGATCCTAAAAATAAGGAACTTGTTAGTCATGCAGTTGCATTTATGGAAACATTTTCTGTGGACTCGAGGAATCTACGATGCTTTATCCAACTACAGAAATTAAAGTCAGACAGTGAAGGTGATAATTGCGAGAAGTTCCTCGACAAAACAGTCAAAATGTCAACAAATCATGAAGATATAAGGAACGTAGAGTCACTGGAAATTTTCTGGAAAGTCAAGAAGTTTACATCACCAACAAGATCATACTTAAATCCATTTACCGAAAAAAACGACTGGTTCAAAATAATTGTATTAGCACAATATTTCAATTACCCACTTCATGCCTTCATATCAATCTGTCAAGACCGAATAAAGAACAAAACGCTTTGTGATAATTTAATTAAAGCCGTAAGCTATGAAGCAGCACCATTCCAAAAACTACCAAATTCAGCTAAAACAGAAAGTCATGCGAAGGAATATTTTGGGAGTGGACAGTTCCTTGATTCAAAGCATGATTTGTTTGCAATTTTATTAAAATGTGACGAGGAAATCAGTCGACTTGACTTGCCATTTGAGCAGTTCCAGAGATTTTTCATGAAAAATGAACCGAATGATGATTTACTTTATCAGGCAAAGATTCATGACTGGCCATTATTAGCAATTCTAGCAGGAACATCGAAGCTTTATAGATTCAAATATTGTTGGGTTACTTGGCTAATATTAAACAGCAATTATAAATGGAATGAAAAGTTTGAAGACATTGAAGGTTTATCAACAAGTGTCTTTGAACACTGTCTGCGTATTGGATTTTTAAGGACACTCGATGAAAGTTTCAAAATTTTCTATCCAAAAGCACCTATGAAAATATTCACACAACTTTTAAGAGACACAGCAGTTGGAAATTTCAAGAATATGGAATCAATACTCAAACATTTCATCGTCCAACTCATCGAATCAGACTATAGAACTAAAGTCATAAAAGGAAAGCATCAATTGATTCCATGTATTATTCGTTATCTTATTATTCATTTACAACACAATATAAAGTTCAGTGTACAGCAACAAGAGTATTTAGCATGTGTACATCGTTCAGACATAACAAAATTCGATGGCAAAATCAATTTTGAGTTATTGAGGAATTTCTGCAAGATCCTCGAGCACACGAGTGTTGAGATAAATTATGAAGTCTTTTGTGAGTCCGAGACGAAAGTGTCAAAAGAAATTGAGAGAATATGCGACGAGCTTATAAGCAACAACTATTTTGAGGCTGCAATTGAAATTGGAAATTTAATAAATAAATCAAAGACTGAATTTGTATTTAAATACTGGCTGCATTTACGTAAGACTGATAATCAGAAGCAGACGTCGTTCGATATTGCGAAATATATGAAGTACGTCAAATTGTACAGGCTGAATATAGATATATTCATAAAGTTTCTCAAGCGTGTGATTGATGAGATGGATCAATGCATTGGAAAATATAATGTGATGATGTTTATGCTTAGAAATATGGCAAAGGCTGATGCTAAGGAACTAAACGACTTGGAATATGAAATTATCTGCCTTTATCTACGTCTTAAAGTATCAGGCGTCAAAGATATTAAACCTTTAACATCCATGTACTTTGAAAATACTATAAAACCTGAAAGGTCATTGATCCACAATTCTCTATATGAACTTAAGGCTATAGCAATGATCGATGATTTAAATGACAGTCAATGTCTTACAGATGATACAGAAATACAGCAATTAGATGAATTAATGTCCTTTCTACTTGACATGAATGACATTGTTCAGGTTTTGCGGCTTCAAGCAATGTTTGGCTATGCGCCAGAGGATTTAAAAATTCTTGTTTATATGCTCAGTGTCGCAGAAGGTATTACGTCTATTTATGACATCACAAAACGTGAAAGGCAAGCAATTAGCAACTGTGGACCACTGTCGAGTCGATTCAATAGATTTGCATTTAGATCTTTTAGACAAAGCACTTCCAGTAAGTAACAAAGGAGCTTTTACATATTGTTGAAATTAGGTCATGTGGGATTATTCATATAAAATGTCCAAAAAAAGCCAATATAAAAAAATTGCCGTTTTTTTATTTTGAAATTTTTCAAATATTTTTCAACCGTTACATTTCTAACCCTCGGATTTAAATTAATCTCATCACTAATAGTTTATTTTATTTAATCCTACAGACTCGATTTCGCTGAATTCATCAACAGTCTCAATGGACATAAATGAAAGCTCAATATTAGAGGAGCCGTTACATTACAAAGAGAATAAAGAAACCTTACAAGCATTACAAGGACTTGTTTGTAAGCTCAAACATGGAGTCAAATATGCTCAACGAGTCGTTCTATTGTACCGCATATCGTTGTTCCTTCACAATCATTCTTTTGATGATCTGATAAAAATTAAAAACTCCTACGAATTTTTGGAGCTTGTTACCGAGTCTGATTGTGACAGCAAACTTTTGGCAATGGCTGACATAATAGAAGCCATGGAAATGACAAGGAAAGAAGTAGCAAAATTCATTTCTAAGGAAATCACAGCATGTATCATAAAAACAAGATTTCAGCAGTTTAATAAAGACACAGAAACAAGCACTTCAAATCTAAACATGACAACTTCCATTTCGTCTACTTGGAGTGGTTCGAAGCAGGTACTTGATGATATTTGGGGCTTCAGCTTGTCAAAAGATCTGCATTTGATTCTTGAATTGTGTAAAGGAAAGACAACACTTCTTGGAACTTACCTCATTAAGTGCTATAGAATTTTATCACAATTCAAATCAGACATTCCAATTAATTATGACTCATTCGAAGAGGAATTAAAGTCAATTTGTGAAGATTTAAATCGATCTTTAACTCCACAATGGATGTCTTTAAAGAAGCAGAATATGATACGTGTTGAATTACTGATAACAGCTCACGACTGCTTTTGTCAAGAATGCTCAACTGAAGGAATTGGTGATGTTCTACATTTATCAAAAATTTTGATCAATGAACTAGCTGAAAACAAAGTTTACAACATGATTGTTAAGCTTATGTGTGGCATAGGTCGGTACCGTGAAATGTTTTATTGCTTTGACATTCTTATCAAGAACGAGGCTTTCGAAGCATTGCTAGGTCAATTCAATGATAAGCAAACGAATGGGCTCAAAAATGCACTGTTGTCTTATCTCAATGAATATCATCCAGATAACAAAGAGTATTTTAAGATGTGTGCGTCACACTTTCTTATGTACACAGAACTAGCTAAAATATGGAAAAACAATGCGACGACTAAAATTCAGAAGTTGCTGGATGAGAATCAAGTTAAAGTAACTAAATCAGGCAGAATATTATTGAAGCAAGTTCAACAAGTTGAAATTCCGTACCTAAAATGCACGAAAAATGTTCAACAAGTTCTAAATGAAGCCGTGAATGACATGATTTATGCGACGGAAATGATGATAGCTGATCAAAAAACTGAAATGTCATTAAAATATTCATCATTTTGTGAATTAATTGCCATGCAATATCATCTCGTTAAAGTCGGTGCTGAAAGTGAATCAAAAATGTGTCCATGCGTGATCTATCATGAACAGAATGCTGAAAAGTCACAGTTAATTACTCAATATTTAGCTAATTATGAATTGTCAGTTCCACAAATGATGATTTTGAATAAGAATGCTATCACTCCAATTGACTACACAATTGTGATCTTCTGTCGGTCAATAATAGCTCAAGATGAGCAGTTTGTGCATGATTTTGTTGGACGACTCGACCTCACCGATCGAATGATTGAGAAAGTAATTAGATTAAGCCAATTCGAGTTGATTTCTGATAAGACTGAGAAAGCACTACAAGAACTGTGTTTAATGGTACAGGATGTTGGACTCAAGTACAATCTTGCATCATTGCTAGGCTGTAAAACCTTTTTAAATCAATTGTTGAATGATGAACAGAGTTATCACTATTTAATAGATTCCCATTATGGAAGTAAAGATATTTATGGAACTGGAAGTGCTGTTAAAAAATCAAGTCCTCCGTTTTGATTGTGTTTGACATCTTGAATGTAGTTAAGTAAATAAATTGTGATTATTAAGCCAATAAAGGTTGATTTATATTAAATAAATGTTTCTAATGAGGATCTTTGCTGTTGGGTTTCAATTTAAGTCTCAAGATTAATTCAGTGTTTCTAAAACTTTTATTAATTTTTAAATGATCCGACTCATTTATTTTTGAAAAGTATGGATATTATATAGTTGTATCTAAAAAGATATCAACCTTGGAAAATTCAATGAACTCTTAGACTGCCGTAACACACAGTTTGAGAATCACTGGTTTAATCTGGAATTTAAATTAAATCTCATGATTAATAAAATTATTTAAGTTAAATCTTAGGATTAATCAGAGGATTATAGGATGTCCTCTTCAAAGTTTCCTTTCTTCGTTCGTAGCACTTCAAAGTTTCTGATTAAAATGAAGAAAGGTTCGAAAATCCTAAATTAGAAGCACTTCCTATACAAACGACCTTGTTGGCACTGAAATAACCAAAAATAGCATGTGATAATTAAAAGACATGTTGCACTTCTTTTCGGTAACAACATTTAAATTTTCTTGATCAATTTATTGTAGGTAGTCAATTAAAACATTTTCAAATTTGTTCTATGCAATAAAATCAAAATTACATACATGATCTTGGTTTTTCATATTATATAATAATAATAATCAATCAATCTACTAATAAAAGAGAAATTACATTCTTCCATGATGTTAAATTTATGTCTAATACAATTGAAAAAAAGATATAATAATGATAAAAATAAAGTTTATAAAAGGCAGGAAGTGGTGTTGATGGTAAAATAGAAAAAAAAGGTGTTGATGTATTCTTTATTATATTATATTAATAACATGTGCACTGCATCCAACATTCAATAAAGTTCTTTATCGTTTTGATATGAAAATAAAATTTATAATGCGAAACATTCCAATTTATGGGTTTTATGGATGGGAAAAAAATAAGGCATTCAATATTTTCTGCCAATGAGATTTCATTTATGAACAATGATGAATTATAATACTAATAGGAAAATAAAAATAGATAATAGAAAATGAACACTCCACTCATATTTCATATGCTGTATACTTTTTTTCATACGTTCCACTAAGCTAAAACTTAAAATCCACAAATAAAGAATTATGGCGAAAAAAAATAAGTTTGATGGGTTCCGAATAGGGGGAATTAAGATATTTCCATGTATCACTTTTAGAATGAATGAAATAATAAGGATGAACATAACATTCAAACAACAAAATCTGAAGACAAATCCGCTGATATCGAGGAGCTTTCGAAACATCATTTAATAATTTTTTTTATTGTCACATAGATCAAATGAATCATACTGAAGGAATAAACTGCACTTTATTTTCCATACTTTAGGCGGAAGTTGAGAAAAACTCTTTTGCAAACTTACAATCATTTCAAGAAATTTAATGTGTTCTCATTCTGTGCTTTTTTCGGAGCTTTTAAGCTCAAAAAATAGGGGAAAATCAACAAAATTGTAAAGCTCAATTTGAATGGTTTTGAAAGATTTAAATTTTAACGGTTTTGTAAAACTGTACAAAAATTGCAAAATTTGAATTCAAACTGTAATGCAATTTTCAAACTTTAAACGGTTTTGTAAAACTTGAATTTTAAGCCGTTAAGCAATCTTTAAATGTTAACGGTTTTGTAAAATTTGAATTCAAACTGTCATGCAATTTTCAAACTTTAACGACTTTGTAAAATTTGAATTTGTTACAAAAAAGTTGTTTTCCCCTCTTTGTTTCAACATAAATTTTGAAAAGTTTAAAACCGTTAATATGTTAAAACAGCAATTCTTGAGTGTTTTGCATTGCATGTGCGCCAATATAGTTCCCAAAATGACTATAGCTCTAAATCTACAAAGCTATAAGATGTTGTTTTAAGCAAAAAACAGATTTAGACATGAATGCAAAAGAGTTTTTGTAAATGTGTATGTTTATTTCTTGGCAATGAATGTATGGCAATATTATATATAGTTTTTTATATGAGATAGCATCAGACAACAGCCAACAAAGCGACACAATAGTAATAATTAAGGAGAAGCCAATTAGCAAAAAGTATCAAAAAAGAATAAATAGATAAATTAAGTGTTAAAAAAACATCAAAAAGGATGTTAGGATAGAAAATAATTATTTTGTAAGGTGGATTAAAAAACATTGATAATTTGAGAAAATAATAAGGAAGAGCAGAAAAGGACATCATTGATATCATTTTTTTAAAAAAATTTTAACAAAAAAAGTTTTCATTGTTCATGTACAAAGATTGATGGAAAAAATGGAGTTACGACCAATTTTTTTTTTTTTTTTGTTGTTCCAGATTAGATAATTTTTTTACGTGTGACTGTTATTAATTATTTATGTCCATGTGCAGGGCAGTTATTCACCAACCAACCAACAATTTTCTTTGATATTTTTTCATACATTATTTTTACATAACACATTCTCGCCTTAAAGGCTCTTCATTGCCATCATAATAGCGTCGAAATCTGTGAAAATTTATTAGAGATAATTTAATCTTTAATATCCAATTTTTTTTTTGTGTTTAATTATTTTAAGTAGGTATGATGATATGATTCATGATGATCTGTTACCAACAAAATTAATGAGCGACATCCATAAAAGTCTACTGTGCGATTCTAATTGACTCACAGATTTTTTGTTAACATTTATCATTCCAAATAAGTACAGAAATTTTGGGTAGTGAACCTTTCTCGGATGCGCTCACAAATTCTACATGATGTTTTATGATGATTTTTAATTTTAAATGTTATTATTTGATAGTTTTTGATGTTGTTGCTGTATTAATATGATTGATACAATCCGGTTCAACTATAGCTAAGTTTAATAGCAATAAGTAAGAGTTATTGCAATTTTATGGGGGAGTTAGTATGTATAATTTTGATAGCCTCCAAGGATGCTTGTTCTTCAATCATTATGTGCTCATATTTATTTATTTAACCGTCATTTGAAAATTTGAATTTCTAAACGTGCGACACAAAAAATTTAAGCTTCGTTTTTCCGTCAATATTCAAATTTTTAATTCCTAAACATACGCAACATAAATTTGAAAATTTAACGGTTATTTTGCAACATGCGCACATAATAAGAAGGTTTAAAGGAACAACCACAATCATTAGTGTAGGTTAGACATTTCTTTGGTTGAGAAACGAAACAAATTAAAGTGAATAACTATGTCCTTAAAGCTTTGACTCTGTTTAACAGATATTTGACGACATATAAGGAACTAAGTCGGCAAAAAATGTAATTAATTAAAAAAAGTAAGTTAAGGAAACAACATTAATTAATTTCGATCAGATTCTTAAACAATAATAATTTTTTTGATCAGCCAAAAAGGAAAATTAAACAAAATTATAAGATTTGCATGATTGCATTGCATGTGTACTATCCTATAATTGTGATACATGATTCCTACACATGACTTGCCAAACATAGCTAGACAATAAAATAAAAGGTTTTAAAGTAAGACAATTAAAAAAAATTCGGATTTAACAATCACTTTTTATATCCTTAATAAAATCTCTCTTTCATAATTTATGTTTCACATGTTAATGCCTTCTTTTAAAACTTTTAAAAAATCATAAATTAAATCAAAAATCATTCACAATGTCTCTCTAAACACTAACTAGACAATAATAAATTAAATTAAATCAAATATTGAATCATAATAATGATAAAAAAATAAATTCACAACTATATGTTGGGCGGCAATTAAAAATAAATATTTAAGCGAATAAAACGTATTCTGTCATGACAAAAACTACAAAAATGTAGAACAGTAGAAGTTTAGTGTGCATTTTTCACTTTTTTTCATATATTATTATGTATGCTTATGTTTTTCTCATATTTTTTTTAAACTTTCAATGTTACTATCATTATTATGTATGTTTTTTTTTTCAATAGCTAAAGCTGGAGCTTTCTTACATATCGTGGTTACATTCTTCGTCGACTGTTATGTACATACCTTCCTCCTCCTATGTATTAGTTTAATTAGATAGATAGAGAAATTTTATATGAGACACATTAGACGATGAATGGATTAAATTAGAATAGATGAACTATATTTTGTACTTACATAAGTTGAATCATGCTTAGCGAGAATGCGAAGTAAAGGTCTCAACTTGAGCCACCATTGGTCTTTGGGGATACGTTGTCTAATTAAAATTAAATGTCATTAGTAGCTTATGAATTAATTAACATAGTAAAAATGGGATTGTTCCAATACTTACTCAAAGTTTGTGTCAGCAATAAGCTCCTTTAATGGTGAAAATTTGTATTGTCTTCTGACCAGACCTAATAAGCATGCAGTATCTTGTGTTGTGGCATTAACCTTTCCGTCCTTACTGTGAATCTTGCATTGATCAACAAGCCATTCTACAGCCTTTGCAGCCATTTTTGTTCCCATATTTCTATCGAATGGTGATGGAGAGCCACCTTGTTGCATATGACCCAAAATATTTGAACGGCATGAGAAGAGTCCTTTGCCTTCCTCACTATATAATCTATGGATGAAATCAGTATTGTAATTGTCATTTGCCTTCTCATTTCTCAAAATGAGACCACGCTGAACTCCATCAGCCATTTTTGAGGCCATATGATAGACGTCTTGTTGAAGATCCTTAATTGAGAATTTCTCTTCAAAGATATAAGCTGCATCGGCACCACCAGCAAGACCAGCAAGTGTTGCTAAATATCCACAATATCCTCCCATAGTTTCAATGACGAAAACACGACGTTTTGTTCCTTGAGCTGATTGACGAATACGATCGCAGATTTCTGTAATCTCGTTTAAGCCAGTGTCGCATCCAAGGGAAAATTCAGTGCCTGATTGAAATAGAAATTGTTATTATCATGCTGGAAAGTCAATTTTATTACAAGTTTAATTTACCTGGAACATTATTAGAGATAGTCGATGGGATAATAATCATTGGGATGCAGAATTCAGAATAGTGATCACGTTGATCAACCAATTGACCCAATGAGTGATATCCTTCAAAGCCACCAACAACGAGTAAACCTTGAATGTTGAATTCACGGAAACGTTGAGCAATTTCCTTGAATTTTCCTTCGGGTAATGTACGCTTTGTACCCAAGAAAGCACCACCTTGACCAACCCATCCAGTAACATCACCCCAACCCATTTCAGTAAAATGTCCCGCTACTAAACCTTCAATACCGTCATGAATTCCATAAACTTTATCACCACGATAAATTGAGTTACGAACGAATGAACGAACTGCTGCATTCATACCGCAAGCTGGAGCACCAATATGCATAACAGCGAGTGTAAAGCCTTCCTTGCCTTTTCCTTGAGAATCGAAAGCATCCTTTGGTGGCTTCAAGCGAGTCAACATCTTATAAGTTTCCAAATTTCTTGAGAATGATCGTCCACGTAATTCAACAGCAAGTTCAAATTTACGTTCAGCCATCGCTTTAGCAACAGCTTGTGTACGATTGACACATTCCATCAATGGCAAACGAACTGCTTGATTTCCATCTAACGAGACAACACATGGTTCTGTATCATCTGTTGCTTCCATTAATGCCATAACAGCTTCAGCGCCCATACTTTAAAAGGATTCTCGTAATTATTGATTTAATTCTAGTTCACAAACAATTAATAACAACTTACCGACAGCCCTATAAATGCACAATAAATTATAAATTAAATTGACGTCAATTAAGCACAAACTTCTTCCTACTCACCAAAACACGATCGAAAGCACTTGGATTTCCTCCTCTCTAAAGTGCGCAAAATCATAAATTTACTCAAAAACTTCGTCAGCAGCCAAAAATGTCAAAAAATTTTACCTGAACGTGACCCAAAACGGTGATTCTCGTATCCTGATTCAACTCATCGACAACGACTTTCTTAACCATCTCAGCAGTAATTGGATTACCCTCGCGATCTGTTGCACCCTCAGCAACAATGATGATATTCAGACGTTGACCAGCCGAACGTTCCTAAACATTGACATAATGAGATTATTAAAATCCAGACCTAATAATGACATTTGATAGCTTTCAACTGTAAATAAAATTTTTCAAATGATGATTTTTAATGAATTTTGTGGAATTTTGCATCATTTTTTCTAACCAGTTTCTGTTTATTTTTGTAATATCGCGTAAATATTTACTTAATATCCTGCGCTTGATCATTACCGTCATAAATAGACATAACATTGATTTCAAGTTCTGCTGGATTTAAATGGACAAATTATTTAAAGCACTCAAAATGATGATTTTGTGGTTAAATTGGACTTAATCTAGAGAAAAGCTAGGAAGATTAACGATTTAATTAAGGATTTATCTCTGGATTAGCATAATCCTGTGGGATTAAAATTTAAATCTGGATTAAATTAAAGATTTTAAACGATTAATTTTTAATCCATCAGATTAATGCTTGGATTAATTTTTTAATCTCAAGATTTAAATCCAGAATTAATATTTTAATCCATCGGATTAAAAGTTCAAAAGGGGAAAAGTCAAAGTTAATCTAGATTCTACATCAAGTGATAGTTTGTCTCTAGCAAATTTCAAAAATGCTTTTAATTAAAAAAATCATTCAAAAATACCGTGAAAGTATTCGTGATAGCTACCGAAAAATCAACAAAATACTCAGAAAATGGTTAGATAAAGAGAGATAAAAAAAATGGAAACAAAAAAGTTATGCGATATGGAATAATAAATAATTTTAGCAGACTTATAAGGTGATGTGTATGTATGATGATGATGGCATAATGATATGATGAAAATAAGTAAAAATTAAGAGAGAAGAGAAAACACATGATGAAAAGTTAGTCAAAATTAAACATCAAGACACAGATTCTAAGATATATAATTAAAAAGGAAATGAGCACATTATTAAAGCGAACACATAACACATTAGTTTACCTCGAGAAATGTCACGTTATGAGTTCTATGACTTTGAATTCTTATTATATGTCTTAATCGTTCATTGTCTTACATCTATAACTTATGAAATATCCCCAAATAAGATCTTAAAGTCCCTTATAGATAATTATTATTTATTTCCATCTAAAGCCACATTTTTAAATTGAGAGTATGAAGGAAGGATGTGTGCCTTGAGACTCAATATAAATCCACACACATTACTTGCATTATGTCCATCAATAATACATTGAGATAGTAAGCATAACTATTAATTTTATGTTTAGCCAATCATCAATAATTTACAATTGTCAATTATCAGGGATCATTCATGCATGACGTCGGGTATTAGGATTTTTAAGGGATAAAGATTTGGGATATGACGTCATTTATGAACGAACCCTGATCTTATAAAATGATAAGAATATAGAATTTTTATATTCTCTTTTATACCTGAAGCAATTTTTTGCATAGCTGATCCTTCCAATCGATTTTGACCGGATCTTCGGGTATAAAAACATAATCTGCTTCACTTGCCAAAGCTGCGACTACTGCTAGGTAACTGTAACGTAATTTGGTTTTTTTTTCTCAATGTAACAATTTTTAATTCTTCTTGTTAATTACATAAAAGTTATCAGTCTCTTTTAATTCTGTCACATTTATGCAATTTACCAATGAATCGAAGCGTACCAACCACTATTACTACCGGCCTGTTTCACTAAACTGGATTATCCTCGGTTTCGGATTATCCACTTCAGTTTTTTGGAAATATCTCCAGACACTTAAGGTTATTAAGAGATCTAATGTGTGATCTAGTTAGAGTATTTTGCTACTTAAATTAACATAAACTTAGAATTTTTATATCTTCACTAGTTTGAGAATTATAGCAAATATCGAAGATAATCTACTAGATTTGGCTAGAAAATTGAATAATTAATACTTCTTAACGAAAAGTAAAAGTTTAAAGTATACAGAAATTTCAGGCATACTTCACTCTATTATAATCCAAAATTAGAAATACCACACCTCCCATAAAGTTTAAGATATTTACAAAAAACTGAAGTGGATAATCCGAAATCGAGGATAAATATATTATTATTATTATTATCCCGTCACCCTTAGAATTCCATCTTCTTATTCTTCTTCATGTTCTTATTTGACAAAAAGTTATTACAGTGCTCATTAATAGCTTAATTATCAGTAAATTAAATTAATTAATAAGTATTAAAACCAAATGGGATTGATTCTTTCGAAATTTTCTAGCAATTAACCAGATAATGACATAAACACTAATTATGCTTGATTGAATTTCGAGCGTGTCAAGCTGAAGCACATTTATTGTGGAGTTTTCTAGATGTTTCTGCAACATTTAAAAGAGCTTTGCAGATAAGGTGCCGTTCACTTATGACGTCTAGGGGGGGGGGGGGGGGGGTCAGCAAGAAAAGAACAATAGAAATTCCTGGAAATCCATTGTTCTCTTTTGAAAAATGACCGTTATTTTCGGACGTCATAAGTGAACGATCCCTAATTTAGAGTACTGGGGGTCCTCGATTTGAGTAGATTCTATTTGAGTAGATTCGATTTGAGCAGAAAATTTTTTACCCACCAAAATATTCGATTTGAGTGGATTTCTTCCTGTTTTCTTCGATTTGAATTGTTTACAAAACAAATATTTTTGATAAAAACATTTCAGAAAATATTTTTAAACATAAATTTTTCTGCCATAAGTGTGAACTTATCATATTGATCGAAAAATCAATACTAAAGTTACAAAATTAAAGTAAAAATTTAAAAAATCGATATAAAATTAACGGTTTTAAAAAGTTCAAATTCAAAAACCCTACAAATTGTTCGGTTAAATAACATTTGCAAGGTTCTCATATTTTTGTTTTGCTTCAAAAACATATTTTTTGTGAATTTCTGTTTAAAAACAATATGAATATGCGTTGAAATAAATTAAGTTATCTAAAACACATAGGTAAAATTAAGAAAATAGGTAAAATGTGCAAAAAATTATCAAAATTTTCATTGTTTTGATACATTTTTTGGACTCTGGAACAAAACATGTGATTTTGTATGGATTCTTTGCCTCGATTTGAATAGATTCGATTTGAGTAGAAATTTTTTGGAACAAAACAACTACTCAAATCGAGGACCCCCAGTACCATGAACCGCTTATTTTTGGAGTATGTTCTAAAGGGCGATTCCATGGGTAAATGGAACTGAAAATTTTTTGTTCAAAAACTTTTTTAGCTTTTTCTGCTTAAATATACATATTTCAACATATCTTTTCACTAAATAAGACTTATTATTCATCAATTCATGTGTTATTAGCATTTAATCGTCTTAATTATGCTGCATTTTGACAAAAATATGTAATATGTTTTGCAATAATCGGTTGAAAGTTGACCGATTAAGTGGTGTTTTCCCCAATTTTCTCCTTAATTACAGTAGTAAGACATACAAATAAGATATTGTTATAAAGCACAGGCGATTTCACGTGTGTTTATCATAGATTTGTAACACAACAATGGATATTCAAAGAAATATTGATAAAAATTTAAAAATCAATTTTTTGTAAAGTTGACCGATTAAGTTTGGTTTTTTTAAAATATCTTTTGTCAGACAGATTTAACTAAAAGATTATGCACTAAAATACATAAATACCATAATAATAAATAAAATAAATCTTAAATATGGCGTTAAATGAAGTTAATTAAGGAAATATTTACAAAAAATTGAGTTGAGAAAAAAAAATTCACTCATGGAATCGCCCTAAATGTAAAGCACCAGTATGGAAGCAAAGGCGTGTATGCTTTTTGAGATTCTGCTGGTAATTTATTTAATTTTCTAGAAAAAAACTTCTTATTACTTTAGGGGCTGTTCACTTATTACGTAACGCGAAAAAATGACTTTTTAGACCCCCCCCCCCTCGTAACAAAATTTGTATGAAAAAAAAATTTCCTTGTTTGAACCGTAACAAAATCTTAGACCCCCCCCCCCCCCTAAATCTCCCCCCTCCCCCCCTAAAAGCGTTATGTAATAAGCAAGCAATAAAGAACAAAATCAGTAATAAAGTTCTTAATTACTAGCATTTATTAACCCAAAATTCATTAAGAACTTTAAAGTTTCATTGAAAAGCTTTAAAAATTGATTAATTAAGTCAAAAAAAATAAGGAACAATGCCCAGAATCGAATCTGCACCTCCACAGATAAAACATTAGGAATTATCAAGAATTTTTGTATGAAATCATATACTTCGCAAGAGCAAATTTCTAGTAAAGTAAGTCAATAGGTTCTTAGCTATTGTATATAAAGGAACAAAACCAGTTCCAATTTTTTATGTTTTCGGTAATTCTTAACGAATATCAACATATTAATTTCAAAATAATTGTATTTATGCATTTCTATATACTTCACAAACAGAAAATGCAAAAAAAAGGAATAGTGTCAAAAAATATTAATCTGCAACGGAACTACAAAGACCTTTCAAGAATCAGTTTTCGTCACATATTACCTACAAATTCCTTGTAGTCGGACATTATTATAAACCATCAGCAAGATGCCGCTGGAGATCAATTGAGAATTTGATCTTGTTGAGATTCGAACCCCGGAAATTACACAGAGCCAAATGAATCCAACTCACAAACCTCTGACTTTTTTGCCACTTAAAGTCTTGGAATTGAGGTTGGGCTAAAGCTTAATTTATATTGCATATTGAGACTGAGTTTGAAATGGTTTACAGGATTAGTTCCTAAAGATTAAATATGAATAATTGGATTTAATCAAGTTAATCTAGAGATTTAATTTCTGAAATAAGGTCAGAATAAAATTTTAAATCACTTCCTTAATCGAGAATTTCCTAGAATAATTTAGAATATCTACGATGTTCACAGAACAGCCTACGAAAATCGAGAAACTTCGCAAATCAAGAAGACTCGCACATAAATAAGGTTGTTCACCTGCGCACTTTTGTTCATGACATTCCGAACGAAAAAATTGACAAGTCTTATTTTTACAGCTTAATTCAAGCATCTACCAACCTAAAATACCAAAATAATATCCCCAAAAAGCACACAAGCCTCATATAAAGCTTTAGAATTTTTTTCAGCGTAAACCGACACCAACAAATGCTTCAGCAACATTTAAAAGCTTAATTTCGAAAAAATCAGTTCCCAATATGATAGAAAAATAATAAAAATAATTTTTCTAAACTAGTTTGTAGCTAATACTCTTGCAAACAATAGAAGTAATAATAGTAGTAATAAAAAAAAGTCAAAAAATGCACGAATTTTGTGGACGAGAACAATTTTGCGTGAAAACTTTAAAAATAGAGAATCACAGAACAGAAAATAATAAAATTGTGATGATGAATATAATTTTTTTTTTGGGATAAGGTTGATGAGATCAAAAGCTATCAAGAGATTTCATGTGCTGTATCTTGAGAGCTTTCAAGCTGCTAATCAATAATCATTGACATCTTGTTAGAGAGAAGCAAACTCTAATTAAAGATTTATGTCCAAAACTAAAGTCATTGATTAGCAATAAGGTGAGCATTAAATTTGGATAAATATAAACCAAAAAAATAAGTTATGATGAGGAGCATAAAAAATATTAATTTCTTTATAGAAAAATTTGATTAATCGTCTTGCCTGCGACAATTGAGCACATATGCGTTTAGGCCAATCAACTTTGGCTGGATCTTCAGGAATGAAGATATAATCAGCCTCGGTACATAATCCCGCAACGACAGCAAGGTAACTGTTTTTGATTTTTTTTTTAAATTATTGAAAAATATTTCAAATTTTGTGTGATTTTATGCATGTATATTTTTGTGTGTATTTGAAAAATATTTAATTAAGAATTTGGAAAACAGAAAGAAAATTTAAGTACATAATTAACAATCAGATTTGAGATAGAGCCGATTATATGTGATAATAGATATGAAAAGAAAATAAATTAAAATTATATTAAAGCCTGCACAAAAATAATGTGATAACTCTTAATACAAGTAGATATATGCAGCATATATGTATTATTACCGTTAAATTTTCAAAAATATCCGTTTGATATTCAAAAAAAAACACCAACACTATCACAAAAAGTTACTAATTGCAGCTTTTCTACACTATGAAGCTTAGTTTCAGCATAATTATGGTGCTATTAGGTAGAATGTAGAGCAGCATAATGCTTACAGTGTGTCCTTGCTATAGAAATTCAATGAAAAAATGGAAAATATTGCGAAACTTTTCATCATAGTGTTAGTGTTTGTAACATAAATTTCAAATTTTTGAAAACAGTTGAAAGACTCAAAATTTTGACAACCGTTAGAAACGAAATTTTAGCGAAACATTTTAAGTCTAAACTGATCTAAACAATAAATTGATGATCACATCCACATATACTGCATACATAAAACAAAATGATATGACGACAGTTATTATAATTAATAAGTTACGATTCTCGTGTAACTTGATTTCGCATGTCTTTTTATGATTTTTGTTTTGGTCTTGGTCTGTACTTCAATTTTCATATAGCACATAACGTTCTAGTTTTTCTATAGAGAAAACTCTAAGGGCATAATACAACAGGATTAGAGATAGAGTTTGATTATTAATAACATTCGTATATATTGGATATAACACTTAATATTTGTAATAATTATTATTATGGGATATATAATTTGTGGGGGATATACAACAGAATGAGATAATTGCTTTTAATAATCATACATGAGTCGACAGAAGAAGTCGAGAGATACATCAGAGAATAATACAGAGAGAGGTCGTTCAAAACTAGCATGAAACAGCATGAAGAAGTAAAATTATGAAAGATATGAAGGCCTAATTATTATTATCAGAAGGATATCCATATTGGGCTACTTTAATAATTTTAATTTTGTAAAACATGTGAAATCTGCGAATCACTGACATAAAATTTTCAGTTCTTTCAAATCTCTTGCCTGTCTTAATTTATTGCACAATTTTTTTGTCCAATCATTTGGTGGAGGAGACTCGGGGATGAAAACATAATCGGCTTCTGATATTGTACCTGCAACAAGCGCCAAGTATCTATATTGAATATTTTATGCGTACATTAAGCCGCGATTGAATCCCACCAAGTGGACATGACATACAATAAAGTTTTGATCATTGGAAATTGCGAATTCAAGATTATCAGTTTTTTTTTAATCCGTAAATTTCGTGAAGAAAAAGAGAGGAAAAAATTAAAATAAGTTAATTAAATTGTAGAAGTACAATCTTTTCCTCTATAAATTGAATTAATTAAAATTATAGTAAATTCAATCACATATAATTTTGTGTGTTTATCGCAGTCTATTAAGTCTTAACTCACCCACAATGACGTCCCATAACTTCCATAATGAATGTTCTTTGATGAGAATAAGCAGTGCTGACAATTGCATCAATTGCCTCAATGATACGATGCAATGCTGAATCAGTACCGATTGTCATGTCTGTTCCACAGAAATCATTATCAATTGAACCGACCATACCGGCAATATGTAAGGCTTTGTTTTTGTCACGTTCCTCAGCTGTGATTCTCTTTGTTGCAATCAATTCATCTAACAGACTTGTCCATTCAACACGGAACAAATTAGCACCAGTTAATGAACCGTCACCACCAATAACAACAAGATTGGTGATTCCACGCTTCACAAGATTCTCGGCAGCAGATAAACGTCCAGCACGTTCCTTGAAATCCATACAACGAGCTGATCCAATTACAGTACCACCACGATGAATAATACTCGACACTGAGGCCCAATTTGCTTCTACAATGTTCTCACCACCATCGACCATTCCTTGGTATCCTTCTTTGATGAAGTAGACCTAAATAAGAGATTATTATTAGTTGAAGCTTAAAATATTCAAATAGATCACACACGACATTATTCAATTTATAAGTGAATGACCTCGATGCTTGTACTGTCAAAAATTGTAATTTGATTTTTAAAATCTTAATTTTTAAGTTTATTCCAACAACCCAATTTGGATATATCCACACCGTCCTCAAAAGTTTCGTCGATAGACTAAGCTTTGTTCAGCATAGTTTTCAAAGTTTAAAGCTTGATGAGTTGGTTGAGCTATATTCAGCAAGTGTTTAAAGATTGAAAGCTAAATGGATGTGCCAGACATTCTTAGATATATTTCATTCATGGTTGAATTTTATAAAAATCATGGTAAACTTTGGTTTTTAAAAATTCTTAAGAAAGGAAGGTTTTTTGCTTTTTCTGAAGCAACAGCTGATCCTACCTAGCCCAAAAACAATTCAGCTCTTCTATAGGGACGCATAAATCCAAAGCAAGAAACTAGAAGTCTCTACGATGTGTCGTTATTGAGATTTCTTGTTGATTAACTTGCATGCTTGCTTGCTTACAGAAAGCGTATTTTGCAATTTTTTCAGCAATGCCTCAATCAATTTGAAATCTGTTGTTTTTGCAAAAGACGCTTTCGGTCACAAACTTTTGGATTTTAAAAAATTTTAGTCATATTACTTCGTTTCCGCACAAAATTTAAAATACTGATTTTTAAATCTGAACAAAAACAATTACAGCATTTTAGGAGGTGCTGCAAGTGTAGAAACTTGTCATATGCTCAATCAAATCACTCTAGTTCGCTTTAATTGATTTATAGTATCACATGTGCAACAGTCTATAGATGGAATATTGAATGACATCAATTAATATTTTGCTTGTAGCGTCTCCAATAAAAAACCAATCCATAGAAATTGGTTTGACCTTCAATGCAGCTTTAAAGACATTTTTCTTTTTCTTGTATCCCATTTGTTACTGCCTGATTCTTTTGTACTTGACACAACGGGTGAGAGAGACCGAAAATATTTTAAAGCATTTTCATCAATAGAAAATCACGCGTGAACTTGCGACGAAAAATGAACTTTTCTATTTTCTATCTATTTTAATTTTGTGTCTAGTTCGTGTGATGAAAACACCTCAACAAAAATTTTTATTTGTTCCTCAACAAAATGGGCACTTAGTGATTCATCGACATTGCTGAATTTTTTTTTGGAGAACTAATGCGGATGGCACATAAAAAGTTCAGACACATGTTCGTAAGCGATAATTTGCAACAAAAAAAAAATCTACTTTCACAAACTGAGTACCGAGGCATTAAATTGTAGTTAAGGATGATTTTAGAAATGAAATTGAACTTGAAACCCAAATTTTATTTCGTGAAAGAAGAAAAATAGAATTAAATTGAGTTCAGGGGCAATTAGAAGAAATGTTGTACACAACTAAGGAAAGCGGTGAATTCTATCGATTTTGAATCACATTTCAGTCACTGAGAAAATCGATAGAACAATCATATTCATAGCCGAAAAAACAATATACAGTCACAGACTTGATTCATGTCTGTTAGATAAGAAGCGTGTATAAAACGGGTTTCCTACAATGTCACTCATTTGTGATAATCACCATAATTTGGCCGGTCATAACAACAAGTTCCAATAGTCTAATTTCTAATGAGATTATGTCGCGTACTACGAGCAATAGCTGTATCTGTCTGTGATCGTGAAAAAAAAAACAATTACATCACAAATGATATATTACCTTGCATCCTAAATAGATTCCCATACGAACGACAGCTCGAACTGCTGCATTCATACCTTGTGAATCGCCTCCACTTGTGAATACAGCAATTCCATGTCCTTTACGGCTCCCACGTCCTATAAATCTTTGAACCTCGTCAGTCATTCTTTAGCATTTAGGCAAGGAAAATGAGAAAATAAGCAATAAAATTAAATTCCTTTCTTTTGTTATCACCAAAAGTCACTTTAAGCTGAATATGCTTAATATCAAATTTTTTATTTATCATCCAGTAATTTGATTCTAAACTATTTTTTCGTCTATTAGACTATTTTTCACTCACTTTGGTTTGTTAAAGAACTTGAATTTCCTTGATTATAGCTCAATCTCACTTATATTGACCCAAAACTTTTCTTTTTATTTTTTTTCTAATTTTCACACAAAATTTTTCACATAAAACCCGGAATTACGTAAATTTCACAATTAGAACAGGACAAACTTAATGACTTTCTATTAATTTCAACTCTCCACAACTCTTTCTTAAAGATCCTAGAAGTTTTAATTTAGGATCTGTTCGTCTTGACAGAAAAATTCAATTTGAAATAGAAAGAGCTACAATCCACACCAAAAAGTCTTTCAATTGACATTGAAATGTTTTTTAGGGAATTCTATATCCGGGAAAATCAGGCACGACACACACAATAATTTATTTGATTATTTTAGTCATTAAATGTTATTTAAATGCTCATTATTCCCTATTTGTTCAAACATCCAGTGAAGTTTTAAGTAAACATTCCTGAACCCATCTAGATTCAAAACATATAGAATCGCTATTGTCAGCTGAAAGCTATAGATGTATTAGTGTGTTCCCTTAAGACAAAGTTATTTGAATGTGCGCTTTTCAAACGACTTTCTATGCTGTAAACGAAACATTCTCTTATCATTTTCAGTCATTTTTTGCAATCTAACAATTAATTTGTCTCAAGTCATTTAAAAATTGTCGTTATGGACGTGAATCATCCACGTGCTTCTTAGAATTGGATATGCAAAAAATATGCTCATCAAATTACATGATTTATATGTGAAAAGAAAGTCACATGCAAAAGAAGTCACGTGCATTTTGTCTCGTAGTAACAGACATATACATGATTCTGCTGTAATATTTCTCATGTCTTATTTCCCTCTTTTTTTTAACTGCAATTTAATGCTCGATTCCGATTGGTTAAAGTTAATGGTAAGAAATTTATTCCTATGAATCAGACATGACTTCTCGCATGTAAGCATATTTGGATACAATTGCGGAGATTCTGTGAAATCTTTCGTCATCAAGTTGATTTTACTCTGGAACTCTCTTCCTTAATACATTAGTCATGATTGTTTTTACAATGTTAAAATTGTTTATGTTATGTTAGGTGCTAAATTGTAGTTCATCCATGAACATATGGAAATATATATCAAGTTTGGAGCAATATTGACTTTAAAAATTCGCAGAAAAACAATTTTTTATCTGCTACACGTGCACGCGGTCTTATTTGTTTTGTAATGTTATTCTATTAATTGTGTACGGGTAAATTTGAGATATATCAAATCTGAAGTAAAAGAGAATGATAAGAAAGTAGGTGGATAGTATAAGCAGGCGCATACCTTTGAAGAGTTTTGAAAAGCTTTTGGGTTTTAGAAGAGAGTTCTAGAAATTTCTAAACATTTGTTGTTTTTCTAATTGATTTAATTGTAATCTATTAAGGACAGCATTCTGATTTATTAAATTGTATTAGGCTAGCAAAATATAATCTGAGATGTAAGATATAAATAATATTTTAACGGTTTTCAAAAAATTTTATTTTCTACCAATTTGAACTTAAATGAAACGAACTTCAATAAACTGAACAAACTTAACGAATATTTTTCAAATTATAAAGATTTTCAAAAATTTGAATTTTCTCCTATTTTGAACTAAAGAAATTTGACTTTTAAACTGAACTGAAATGAACTGTGATTTACTGAACGATTTCAACGCAGAATTCAAAAATTTAAGAGTTTTATAATTTTATTCCGTTGGCAATGCCATCAGTCATATTAAATTACTAATTTACCTCATTAATTCATGATGAACATAGCTCAATGCTGTGCAATACACAAGTAATAATTATAAATAGATCGTTAAAAAAAATGTGATTGCAATAGTATGTTCGCCTTTGCGCAATATCCAGTCAAAATGAGTTCATTCTGAAATAAAAATTGCTGCAACATAATGTATGTTGAGAATGTTATTAATGTTATGTGTGTGAATCAATGAGTATTTTTATGTATGAAGGAAAACAAACGAGAATTTTACTGGTTTTTCTTTAATGGCTTTCATTTCATCCAAAATACACAAAAATTGTTTTTTCTTCCCGTGGTAATCAAAAAACAAAGAGAGATGTTACTGTTAAGCATATTTAAACTTGTTTCTGTTTCATTTAATTGAAGTTGTAATCAGCCTGATCTCTTATTTTTTCTCAAAAAATTTGTTATTCGCATTTTTTTGAGCCATCGATTTACATCCATTGTTATATGACTTTTTAATGATACTTTCATCATTTTTTTCATATTTTTAAATATATTCTTTTTTTAAGGGAAGGAAAAATACTCGCGAAAAAGGAACACAATACAATAATTTTTTTTTTTTGTTGCGACAAAGAATTATATTCAAATAGATATCCGCAAATTTCCAATATCATCCAATTCCATTATTTCCAATTAAACATTTTTTTTTTCAATATACGATTTTTTTATTAATTAATAAATATAAGAAGAGAGAAATTTGTGAAAATAGGGACTATATACTGCATTGAAATGTCTTGCATGTGTGTTTTGTGTTTGTTTGTGGCTTTACTAAATTCATAGTTTATCGAATTTCTCATGTCATTCAATATATCACCAATAAAAGACATTTCGAAAACGATGGCATACACATATTTTATATGAAAGGATGCTTTTACATTCAATTGATATTCATAACACTTTGGTACGGTACTGGTACTTCCATTTCATATTATATCATTATTTTATTAGTTTTGTTTTTTCAATATTGAATTTCTTTAACGTTTTAGTTTTATTGAAAAATGCAGAAAGTGTCAATTTGAAGAAAGAAAAATGCTTGTCTTAAAGGAAGTCTTAATTCTTCAGTTTTCGAGAGATTATCTGCCAATTTGGGCATCGATTCTTTACAGAAAATGTCACATAAACTTGATTATTGATTTTCAGGATCGAATGATCTGCAATCTTTAGAATCAATTTAAGTTGAAACCAGTCAGATTTATTTTAAATCCAAGGATTAATTATTAAATCTTAGAATTACAATTTAAATCTATTTGATTAATTTCATCAACAGATTTATCTGCTTATCTCATGCTTAAATCTAACTTCCTCGACCTTAATCAACAACAAAAAAGATGTGAAATTCCTCAAAAAGAGTCAATAATCCGAATACAGCAATCTATTCCTGTATGTGTGTATTAGGATATTTCTGAAGGAAGGATTTAGAAGTTGCAAGAAATAATGTTATCGTCTATTATTTTTTTTTTAATTTTTAAACATGTAATAAATCATGTTTCACACTCACATTTCCATCACTGCTTTATCATTTTTAATTCATATTTTTTTTTATTCTCATAATAATATTAAGTTCTTCAATCTGGCAAAAAAGGAAATTTTGATGGTGATTTGGTTAAAAAGAGATACATCCTGTTAATTCTAATTATATGAAAAAATAAAATCCCATTTGTTGTTTTTTTAGAGGAATTTGAGAATTTTATTTTCCACTTCAATTTTTCGTGTGTTTCCGCTTAAGTTATGCAAAAGCGAATACAGCAAAACAGACATATTTTCTGTATTTAAAAAAATTAAACATATTTAATAACAGCGAGCCATTATGAGCCTTGTATATAGAAAAAGGGAAATTATCTTATCCATCATCATTTTTTATCAATCCTTCTTACATCTTTATTGAGACGTTCCATAATATCAATTTTGCGTCAAATGGCAAAATCTATTATAAATTTTTAAAATCTTATGCGTTTTAAGTTTTTTTTTCTTGTTTTTGTTTGAAAAAGAGTAATAATTCTTCCATATGATGTTAATTTTAATTTTTGGATTTTTTGAAGCATAATTCATGCTGCTTGAAAAAATATCAATTTCTTTTGTTTCAGCGGTTGTTGCTGTTCCTTTTGTATTCCGCAAAATTCTTATTAATTTTACTTTTTTTTTGTTCTGTTCTTTCGGCAGAGATGGTGATGTTCTTATTATATTTTTTTTTCTTTTTTTATGTATTAGATATAATAACAAAATTTTTATTAACAATTTAAGCGGATAAGAGAAGAAAAAACAAAAAGGTTGGAGGCTAATAAAGGGAAATGATGAAATAAAGAATTGTTGAAATTAAATGATGAAAAAATAACGATCAAAAAATATTTGAAAAAATAACCGTCAAATATTTTTCAAAAATTAAAGAACATTAATTTTTTGAAAATATAGCGGTTATTATTAGAGGAACTTAAAAAAATGGTCAACATACATACAAAAGCGAAAGAAAGAAAGGACCAACGATGACTAAATAAATAGAGCTTCATTCGGGCACATTTATGTATTTAATATATTTAATATATTGGTTGTGTAATGTAAATTTTTTTTATTTTTCAAATGACAAAAATCCAAAAGCAAATAAAATGTTCAACAGAAAATAAATGACTATCAATCGATTGGATGTTAAAAAATTAATAAATTTGATAAAGTTGCAGTTTTTAGCGAAAAACTTTTTTCTCTTTTAAGTTTCTCTCAAGTTTTGGTGGAGCTTAAATTAAGCTAAGCTTTTTTTCTTTGTTTTGTATATTTTTTTTAAAAAAGTGCTTTTCGAAGACTGATTTTCCAAATATCCTGATAAAAGCGCATGGAAAATATAATAAATTAAACAAAAAAAGGAGATAAATGAATGAAATGTAAAAATAATAAGGAATACATTTTTAAACTTTACAAAAACTGCGCGTATCTTTCATTTTCTTCTTTCTTCATCTTTATATAAAATGTTTTCTTTCAGAGTTGACTCAATTAAAGGAAAAAAAAATATAAATTATATATAACTGCATTAAACGATTTCTTTCTTTTTTCTTCTTCTTCTTCTCTGCGACGCAAAAAAATTATCTTATTTAAATTTGTTTTAGTTGATAGTTGTTTTTATCATCTCGAATTTTTGACAATTTAGTTTGGTTAGTTATCATCTCCCACTGCTGGTTCATCTCCATCACCTTGCGTGTCTGATGTCCATAATGTGAGGTTGTCTCTCAAAAGCTGCATAATAAGAGTTGAATCTTTATATGAGTCCTCATTGAGTGTGTCCAATTCAGCGATTGCATCATCGAAAGCCTAAAGAAGACATTCAAGATATTAATTAACCATTCTTATTCCAAAAAAAAATGTTAAGCATCAACTTCTAATAATACAAGAGATATTTACGAATAAAAACTACTATAGACGAGGTCACACATGACCTACAAAAGCGCATTTTCCTCTCAAATTAATATTCAAAAATTATTTGAAAAAATCCGCTAAAATATTTTTGAAATTAGTTTTTTTTTTAAATTCGAGGAAAGTGCGCTTTTTTAAATAATTAAAGGTGAGAAAAAAATGAAAATGTTCACATTCCATTAGTTTTTCACTTAAAATAATGCTGCTAATCTAATTTGCTTCGTTGCTGCTGTCGCTTTTTGTCAATACATATTCTCTAAATCTCAATATATATTATTATATATATAAAACATCAGTCAGTCTTAATTATACAAATCTTCATTAATCATTAGGCATAAAAATAACACATGTGATAAAACCACATCACGCAACACACCATCAAACCAAAATACTGCAAAATACATCCAGGGTAAAAATATTTGTGTATAGCACAATAACACATCAACTTTTCTTGCCGTGATGTTATTAAATATTTATAAATTAAGTAATGAAAATTTCGGTCTCTTTTTTTTCTCTTACTCTCATTTGTTGTGTTAGTATCTCCAGTTACAACATTTATCGATTTTAACACGAATAATAAAAAGAATAAAGGAAACTCAAAAAAAAAAATTAAATCAATTGACCTAAATAGCCACAGAACTGCATTGTCCACTTAGTAGATTTTAATAGACAATGCGATAATATTAGTATTTAAAAAATCAGGAATGGCTAGTCTAAGATAAAAAAGAAACATTGCACGATATTTGTTAGTTCCAGACAATCACTGTTTTTTTTTGGACAAGTCAGGCAAGTGACATGCTGTCACAGGGATAAAAATAAATTAATTAAAAATCTCTATTTGACTTTTGAATTAATTGATTTGGTCTTGATACTGCTTCGCGTCATTCCTTAAACATAATTAAGTTTTTGACTTCATTCAAGCTCTAAAGGAATTAAGCTTTAGTACAAATAAAAAAAATATTTCTCTTTGATGTGCATAATACAGAATATCTTTTATATCGTTGACTTCATATCAGACGTTAAGCTCCTTTTTTGAGGTTCAATAAACTTCATCAACATATTAAGTGAATATAGCAGGCAAAGATGGAGTAATAAGTACATTAAGGATTCATTAAAAGAAATATGTCAAAAGGACCTTCTTGGGAATTGAATATGGAGAGATACATACGTGAATATATGTGGACAGTCCTTAGAGACATTAGAATGGAAAAATTAATTACGCAGCACACACAAAAATGTTACGTAAAGCTGTATGGGATAAAATAGAAGTTTGACAAGTATTTCGTAACTCACGAACAATCCCACACAGCACAAGAATGTGAAGTCAAAACAAAATTACATTAAGGACAGTAAGGAATGCTTTTTATGGCTCTTGACGTAACCATGATCATAATAAGTATCATCATCAATCACAAGACCATTTCAATTGATTCAAAAGACAGAATCATTATTGTTTTTGACTCGTACCTGTTTTGCTAAGTGACATGCCCTCGCTAATATATTTTTAAATGAAATTTTTAATTCCGCAAAGTGAGTTTATACGTAAATTTTGGGTCCAATTGAACAAAAAAAAAAGGTAATGAAATAAAAAGAGATAAATTAATGAGAAATAAAGTCATAAAAGAGTTTAAACGTCGCGGACGGTTCATTTACCAGGAGAATTGATAATTTCATAGTAAAATACTGAGAAATTGAGCGCAAGACCTAAACGAATTGGATGCGTTGGCTGCATTTTGGTTTTGGCGATATCGAAAGCTTCTTGGTAAGCCTTTTGAGAATCATCAACAACGGCTATAATTAAATTAATAAGAAACAGAATTTTTTAAAAAAAATTTTAAACATCATAAATATGCCGTGAAGCTGTATACATAAAAAGTTATATCTTAAATGTCGGGTAAAGGTAAATAAACTAAGGGGAAAGAGTAAACATACTTTTTTTTTGTGATTAGAAAAATATCAAATGTATGTATGGATAGAGAGCAACGGACAGTCTGTTAATGACTCTTTTTGTTCCCAAAAAAAAATTGCCATGAAATGATTTCGTTATTAAAATAAATATACACTTTGATCAACGAAGCAACGACGACGAGCAGCCACTGTTTGTTTATAAGAAATAGAAATTAAAATAAATAGAATCCACCACCAATCATCATCATCTTCTTCATGCTCCATATATTTCAATGAATCACAGAATAATCCAAAAATGATGAGTTTTATATCCAACAGAAGTACTAAGTAAGTGATTGTGAAATGCTAATTTTTGTGTCTACCTGCTTAGCTAATTGACATGCTCTGTCGGGTGAGTTTAGAATCTCGTAAAAGAAAACTGAAAAGTTTAACGCCAAACCCAATCGAATAGGATGTGTAGGCTGCATGTCGGTCTTTGCAATATCGAAGGCGTCCTGATAGGCTTTCTGGGAATCTTCAACAACAGCTATAAAAATGAACAAAAATGTTATGGTGAAATAAAAAAAAAATTATGTATGATTAAATAAATTAGATGGATGAGACTTTTTTTTCCTTGTGTCCAAAACTTATTTATGTGCTCATGTTCATGTTCAGATATTCAAATGTTTGCTTGACATAGTCAGGTACCGTAAGAACTAAATCAATTTCGTGAATTTAAAATAACCGCTGAATTTCATGACTTGAGCACATAAATAGGAATTGATTGTGTCCAAAAAAAAGTGAGATTAGACATAGCAAAAACTCCACATTGATTATGAGATGAAAAGTAAATAAAAAGAGAGTAAAAACACACAAAAGGGAACAAACAACTTCAACTCGGGATTAATTTATATCCAAAGAGACATAAATCTCCTTTGGATAAGAATGATAAAGTGTAATATGGACAAAAATATATTCATCAACAACGAAGCAGCAGCAGCAGCAGTTTCTTTCATTTCTTTCTTCCGATCATTCACGATTCTTATTTCTATTTGCTATCCATCATCATCAATGTACCTGCTTTGCTAAACTACAAGCTTTGTCGGGTGAATTTAATATTTCATAATAGAAGACGGAAAAGTTCAATGCCAAGCCTAATCTGATTGGATGTGTTGGTTGCATTTTGCCTTTACTAATCTCGAAGGCATCTTGGTATGCTGCTTGTGAGTCGTCTACTACGGCTGTTTATATAAAGTTCATATAAAAGATGTTTAAAAATTGTTTATGCAAAAAAGAAGGAAATCAAAATATTTAAATAAGAAGAAAGGTTGGATAATATAAATGAGTTCAAGGAATCCAGATCCAATGATTTACCAAAAAATGAAGAATATAAAGCATATAACAAATGGAAGAATTATACCACTTTGGGACACTATTTTTTTATGGAAGGATAGAGAACATAATATGAATAATAAAATGTCGTCGACGATACTTACAGTTGCGTGTTTCGCCGGTTGCAACTTCAGCCAAATATCTGTAATAATCGCCCTTCATTTTCAAGTAAAAGACTTTGCTTTCTGGATTACTGGCTTTGGGGATTAAGAATTTGTCCAAAAGTCCCTAAAAGAGCAAAATGACAAAACAAAAAAAAAAAAAAAGAAGAAAAAAAAAGGATGAAGAGAAATGAAAAATGAATGTCAATATGACATTAAAGCATGACTACATACCAGCACTTCGTAACAAATTTCCCTAAGCTCTTTTTCGACACGCTCTCTGTATTCTCGGGCCAACTGTTGCTTTCGAGCTGAGGATTCCGTTTTTTGTTCAATTGATGAAATTACACGCCATGATGATCTTCGAGCACCGACTACATTTTTGTAAGCAACTGACAGTAAATTTCTTTCCTCATTCGAGAGTTCTACGCCCGTTTCTGTGACAGATTTCATGGCTTGTGCCATATCATCGTATCTAGACGTTTATTTGTGTGATGTGAAATATGATTAGAAAGCTAATTAATTAAATTATGCTGAGTTTGCTTACCTTTCTGACTGTTCGGCGAGTTTTGCCTTTTGAACGAGTTCTTCTTTATCGACGGTTGACATTTTTGCTTCTGTGTGTTCCTTAAATGACAAAATATTGAAATTGTTACCCTTTTTGCTTAATTTTTATCGTCGAGAATTGGTCATATGCAATAATTACTTTTTAAAGGGGAAACTGGGATGAGTTTGACTATAATTACGTGTGTATTTAATTTAAAGGGAAGATTATGTATTTATTTAAACTCCTTGCTGGCTAAACTCAATATCCTGAATGACCCGGGGACTAATCAAAGTCGCTAATTTTGAAACCCTAGAAATAGACACAATAAAAGAAGAAAAATGAAACATTAATTTCATAGTAATTGTCATCGCGAGAGAGATCATATAATTCAATTATTATTGTGACGTTCAACTACACCGGAAGAACTGAATCAAGTTGAAAAACTTTTTTTTTTATATTTTTCATTCTCTCCTTTTCGAACAGGAAACAGAAAATCAATTTTGTTTTGTATTCTTTTTTATTCAGAATACATTAATGCATTAAACGAGACTTTTAAGTTGCTTTACAAACTGTAATTAATTGAATTGAAAAGTATGTTCAACATTGAAATTTTTTGTGTGTACGACAATCGTCACCTGCGTTTTATTAGGATTTGTACATGATGTCGTGAAAATTTAATTATTATGCAAGTATATAAAGCACTCGAGTCACCATATTATGTGTGTGTGTCATAAAATAAATAAATTTAATTTCATCAAGTTTAAAACAACAGAAAAGGAAGAGAAAGAAGAGCCTCGCTTTACATGTTTACAGATGGCTTTTATTTTATGTCGGTCGGTAAATCGAAATGACCCTGAAGTCAGCTATATTCAATGTGCAAATGCAATGCTAAAAACGCAATTGAACTGGTTTTCATGGTGAAAATGTGAGTGGCAACGATAGAACAAAGGGAATTGTATAATAAATAACAAAAAAGGATTTATTTGAGCTTCTCCATAATATACATTCCAATTGTCTTCGACATTCATCCTTGATAATTATCCTCGTGTTTGCCAAAGTTGTTGTTACTTTAATGTGTATCATCAAAAGTTTGCGTTATGAAAAATTAATTAAAAACTTTTAATGAGAATATAGAGTGGATAGATATGCGAATCAACACGAAGCAGAGAGAAAAAGACTGGGGAGGAAAAAAAGCACGAGGAAGAGATGAAAAGCACAAAGGCCATAGAAACATTAAATTGAATTGCTTCATTGCTATGAAGGATAATAATTTTAGTGCATTTAAATAAAGGAAAAGGATTAATTAAGTGACATTTTGTCTGTTTGTTCTGTATCCTTAGACTATCTTGAATTTTTTCTACATCTAAAGAATACGTTAGATTTTCAAATATTTCAAAAAAGCTGTATTTTCGTTAAATTTTTGAATCGGGTTCTGACTGTTATTTTTCGTTAAAATTTCAAAAACCATTTGTCAGTTATTTTTAAAACCTATAAAGCCGTTAATTTTTGGGTTTAAATTTTCTCATTTTGTAAGCTCAACGGTTTAATTGTTTACGTGACGACTTCAAGCAAAGCATGGAAAATGCGCTTTTATCAGGCACGCGAGACTTTACAAGTTTTCTTTTTTAATAACCCACATCTATCATTCAAAAACGTATAAAAGTGGAAAAAGATAAAATAAAGAATAATGAAATCATCTTATCGCTGTGTCTTCGAAATGGAATTGACATATTTTTTCGGTTGAACGATAGAATCTATCATATTTCATGGAAATAAGGTTCAATTTCGTTTTATAACAGAATTAAGTAGAAAAAAAGTTGTTTCATAATAAAAGTTTTTAAATTGTCAAGAATGAGAATGAAAATCTCTAGGTTCCGCAATAAGCCCTGCCTAGCATGTTTTTCCTCAGATTACAAATACATCAAGAATTTCTTTCTTACTCTTAATTTAGAGCGAACGTTTTTTTCCAATAAAAAAAAATCTCATCTTACGCAGTACAATGTATATATAGAAGAAAAATCTATATAATGCATACATACAGCGGCACTTGCTGTGAACATATGTATAGATACATAAACTTCTTCTTCCCGATCTATTAAAAGACGAAAAAATAATCTTAGTTACGAGAGAAAAGAAGGAATTTTCCTACAAATTTCAAGCATTATTTCATATTTTTATCTTTGGCTGTTCGGCAAAATAATCGGAAGAGATTATTAATTTTTATGAAGCACATGAGAGAGAGAGAGAGAGATGGAGAAGAAAACAAGCTGAAAGCCGTTTTTGATGTAAAATTATTTAATGAAATGAAATTTCCATTTGAAAAAATTGACCTCAAAACATTCGATGGATGTCCAAAAAATTGACAAACGTGCGCGAAACCAGAAAGTTGATAATAACAAGGGTTTGCATGCTCACACTCCGTCCCGAGAAAAAAGGGTATTCTGTTTCTATCCACCCAACATTTGCACTAATGGCAACACCACAAAAAATTACCGACATGAGAAGGAGAAAAGTTCCATAAAGAAAAAGGCACAAGAAAATCGATATTTGGCTCAAATATTTCAAATGGAATATAAAAGTGCTTTTTGTCCGTTTTTTGTCTGCATTTTTACTACACAATCTCACATTCAATTATTTTTTTTTTCTCTTCCAACATTTCTGCAGTATCGCGCACATACACAAATGCACATAAAGAAAGAAAAAAAATTTATAGTCGTCGAATTGAAGGCTCCAAAAAAGTTACCTGATATTTAGACACGTTTTTATCCAATTTTTTTTTTATATATATCGCAAATATTTTAATAAAATAATTCACAGCTATTTGAAAATCTTCTTAATTATCACTTATTAAATCTAGTGGAAATTTATTCTTAAATCGTAATTAGACAGACTTAAACACAACACATTTTGTTCCTTTTCTCTTGTTTCCTTCTTAAATTATTATTACTATTGTATATAAATGTAAAATTGAGATTCCAATAAAACGAGACTTAAGTATTTACTGCAAAAAAAAAAAAAGAAATGTCTCGGTATATAAAGGATGATGAGGAGATGACTGAAAAATCAATTCTTTTTTATCTCTCTTTAAAAAGAAAATTTCGGGACTGAATCGATATTTTTTTTTTTCTTTCTTAAATTAAGCACAGACAAATTTTTACTAATTCACTAATTAACGCGCGCGATTATTACAAGAAAAGTATTATTAAATTCCTTTGGTAAAATTGTATATCTAAGTGACGTGACAAAAAATATTTCTTTTTACTTTTCTTTTCCAAACTTTAAAGAAAAAGTTTCCAGAATGTCTCTTTCATAAACCAGCAAGAGTCCAACTAGAACTTATCGAATCAACAGTGAAAATGATACTGAAGCCGACAATTTTCCAACCATGCTCAATTTCTCTCATAACTCGACACTATCGTACATTTTCACGACATACAGTGACAACTGTAGAGATGTAGGAACAAGAGTCTATGACTGTATGCGTACGCGCAATTTAAAGAAAAAAAAAATAAAATTGAAACGAAGTGAAAAACACGAGGACTCGCATTGAGAAAATGCGGCATAAGTTACGAAACATATATTAAAGTACAAAATTCGAATTTGATGAAAAGTTTGAGAACATGCTTTTTTTTGAAAGAGCGCATTTAAGTATTAGGTGTGTGCCCAGACAATTTTCCATTAACTAATACACACAAGTACGACATAAACTCCCACATTGATTCTCTCACAATTCTTCTTGCTCTTTCCTCTCCTTCCTATGATTTATCTATCTATATATTTTAAAATTGAGCTGCTCATATATGAAGCACAAAAAAGCTTATCTACTACATTCATATTCCACATAGATATAGCTATGAAAAACACAATAAAATGACTGAGAAAAATTGCAATACAAATGAACATTGAAATGGGGGAGCATATGAAGCTATAGAACGAAATTTAAGCATATTTTATGAGCTTTTAAATGCCTCACTTGAAAAATTTTCATGGTCAATTAACAAAGGGAAATTGAGAGCTTTTTCACATTTTTATGATGTAAATGCTATGCTGCTTAGGTGTAAAGAACTTTATAATCTATATTGTACACACAGAATACACAGCACAAGAGAGGAGAGAATGAAATCAGTGTTGATGTCTTGTGATCAAAAAAAAAGAAGTCACACACAATCATAAAAGTGCTTATTTACGCATTTATGGATTTTTTTTATACAGTTTAAATAAATGCATTATGCTAATGAACTACAACAACAATAACACACATACTAGATTTTGTTCTAAAAGGTTGTTTTTTTATAGCACTGCGTGTATTCGTACGTCCTTCAGAATTGCCTCAATAATAATTATTATACAGAACAGAACTGCTCAGCAATTTAAACAAGCTGTGATTCATTTTATCGCAAATTTATACATTCACTGGCTTCTTTGCAGAATTAAAAGAAATGAAAATTATATCTCTTTATTTTCCAATTCCGTGTGTATGGTTAACGCGTCGCTCTATATAAAAATAATCTCTTACGTAACAATGTGATACGCGAGTACGAAAAATATTAAAAAGTATTTCCACACACAATATGAAATTTTTTTCTTTAAACTTTTTTCCTCTCTTCCGAATCCAAAAAGGGGTCGTTCACTTATAATATCTATAATAGAGTATTTAACAATTAAATATTAATTGTCAACAGATTTTGAGAAATAACGATCGAAATTTATTCAAATTTTCAAAACCAGTTCGAGAACCGGTTGAATTTGACTTCTATAAAACCGTTAAAATTTTAAAAAAAATTGTATTCGTTAAAATTAATTCATATATTTCAAGAAAGTCGTCATTTGTTGACGCCCAAGAATTATGGAAATGATTAAGCGTTCACACACAATTGACTTACACTAAACGATTTATTTCGCACTATTCGAACGCAAATAACCAAAAAAATATTGAAATAAACTTGAGTTCTTAAAGATTGGCACCTGAATTTTTATATTATGAATATCCACAAAGATGTCAATCAAGCAATTGTCAGTTGTTGAAAATCATCCTCCCCAAATAAAAATAATATTTTTATAACAAGATGGAATGACAAAATCCAATAAATGAAGTGACGTTAATATTCTAGCACAGAAAAAATGAAGGATAATTAAACTCCTCCGTCAACAAAACGGTGAAGTCTGTTTGAAAGTAAGTAAAAGAACATGCTAAACTCTCTAAATCGCGTGTTTGTGTCTGTTTAAATAAAGTGTGTATCCATAGAACATAAAGAAAGTCTTTTGTGTAACGACTAGTGGCAATGATGAAAGTTTTATGCGCTTTATGAGTAAATGGAAATGAAGCAACGACATTGAATTTATCTGTAGTAACAACAGGTATTTTGTTACAAACAATAAAACAATTCCGACTTAACTCCTACGTCAATTGATACTTTTTTGAGAAAACAATTTTAACGACATTCGTCGTATGGAATCAGTTAAAGACTTTCCAGATACTCTACAATGCTATTTTTGCCAAAAATAATGCTGATATGAGCATCTCATAATTACGATATTCCACGAAAAAACCAATTTAAGTGGGAGTTTCATGATTCATATTCAATTGAGTTTTTAAATTAATAATTTTCCCAGGCACTTTAATATTTATTGAAAATCGAATTTATGCGCTATAGCGTGCTAGGAATGATAAAAGTATGTAAGCACTTGTAATAAATAATCGAGTCAAATTAGCGAAATTAGGATTAATGAACTATACAGCACTTCCATTATTGGAGTCACTTTACAGAATGAAATCTAAATTAGAATGAGCATATTCCGTTGCACGAAGAAAAAGAATATATAGATTCCATAATAATAATAATAATGAATGAATAGCTAAGAATGTGAAATGAAGGAAACGTAATAATGATGCACAGCAAAGTAAGCAAATGCATGGTAAAAGAGTGTCTAGTAAGAAAGAAAAAAATATATACAACTTTAAAGGCTAATCATTCTTTTAAAGGCGCGCGAGCGATACAAGCTGTCCAAACAAATATGATAATTCAAAAAAGCACGTATATTGGATTGACAATTTGGTGTGTAAGCGTTTTGAGGTATGACATTGCTGTAATTAATAATTTTTTTACAAGTATTTGTAAAGGAGCATTATTGAATATACACGAATGATTCATTATCATTTTAATACAGTAGCAAACTTTAAAATTCATATATGTATGCTCAATTGTTGAAAGCCCTGAATTTCTCGGGTATAAGATTACGTCATCGTCACGTACATTTTTTTTTTTGAAAAGGAATTTAGAGTCTGAAAATTTTTCCTTTCCCTATTCGAAGACTTTGAACTTGAAAGTGTGGATATGCACTTATTATATACGCTACATTTATATACCAAACAGTTGTTTATCGCGATAAGATTGAGCAAAATTTTTTTCGAAAAATAAAAATTACATTGTACATACTAATCTTATCGCTTACTTACTTCCCAAGACATAAACTCGAGAAAAATTGAGATTTGAATTTTTATTATTTTTTTTTATCGAACTTACACGCACGTCACAAATCAAATATCTTTGGCTCGTGTGTCGAGTGAATAGTAATGATTATTTAAATAAAAGTGTGAGATCATCTTTACGTGAAAGAAAGTTATTTGGTGTCTCTATTAGTGATGATTAATACAAGAAAACTCTATAGTCAACCGGCAAAAAGATTAGTGAAATATCATTGAATCGACTGTCTTAACTAGCATGATTTTGCCACAATCAAGACGTAATATTCTTGTTTATCACTAATAGTCACTAAAATCACAATCAATTGAATTATTTCACATTAATATATGAGCACTTTTGAACAGATTGGCACGAAGCTAGACGAAAAATATAGAAAACGGGAGTGGCCATTTGCAAGTGAGGGAAGATTCATCAATTAAGTATTAATAGCTATCGTTTATGCATGATTCTATACCTCCTTTGTATTAATTATGCTTAACTATTATTCAATTTTCCAATCATGTACATGTGACGACATTTTTTTCAGAACAGCTCAAATTTTATGACGTCATTTCCTTACAATTCCCAACTTTAGAATGCGCAATTTTTCATTTCGATTTTTCTTTGACAAATCTCAATTTTCCACTGTTACCAACTACTTTCACACATTATTTAACACTTTATTAACTTAATTTACTTACTTTTAACGTTTGAAAAGGCGTATAAATCTTCTAAATGGCACAGAAAAATCAGAGCACGAAAAAACTTCTTTGCGTAGTGGACTGTCACTTTTTCTCGTCTTTCTTCGTCATTCAAAGTTTAGAAAACCGTTGAGAAATAGTAGTCTTTTTTCAAATTTAAGTGTTTTCAAAGAATTTTCAAACATTCCTATATATTAATTAAGTGGAACAAGCTTAATGACATGAGTGGCATGAGGAGATATCCCATTCAAGTGCTGTATTTAACCAGTATTTTCAAATTTACTTATTGTCGTGGAAACTGCCCTGAGATGACGAATATCCAACGTTGATGATGTATGTAAATAAAAAAATTACCGAATATTATTAACGTGAATTAATATAATTAAACTATTTCATCAGTTTAGAAATCTCTATTAATCATAAAACATCATCAAATAAGTGTGGTAGCTGAAAATTAGGAGCTAGACGAGTATATTAAGCTTAAAAGCTGATTTGTTATGAAAATAAAAACACATTTTTCTACAAATTCATAATTAGGCTCTTTTTAGTATAATTAATACCTTTCAAAATGATCGAGGAAGACGACCCAATAGAGGAAGAGGTAAAGTTCTTTAAATTACAAGAAAACAACAGTGATTTCTAATGGAATACGTCATTTTTTTCAGATTCCAGTGTATCTTTCAAAAAGTTTAGCTAATAATCTTAATGTTATTCAGTTTCCAATTAAGAATCACTTGTATAATATAGATAGGTCTAACATAACAAATTGCTGCTACAAACCAGAGAGTAAGCAGGTAAGTTACAGTGAAAATGCCATCAAAAACAATCATTAAAACTAAGTTTATCATTTGGTCAGGTAAAAATTGATTTTAAACTAGATACTGCTTCGAGAAATTATGATGCATTTAAGGGTGATATGCTTGCTAAAATAGCAGATGGAAATAGGGCATCTACTAGCTATGACAAAAATGATCATCCGACGTTTACATCAGGCAGAATGGACAAAGCAACTTATACTAGCTCAATCGGTGTTGAAAATCCTCGATATGCTGTCGGTTTTATGGAAGCTGGTGGATTATATTTAGTTCCTGTAAAAAGTAAGTACATTTACTCAATATTCTGTTCACTTGATGTCTAATATTTCCCTAATATTGCAGCATTCTTTCAAATGCGTCAGACATACTCATACTTTGATAAAGGTGATAAAAGGACAAAAGCAGAGAAAGGAGATATGGACGAGGAGGAGCCTGAAGAGGATTTAAAGCAAGTCACAGTTAAATTCGCTAGAACTGGTGACAGTGAAAAGATTAAGAAAGCTAGAGAAAAATCATATCGATTTATATCACAAATTGGCAAAGATGAGGCGTGGTGTGAAACATTAATCTATCCAAAACATACAGCTCAATCACAACTAGAACGACACAAAATATCTGGTATCAATATTTGTTCGGATATTTCAACAGGAACTAACATGTCTCAGGATGAATATTTTGATAAGCTTGTGAATTCAGCTGAAGCCGCAAACTCACTAGATGCCTCATTAGCACAGACACTAAAGATAAAGGAAGAAGACACGAAATTAGAGGAAAATAACGGAATGATATTACATAAAGGACCTATAAGTAAACGACAAACTAAGAAACTGCCATTATTAGACCAACTTAAAGTGATTTTAAAGGATGCAAAGATTTTATCATTTAACAATTTAATGGAAATTATGGGAAGTAAGGAAATTACTACAGAAAAGGTACTACAAAATTTAAAACTTTGTGGTATAATGATTCGAGGAAATTGGACATTGCAGTCTGATGTTTTATATCCCCAAAGTTATGTCTCGTCTGTCAATGGAATTTCAGCAGATTTAATGTGTCGAGGACGTGATTATATTTTATATAAGTTAATTAGAAATGAATTAATGTCATTAAATCGACAAAAGATTTCAGCAATTATTCAATTGCCTCAAGAAGAGACAAGAGATATTTTAGAATCTATAGCATGTTTAAAATCAAATAAGACTTGGGATCTCTTAAAGCCACCGGATTATGATTTTGAAAAGAGATATCCAGACATTTGTCAACGTCAAGAGACGTTATGGAAAGCTCAAGAGGAAAAGTTCCTTGAAATGGAAGCTGAGAAAAATGAAAAGAGAAAGAGAACGCGCTCTGTAAGAGAATCAAAAGTATAAAATTAATAATTTAAATGAATAAAGAATACAATTTTTTATTTTGTGAAACTAATTTGCTAGCATATCTTGTAAAGCATCATAAATTTCAGTATAAATTTCATCACGATTAGATTTTGTGATGTGAAATAATCTCGCATTTTTGTGATTTTTCAGCTGATCTATAAGATTGATATTGGCTTTTAAAGGAACTGTTGCTAAGATCTTAAAATTACAATCAATGTTGAGGAAATTTCTTATAGCTGCCTCGAACTTCTTGCTAAACAGTTCCATTTTACCAATTTCGTCTATAACCAGAAGTGATTCATCATGAGATTCCATATATTTCATACACATTGCTTCAAAATCGCTCACGTAGACATTGTACTTTCCCACTTTATAACTCGATGACTTGTTTGTAGGTGAGTTGATTCTAGCTAGCGCTGTTGATGATCCATCGAGTGTATGAACATCGAATCCAGTTCTCTCGCCACTTGCATCTCTACATTCTCCTGTATAAAATCCTTTCATATTATTATTTCCATTTTTCTTTAATTCCTCTACAATTCGCTTAATGATAGTCGTTTTTCCACATCCCGGCATTCCAGTTAACAAAATAAATAAATTTGTCATCTTGTTATAAGCAATTTAAATACTTTTCAGTGAGAAATGTTGATAAAAATATATGAATAAACTAGGCTATCCAGAGGCGCCCGTGGCGCCTCTTATCAGGGTTAAAATTTGATTACTATTATGTAAATAACTGTAAGACGGAAATAACCATGATGTTTTTAAGGTCAATCCTACCACAAAACTTCACATGGCTTCACAAACCTCCTCAAACTCGGACTCAATCCCACAAAAATTTTATAAATGTCTTCACAAACCCCCTCAAACTCGGACCCCCTTAATCCCACTAAAACTTTAATTCCCCCGAAACCCACCATGTCTTTTCACAAAGCTCCCCCCCCCTCAACTGACACCCACCTTGTCAGCACCCCTCAAATCATTGGCTTCAGACGGCTTCACAAATGTCTTCACATGGCTTCTGTTCCAGAGTCAGTGAATCAGTGAATTGGGCTTTTATATATTAGACGGAAAATACAAAAAGAAAATAAAATGTTATGGGGCAAAACCCAAAAAAAAAGGTTCATTCAACATTTGTTTTGGACTTTTTTGAATTACGATGTCAGGATAATTTTTTCTTGTAGAGGACATAAAAATAGACTTGTAAGACAATTTTCAGGTCATTTGGTGCTGTTTTTTGCGATTCTATGGCTGTTTAATGTTGAAAAATGTCGAAAATTCAAATTTTTAATGCCTTTTTTGAAAATTGAGTGGACAGTTTTTAATAGTTTCGTTCAAAAAGTATCTTCCAATAAACGCAATCACTTCAAATTTTCACAGTTTATCTAATTTTTGATGAGATTTTATATAAAAAACCAATTTTGTACTTTAATTAAGTAATTTGAAAAAACCGTTAAATATTCAAAATCGATAACGTGCAAAAGTGAATGAACAACTTTCAATGACAAAAAAATTTGTTAATAAGTGTGTTATGGTAACTTTTTAAGATGGAAATCCGAACATACAAAGAGCATGCTCAGAAAAGTGAGCATATAAGTGAATCTACTCAAAAATTATACTCATGCAAGCTCATTCAACTGAGCATGCTCAGGAGTTCATTACGAATGTACTCACTTTATTTTTTTGCAAAAAATTTATAAGCTCACGTGAGTACATTCAACGAGTGTACTCATGAGAATATTAAGAACATACTCACTTCTGTGTGACATAATTTTTTTACGTTCTCATTTGAGTGCACTTACTGAACATTCTCATGAGAATATTAAAAACATACTCATGGGTATTTACTCTTCTGAATACACTTTTTTAACATACTCATGAGCATATAATTAACATAATTATATCTATATGACATTTTCAAAAACGTCGACCAACTTAAAATCGAACTTAGAATACATTTTTATGTAAGTCGACATTTTCAAAAATGTCGACCAACCTAAAATCAAACTTAGAATACATTTTTATGTAAGTCGACATTTTCAAAAATGTCGAACAACTTAAAATCGAACTTAGAATACATTTTTATGTAAGTCGACATTTTCAAAAATTGTCGACCAACTTAAAATCAAACTTAGAATATATTTTTATGTAAGTCGATATTTTCAAAAATGTCGACCAACTTAAAATCTAACTTAGAATACATTTTTGAAAATGTCGACTTACATAAAAATGTATTCTAAGTTCTAAGTTCTAAGTTAGTGTAAGTCGACATTTTAAAAAATGTCGACCAACTTAAAATCAAACTTAGAATACATTTTTATGTAAGTCGACATTTTTCATAATATGTTCTCACGATCGTGCTCTGATCAACTCAAATATTTCATAAAAATATAGTTCAATTAAGCAGCGTATCAAACTTCAAAGAACTTAGTTTGCCTGTAATAATATAATAATTTAAGTATGTGTTTTGCCATATAAAAATTATTATATATTTACAGAAAATTGCTCCAAGGAAAAGTGTGAGGTGACAGAAGTTAAGCAACGCAATAGGTTTTTCTACAAGGATGGGTGACCGGTTTTTAAAACTTCCTTCTTAAGTATTTGAGATAAAATGTTAATAATAATTTCAAACTCTTCCAAAATTATTCACAGAATTATCCTTATAAAACTCAAATTTAACTTAATTAATTTTTTTGAATTTTGTGACTTTAACTGATTGCACTCATGAGTGTGCTCAGATGAGCATATACTCATTAATAAACTCACTTAGCATATATCTTTTGAGTATCTTCATGAGTATAAGCTCTTTGAGTATGTTTATGAGTATATGCTCTTTGAGAATGTTCATAAGTATATTCAATAAAAAATGTTGCATTAAAAAAATGTTGCGTGTGGCATGATGCCTTCTCATTTGAGTATGCTCATGAGTTTACTCAGTGAGCTTAATGCATGTCACATAGGAATGTGCTCACTGAGCATACTCAAAAAGGTACCGTGATCGCATCACTTTAATGTATGAAATGAGCACATTCTCACAAAAGTTTGTAAGCTCACAAATAATGTGCTCTGAGTATACTCATTGTATGTTCGGGAAATATAAAGTATTGACGATTTTCTTAATTTACGTTCAAAAATTTTCCACCAAAACCACGTGTTTGTTCGATTTTTCTTAAATTCAAAATGGCTACTATTTCTAATGACTTTTAAGCAAATATGTCATATATTTCAATCTTAATTTACTTAGACTTAACTGATAAATATAGTATTTGTAATAAGCTTTCAGAATATATATAGTTTATCATAGTAAAAGTTGATATTATGCAAAAAATTAATGAAATATTATTTTCATTGGCGATTTTCTCACAGTACAGAACATTAAATTGAGTAAATCTTGATAAATACTTTGCATATATAAGACTTTTTGGTATGAATTTATTGCATTTTATTTGTACAACATTATGTAAATAATTTCAGTTTGCTAAAAAAATTATCCATCAAGTAACAAGCTGTCAAATAGTATTTTTTTAAAATTTGTTTAAAATGAATATCTATTGCAGAAAGTAATTTTAAATGTTAAATTTTAACAAATTTATGCGTTACGAATCAAAATGTATAAAGTTTTCAAGACAGAAAGTAAATTTTGCAAAAATTTATTTTTCATTATTTGAGAAGCTCAATTGACATACTATTTGACAGCTTGTTACTTGATGGATAATACCAGACTACCGTCATTTCATATAACATCCGTTAAATTTATATTCAAAAAAATTCAAATTTTTTATGGCCGTTATAATATTCAAAAATTTTTGACGGTTAAACCAGATTTTACCATGCACTTACTCATTTTGCTCAAATTTTATTCTTAATAACGTTGAGAATGGATAAAAAAAAATATAAAATTAATAATTTATGAAGAACTTTGGGATTTGTGCAGAATTGGTATTAATTAAAATAATTTATTGTTTACATAATGCAACTATTTTTTGAAATTTGAATTTTCGGCTCTAATGTCGAAGAAATCGAAATTAATTTCGAAGAAGTCCGAAACGAAATGGCGGTAGTCTGGATAATACTTTAGCAAACTGAAATTATTTATGTAATGTTTTACAAATAAAATGCAATAAATTGATGCCAAAAAGTCTTATATATGCAAAGTATTTATCAAGATTTACTCAATTTAATGTTCTTTACTGTGAGAATATCGCCAATGAAAATAATATTTCATTAATTTTTTGCATAATATCAACTTTTACTATAATAAACTATATATATTCTGAAAGCTTATTACAAATACTATATTTATCAGTTAAGTCTAAGTAAATTAAGATTGAAATATATGACATATTTGCTTAAAAGTCATTAGAAATAGTAGCCATTTTGAATTTAAGAAAAATCGAACAAACACGTGGTTTTGGTGGAAAATTTTTGAACGTAAATTAAGAAAATCGTCAATACTTTATATTTCCATAATAAAAAGTTACCATAACACACTTATTAACAAATTTTTTTGTCATTGAAAGTTGTTCACTCACTTTTGCACGTTATCGATTTTGAATATTTAACGGTTTTTTCAAATTACTTAATTAAAGTACAAAATTGGTTTTTTATATAAAATCTCATCAAAAATTAGATAAACTGAAAATTTGAAGTGATTTCGTTCAGTGGAAGATACTTTTTGAACGAAATTATTAAAAAAAATTGTTCACTTATTACGGAACCCCCCTCCCCCTTGTTACAATATGTTACAACTCACAACCCCCCCCCCCCCCCCCCCTGAACGTTCATAATTTATTTTATTTTGATAAAAAGGTGGAAATTTAAAAAAAAAAATATTTTTAATGTGAATTTGTATGTATAACAAAAATTTGTAACTTTGTAATTTTGGTACCAGTGTAGTAGAAAGTGTATGAAAAGCCAACGAAAAATATCTTCAAACATGCCGTAACTGTCTTAAACGGTCTTCTTCTACCCTTATATTTTCTATGCGAAGCCAGACAGCCAAATTAGTAGAAATCGTTCAATTTAAAAAGAAGTCTTTGACTGTCTTGAAATGGATAGACTGAGAGAAGCAGAGGAAGATTAATTGAGTATTGAGCATTAATGCTTAGATTTTAAGAGTTTAGAGTGGTTGTGTATCTCTTTTGCTGTTGTAAGTTAAGATTACCAATTATATTCAATTTCTTCCACAGAGCATTAAGAAACGAATGAAAATCCATACTGAGCATTTTTTTTAAAATTAAATTTTTTATTTACATTTAAATTTAAGTATGTACAAAGTTTCTATTCATTTTGTTGCTTCTTGTTTTTTAAGGTTTTAGGCATTCAATTTGCCTTTTTGTCTCTTAATTTTTGATTTCATTTACGGATTTTCCTTTCTTTTGTATTTCATTTGATTTATTCGGTGTTTTGAGAAGCAAGACGACTGTTGAAGTTCGCTTGCAACTTTTCGACGTAGTCTTCAATGGACGGTATTTTCGCTTCTGTATGAAGATCGGTGATCCTTTCATATCTTGTTTTATTGAGAACAATTCTCAAGAATTTGTTTTGCAGTACTTGAAGTTTTTGAAGGTGGGTTTTTGCCATGCTTCCAATTGCTGGACAACCATATGTGAATATTGGTCTGATGGCTAGCTTGTAGATGAGAAGTTTGTTTCGTACCTCGAGTTGTGAGTTCCTGCTGATGAGCGGATAAAGCTGTCTTAATGCGGTGTGAGCCCTATTGGTCACATACTCCACATGCGGCTTTAATGTCACTCTCTTGTCGATCACCATTACCAGATATTTAGCTTCTGTTTCCCAATTGATGTTTTCGTTGAGAAATTTGATGTTATTTCCTGGAAGTTGCCTGGAGTGCCTGTTTCTGATGAATAAGGCTTGAGTCTTCTGTTTGTTGAGGTTGATCTTCCATTTATTCATATATTGTTGAACTTTTCTTCCTGTGTGCTGTAGATGTGTCACAATATCGGCCCATACTGAGCCATACAACTAAGTTATATCAGGAATATTTGAATCAAAAAAACAAGAAGACTGATCGGTAAAAAACGGACCTAAATTCAAAATGTACTTCAAGCTTATATTGATTATCTGCTACCTTTATTATCTTTAAGTAAATCATTTGATTATTTATTCAAAGGATTAAGGATATCGTTTGGGTGATTCAAGAGTGCTTTCGATCCCCATGATATTTTTTATTGCCCGAATCACGTTATACTTTTTCAGTTCTTGCTTAACATGTAACTGTTAAGGAGATACTTTATCAGTTACAATCAAAACACATAAGATAAAAGAATATAAAAACAAACGAAATGAAGCTACAAGTTACTTTAATATTTATCTTGATGTTGAGTCAAATTCAGTGTTGCAAATGTAGATGTCTACACTAGATGAAGAATGTAGATTCTTCAATAGTTTTCGTCTAGCTAAGAAACTTTCTTCATAAAGATCGATTCTACATGAAGATAGAAAATCTAATCCACACAAAGATTATTTCTACATAAAGATTCTGTCTACATAAAGATTCGATGTAGATGTCTACAATTCTACATTTTTTCTAGGTCTACATTAGAGAAGAATTTAGAATTGTAGACATCTACATCGAATCTTTATGTAGACAGAATCTTTATGTAGAAATAATCTTTGTGTAGATTAGATTTTCTATCTTCACATAGAATCGATCTTTATGAACAAATTTCTGTCTCAGAATTTATCTGTTCCAGACAAATCGCCAGAATGCAACACTACTCAAATTTTATGCTAATGAGAACTGTCAATTTCCATTCTTCCCAGGAACCCAGGCAAAGAAATGCCATTTCACGAAGGATTTCAATTGAAATTTAACGGAAAAATAAATTTCAAAAGAACTTAACGAAAATGAACTTGGATTAATGAACGAATTTAATTAATTTTGAAAATTAAAAAGTCGTTAAAACTGAAAATGCAAAATCGTGGCTGATATAATATTGCGCAGCAACGTTATAACATTAAAAATCGTTACAAAACTTAATTAAATTAGCCAGTACTTAGCCTTATCAAGCGTCATAAAATGTCGGCTAGAGATGAAAGACGTTATCGCTTATAAAAAGAATTTACATCCTTTGTCTGGTTGCTAAAAATGTAAAATAAATCAAGGCTGTGCTTTTGATGAATTATATTTTTATTTTAAGAAAGTGTAACTAGCATTAATTATTTTTTTTTGTATTTCATTTACAATTAACATTGTGTTACATTACTAAACTGTTTTTCACTTTCTTTTTTACTCATTTTTTTTCTGTCTGTCTTAAGTACTTACTGAAAATTGTTTAGAAGGCGTTCTTGTCGTTTTCTTTATAATATTCATCATCTTTTTGTTTTATTAAAAAAATTTGCAGTGTTCAAAAATTAAGCATTTTACTTTACTTTTCTTCTTCTTTCATGAAATGAGTCTGGATTTTTTGTTCCTTAAAAATTAAAAAAAGAATCAATTTTCTTTCTTCATGATTTTTTAAAATCAATAATTAAATTAATAATTTTAATAAAATTGCGAAATATTAAACTAACTTTTCATCATCTTCAATCATCATCTTAACACCTAAATAACTTTAATTTTTTATTCCCTTAAGTCTATAAAAAGTAATCATCATCATGATCATTGTAATCAGATGTTACCACCATTATTTTGGCATAAAAGGCGCTTGATTGCCTCCCATGCCCATTTGATTTCGTTGATTACTAGTATTATTGGTGGCATATAGCTGCTGTTGAAAATTATGATACTGCTGAGCATAGTTGGGATCGGCCGTACTTGGAAAATGAGATTGTTGTTGCTTATTGAAATGTGGACCGTTTCCACCTCCTCCCATCATTTGCATCTCGGGATTTGGTGGAGGAATGGGACTTGATTTTGGACCGGCGACAAACATTTGAGGATTCTGTTGATTTGGTCCCGGTCCCCCGCCAAACATCATTTGATGATCATTCATATTAGGGTTATTTGAACTATTAAATGTATTGTTTCCCATCATGCATGGATTATTAATATTTCCCGACGGAGGTCCTGAAAATCGCATATTTCCACGCATTCCACCGCCTCTCATCATCATTGGATTTTGATTCATCATGCCAGGTGGTGGACCACCATCCATAGGATCCATTCCAGGGCCCATGCATTGATTAGGATTATTTTGATTAGGAAAATATGGCATATTCTGTTGATTACCAACATTAGGGGCAGCACCTTTATTCATTTCATCCATTCCCATTGGATTTGTATATCGTTGTAGAAACTCTAGACTCGGTGGTCGTGGGGGATTTGAGTTATTCATTTGAGGTCGGGCAGGCAAGTATTGTATCGTGTTTGGAGCATTGGGCTTAACTTGAATATTTGTACCATTATAACCCATTGGAGGTCTTACCATTCTCATATTTGGTGGCATTCCACCGCCTGGACCGTTTGGTGGGAATCCCATTTGTGGACCAATTTTTGGTGACATTGATCGTGGACCGCCGGGTCCCATTGGAAATTGATTAGGAACCATGTTTCCCATATTACCTCCGAAATCCATCTGTCCATCAGACATTCCCATTGGACCCATATCATTCATCATTCCATTATTATTAAAGCCACCCATCATTGGTTGACCATTCATTGGATTCGGAACTCCTGTACTCGTTAGTTGCTGTGACATTTGAGCTAATGATGATATTGGATCGAAATGTGAAGGTTTTGTGTTAGGCATTGCAGCATTACTGTTTGGATTGAGTGGTAGATTTTCCGGTCGTCCACTACACGATGGAAACTGAGGTCCCTAAAATAATTCAAAGAAGAAAAAATATGTTATTTCTGTGCCAAATTGATAAAGAATAGTTTTGAGCGTACATCGCCTGGCTTTTGATCCATAAAGTTGGGCATCTTATTACTGTTCTGTGGAACATTCGGCCCAAAAGGCATATTCGGTGTATCGTTTGGAAATTGCATATTGCTTTCATTTGATTGCTGATTATTTCCTTGCGGATGTGGTGAAAATTGCGTCGGATCATTTCCCATCATTGAGTTTGAACGCTGGAGATTGTTTTGTGGACTCGGACCGGCTGAGTTTATTCGATTTTTATCGCCTTGAAATAGACATTGTAAGAAAAAAGTATTAGAAACACGTATTTAAGCGACAACTTAATAGTGTTTGCTCATTGACTCAACATTGAGTATAATCAAATCATTAATTTTATGTACTTACCTGATAGGGTTGGGGCTCCAGTGGTATGAGGACTTGAAGGTATGGAGAAATTGTTCATGTGAGGATTCGCTGATGAAGTTGGAGTTTTTTGACCAGGAAGCCGATTGTCAAGATTGAGATTTGCCTGATTTTGTCCACCGCTGTAATTAATAAACAATATAATTTTAGACACATGCCAATTTAAGATCAGTGAAGCAACTTACAGGTTCGGTGTTCCGTCCTTGTTGATATTTGCGTTGGGCTGCTTCTGTATCGTCAGTTCTTGACCTTCAAATGTATTTAAATAAGAGATTTGTTGAGGTGATGGCACTGGCATTAAATTGGGCTCTTTATTGTCTGTGAAGGGTGCCACAAACAAAAAATAAGCAAAGGAAATAAAGAGGTGCAAACGAAAAATAACAAATAAAGCAAATAAAACTACGAAAACAAACTACTAGAGTAGGGTCGGTCATTCACTTACTAGGATTAGTGCTCATATCGAGATCTTTGAGGCTTGCACTAGGTGATAAATGCGATGAAATCGGTGTACTAGGATTACTATGATTAATTTGTCGTCCCATTGCTGGTGAGTCTTGTGATGATGTTGTGGGACTTTGTCGAGGATTCATATGTTTAAATTGTTGTGGATTCATGCGAGAAGGATCACCGGCAGCAGGTGAATTAAGTGTTGAACCTCCACGTGGTGATGGCAACGAAAGATTAGATGTGGGATTATTTGGACTATTGGGATTGGGACTTTGCGTTGCTATAGGCACTGATGCTGATCGTGGTGTTTGATGATAAGGTGGTGGAGGTCCTTGTTGAGGTACACGCATATTCTGCATATTTTGCATATTTCTCATTCCCGGTGGCAATCTATTAATCATTTCATTTCCAGGCATATCCATTACACCCATCATCGGTGGACCTTTTCTCTTATTATTATCTTCATAATACTGTTGTTGCATTTTATTCCAATCCATATGTTGCTGTTGTTGTTGCTGTTGCTGCTGTTGCTGTTGCTGTTGCATATTTCCTGGACCCATTGGCATATTTCCTTTTTGATTCATTGGTCCACCACCCATTGGGCCATTTCCAGGCATCATACAACTTCCAGGTACCATTCCCATATTATTTCCTTGCATTTGCGGTGGCATTCCCATCATATTTCCAGGTCCCATTGACATATTATTCATTCCACCCCCTCCCGTATTGCATGGTCCACCACCCATCATTTCGTCGGGATTCATTCCCATATTATTAGGCCCCATTGGTGGTCGACACATATTCATATTACCTCCTCTCGGTCCAATCATCCCCGGAGGAAAATTAGGTCTCATTGGACCATTCATATTCATTGAATTCATAGGCCCGTGAGGAGTATTCATCATTGTTCCTGGTCCTGGCCCGCTACCATTACCACCTTGCTGTTGCTGCATCATTGGACTCATTGGATTCGGACCCATTTTTGAGCATGGAGCACCAGGCATTAAAGGATTATCTTGTTCGTTCATTTGATTCATGTCATTTGGATTCATTGGATGCTCTTGCTTAAACATTTGCTTTAGCTCCTGTAGCTGTGCTAATTTTAATGCACGTTGCTGTCGTTGTTGTGGTGTTAGATCTTCATCTGGCACTTTCACTCCTTGAATGAGTGACGGTATGTTTGGACTTGTTGGATCCATGCAATTATTTACATTTCCTCCCATTTGCCCTTGTGGAAGATTTCCCATTGGACTTGCCAAAGGATCATTAACTAAACTGTCTATTGGGTCTGATAATAAAGGATCTATATTTGGTCCATTTCCAAGTGGATCCATATTCATTTGTTGATTTCCCGGTCCCCACATTCCCATATTATTTCCATCAGGATTATTCATATCACAACTAGACTGAAAACCAGCATTACCGCTACCAGGATGCATTCCCATTTGATTCATTGGTCCATTTCCCGGTCCTTGCTGTGGATTCATTGCATTGTTTTTCATGAAATTAAAATTTTGTTGATTCATAGGCATCATTCTAGGTTTCTTGTTATTATTCATTTGAGGACCCATTTGTTGTGGAAACCATCCAGGACCACTCCGATTAAATTGATTCACTTTTAGAGGAAATTTCTGAAAACAAATATTTAATGTTTATAAATCGAAACGAGAAATGAGTACAATGTAAATTTTATTGAATGTATGTAGATACTTCAGAAAGTATCACGGGTAGGAAAAATTAAATTACCTGCAGAAACTTTCTCGTCTCTGGTTGAGCACAATGATAGGCTATGATCGTTGGAAATTGACCACTTCTAACTCCCTCAGCACCTTTGTTCGCTAATGCCGTTGAAAATACAAATATCTGACTTTGTTGCTGCATATACTGTAAAGTTGTGAACATATCAGTTGACATTAATAGACAATGAAAATCATAATGTACTTACATCCATACTATTCGATTGTTTATTTACAACATTTGATGGTAAGGGTTGAATCCGTTCTGGAGAGCCTTGTGGACGATTTGATCCAGGTTGTGAGTTCATTGGACCAAAATTATTGGGATTCATGTTACTATCTACACCAGCTAACGGATCCGATGATGGATCTTCATTTTTGATATGCATTCCTAATTTACTCGAACTCGAATTGTTTCCATTGCCTGATGAATTGAGTTCGTCATTATTGAGCACTATAAATTTAAGGATGTGAATTATTTTATTAAAAAAGTTTTAGAGGGTATTTAAAGATGTTTTATCCTACATTCGTCTGCAATACTGTTATCATTCGCTGAATCTTTCTCGTCTGCTAGACCAGACAAATTGCTACTATTTTTATTATCATTTGTATCATTGTTGTTATTGCTATCGTTGCTATTCACATTACTTGCACTAGCCGAACCCGGCCCATTTGCAGACGTTGATGATGAATTGGCTGGCTCTTTTTTGATAATATTTGTGGGTGGAGATCCATCTTCATGTTTTATCGATGTAACTATCAATTGTTCTGTGGGTCCTAAAATAAATGCAAGGAAGATGGATTTGAAAACTACTTTTCGCGCACATAAGCATGTACATATGTCTTGATCTAGACTGATTCATGGGAAAACCCAAGAAACTGGTTTTAATCCTGTAATTGGGAACTACATATTATATACTATATACTGTAAGATATAGTAAAACAAGTCAAATTTAATGAAAATCGAACTAGTGACCACGAAAGGAGTGACAAAGTCAAAGGCTTCTAATTCTAGACCACCAAAGAATTTGTCTCACTTTGGCTAATAACCATACACACATATTCAGTTCCACTACGAGCCAATCTACTCAAGATATGGTATATAAGCATTATTGATGAATAAAACATATTGCATATATTTTAATGCTTATGATTTAGTGAGATAAATAAGAAAATAAATAAATATTAACCTTGCTCTATGATCTCTTCTTTAATTCCAAGTATGTTATTTTTATTTGTATTACTTGAACTAGATTTACTGCTACTGTTTGAAGATGATGTCTTTGAGGAGCTAGGCGACGATGTCGATGAATTATTTGTATTGGATGAGTTTGTAGCATTGTTTGCATTATTGTTGCTTTTTGAATTGCCATTGCTGCCGCTTGAAGATCCCGAAGCAGATCCTCCTGATTGCTTTTCTTTCTTATCTTTGATCATTATTATTTACACAACTGTAACACATTTATTCATTAGTATAATAGTTTGTGTTTTTATTTCACATTCGCGAAAAAAAAAAATTGTGGTTTCCTGCTTGTTATTATTTGTTTGATGCAACTGTTTAACGTTTTCACATAGCTAACTTATTAAAATTAATATTATTATTTTCAATTCCAGTTCCTAATTCTTTTTATTTTTCTTCTTCTTTCCTCTCTACGTCTTCTTTTTCTTTTTCTTATTCTTCTTTTCTTTTATGTATATATGCTATATTTATATATATAAATTTTTCATATATTATACACATAAACAACTTGATCAATTAATGTTCCTTTATCTCTTCACAACTGATTAACGTGCACTGGAATTTCATTTATTTTTTTTATATTATTTTATTTTATTCATCTTCTTTCCCTCTTTTTCAATATCATCATCATCATCATATATAAATTCTCAATTCTTTTTTTTTTGGGATGATGCGCGCAAAGTGCTTCTGGAACATAAAAAAATTGAAGCCAAATTTAATTATAAATATCAGTTCACGAGAAATAAAGAATAAGCGGTCAATTTTTTTGTTCGTGTATTTTTCTTCATTTGGAAAGATAAAAATAGAAGAAAAAAAAATTTATTTTCACATATTCATTTTGATTATTACTTTTCCTTGATTTTGCTTGCAATTCAAAATGGGTTTAAATGGCTGCAAAAATACTATTATTTTCATGCGATTTTAAGTGCAGTCTAGTTTTCACATCCACATTTAATTGGAAGTCATGTTTATAGTTTAGAATTTTTTAAATAAATTTTATTTGGTCTTAAATCTTACACACTTTTATAGCAGGTTTGAGTCCATATTCTTTTATATATTTTTATTTCCAGATACACACAACTTTTTCTTGCACGATTTAAATTATTTATTCTCGCTTTTGGAAATGATTACTATATTGAAATCAATAAAATAACACTTAATTAATAAATTTAAAGATTTTTAAATGAGTTTTGTATGCTTCGTTTATGTAAAATTTACTTTAATATTTGTTAATATATCTTGATACTGTATAAGCGATACTGCTCTTTACACTATTCGTCAATCACGTCACCTAGCACATCACAATAACACAAGACCCTCAAAAAAATTATAAAACTTACTTTTAAACTCCTTAATTTTACAAGATTTTTCCTGAAATTTTCACAAATTTAAAAAAATTATTTTATTTATATCAATTTATTACTGAGACATAACTAGCGATTGAAGCCTAAGCATTTCGAAAAAAAACTTGAAAAAGAGCGCTACAAATTATATGGTTTTTTTATTAACATGAACATTCCATCTAGCGAGGAAACTTTTAAATTCTTATTTTCTGAAACTTCTTTAACCGTTATTGTAAGTTTCTATTTACTGTGTTTACCTAACTTATTGTTCAATGTTATGCTTTTAACGAGACATTCTCTTGTGACACAAAATATTTATACAGACCCCATACTCCCACTATTTTCTTATACAGCACGTCATATCTTATGATGAACATTTTAAGACTGAGTAAAGGTGTGACTAAGGTTCACTTTATCCCTATTAGATGTCCACATAAACATTAGCCTAGTATTCTTTAAATTTCATGCTATTCTTTATATTCCTTCAAATATTGACTGTCTATCATTTAAAGTTGATTTTGAGCTGTCTCTTGGTCGTGATGCTTTAAAAGGTGTGCAATCCTATTGTTAGGAGTTAAAACCTTTAAGCAAACTAGCGATTAATATCCCATTAACATAAGCAAACATCCCAAAACATAAATTCTCACCATTCATTAGAATATGCACCAAAAGAAAATTCAGACAACAGCAATACAAAAAGGAGGCGGAGCTATGTTGCATTGAAGAATGTTTTCCCGAATGTTTTGTGATGGCTGCAGTACATACTGTTTTGTGTATGTGAAAATTATGTATTTAAGAATCATGCTCCGAAATATTTTTGCACCATTTTCAATCGAAAACTCATCTCGAACGGAAGTGAAAATTTATTGTGCAAATTTAACCTTTAAAGTTCAAAAAGTCAATTCCAAAAATGGAAAAGTTAAGTCGGAACCAATTGCCGGATTCTTCATCATCACCTCCACTAAGTGGAATCTTTCAGACTTTCGATGATGATGCTATGTCAGACTTACCATCTTGTGTCTACGCCAATCCACATCATCATCATCATCATCAGATTCAGCCTATTCAACTTAATAATTTATCAGCTCAAAATTTGTCACCAAACAGCGCAAATTTAAGACTTAATGTCAACAACTTCAGACAAATGCAGCAACATTTCATGCAGCATGGAAATGAAATGGAAAATCCATCAAATTTATCAAGTTCAACTTCATCATCCACAAATAATTTGGGAAATTATAATGCGCAGATGAAGAATGCAAGGCAACCAGGACCTATACGCGAACGGAAGAGAACATTGAGGTCTGCTCCTAATGGGTACTTATTTTTGATTTATTTTTGTTTCTATTTAAAACTTTTTTGGATCTTGACATTAATTTAATAATTAGTCAAAACCTTAAATGTATTAACAGCTCAATTAATGCAGCATTTGATGATCTACGAGTTCATGTCCCAACATTCCCATATGAGAAGCGATTAAGCAAGATAGACACATTGAGATTAGGAATTGCATATATATCGTTGTTGAGAGAAGTTCTAGACAGTGATTATGATCCATTGACTTATGTTGAGAAATGCTTAAGAGGAGAAATCAAAGCTGACAATGCTGAATGGAATACAAGTGGTAAAGCTTTAATTAATTTACTATTGAACTTTTATTAAATGATTTTTCCTAAAACAGATTTAACAGCAAGATTATCATGGATTAATTGGGAGAATCTTGGAGTACATCCAGGCAGACGAACATTGTTAACAACTTTGGCTTTAGGAGCTGACACATCACATCTTATGGGATCTCATATTTGAATATCAAATGCAATATTGAATGATTTTCATTATTTATAAAATGTGCAATTTCTGGTGGATTTTAAGGACATGAAAATAATTTGTTTATCACTTCTTAATGCTACTTAAGTTCCATCCACAAAACAATTCAAGACAAATACTTCAAACAGAATAGAAATTTGCCAGAAAAAGGAAAAGACTGGTTTTGATGGTCCATGCACGTGGTGAAATTTTAAAATGAATGAGTTGAAAGGACCTTACGCCAATCACGTGCAAGAGGAAACGATTCAAAGCGGAAAAATTGAAGGCAATTGAGGGTGAAAATATGTTTATATGTTATTATCGAGATGTGTTGATTTCAAAATTGTTTATTAAATGATGTGAGCCAATTATAGCTTAAGTGACAATCTATAATTTGATAGAATTAAATGAAAAGTTTAAAAATTCTAGTTTTAAAGGAATATTTAAGAAAAATAAAGGAATTGAAACGAAAAATGATGATATAATAATTCAAAAGAAAGTTCAATGTCTGTTTCTGTCATTTTCAATTTATTCTTAGAAAACATTTCACTGTATGAGCATAACATTTAACATAATATTCTACACAAGATTAGAATTCCGTGCGATTAATAATTTGAGGATCGAAGTAGATTGAAATCTTTAGAATTGAACCTAATATTCGGAAAATTCTCTGAAGCAAGAAGAGACTTAAATTACTGAATGATTAAGCAACAGTTGATAAAGCTGGACTCTCTTTTACATGGATGTGATTTCAATTCCTACCAGATAAGATAATTAACCTCTAAAATCAACTTAAAGTAATTTAAAAACCTTTATAGCACGGAAGTCCACAAGCTTCATCCATCCAAATTAAACCAGCATTAAACGATTGAGCATGTGCTAAAAGAATCAAAGGAAGAGAGAAATCATAGCTGCAAGTGATTTGTATTACGATTGAGTTACATAAAATACAGACTTCTGCTGTGTATTGATTTTTTTCTAAATGTGAGGATCATGCTCTGTCATTTTCACAATTTTCTTTGATTCTTCCCACAAAGTGTTTTGCCAATCCTTCTTATAAGTTCGTTTTGCTGACTTTCTTGGCTTACAGTCTCGATAATATTTGCCGGTCACTCCTTCTACATCCTTCGAAAGTGCAACATGAAGAATTGTTTGTGTTCCTTGCTGAATTGTTTTCATAAATTGTCTAGCAATAAAAATCAGTATACTGGTCGGAAAAGGTGCTTGATTCCATATTGGAGAATCACAAGTACCAGGATGAAGGATGTTTGCAGACACTCTAGTTCCTTCTAAACGTCTTGCCAACTCGTAAGTGAATAAGAAATTTGCAAATTTAGAATTGGCATAGAGAAATGTTGGAAAGAAGAAATTTAATGGATTTAAATCGTAAGCATCATTTGGATTGAAACAAGATACAGAATGAGCTTTTGACGCAACTGTGATAATCCTACTTGGTGCTGATTTCTTCAACAAATCAATTAGTAAATGTGTGAGTAGGAATGGACCATAATAATTCACTGCCATTGTCATCTCAATGTTCTCTACTGTTTTTGCACTTCTAAATGCTCCGCAATAGCCCGCATTATGAATCAGTATATCGATTTTGGGTTCCGTTTCATTTATGATTTTTGCAAATCTACGAATAGAGTCAAATGACCCTAAATCAAGATTATGTAGCACAACATTATGATTTTCACTGTACGTAATTATTTCCTCTGGAAGTGAAGCATGAAATTTGTAAGAATCGACATTCAGTAAAGACTTCAATGCCAACCTTTAGTTTTCTCAGCAGTCTCGAGATTTCTACATGCCATTATGATTCTAGCTCCTTTTGTTGCCATGTATTTAGCTACAGCCTTTCCTAATCCACTGTTGCAGCCTGTTATGAGAATTGCTTTGCCGTCAAGATTCACCTTTATTATGGAATATCGCATTTACACAGGAAGAATTTTAATATTTGGAGATTAAGTTATCAAATTAAGTTTATACGATGGATTATTAACTACCCATATACCCGATCGATAGTTCCTAACCTAACCAGACTATCAGTTAACTGATCAAGAAACTAATTGGTCAATTTGTCTAGGAAGTAATTTTGAGTATTAAAGCGATACAAAGTTACTTACGTTTTTGTCTTTAAATTTCCCGCATGTAAGCTTTACATAAATATTGCTTCCAATTCCAACAACAGCACAAATTGTTAAAATAGCAATCCAAAAATAAATCGAATGCAAATCAAATAGATTCAAATAAACTGACATGCTACAAAAGTTTTAAGTAATTCCCCGATATTATTTTTTTTTAAAATATTCAATTACTTAAGACTTCAAAAAATTCTGCTTATCATCCCAAGACTTTAAGATTCCAAACTAAACTGAACTCTTTATTATTAAGGTCTTTGACAAAATGTTCGAGTCAATGGATATCGTGAGAGAATAAGCAAAGGTTTATGAGAAAATGAGAGTTTATTATCTGATTTATGAATGAAACATACAATTATTGTTACTACAAAGAGAACTTATGTTTGCCAGCACAGAGATTGATGCATGATAATTTAAAGTTAAATACAGTTCAGATTTGTTTCTACAAACTTATATTATTTTGTCACACAATCTATAATTGGCTCACATCATTTAATAAACAATTTTGAAATCAACACATCTCGATAATAACATATAAACATATTTTCACCCTCAATTGCCTTCAATTTTTCCGCTTTGAATCGTTTCCTCTTGCACGTGATTGGCGTAAGGTCCTTTCTACTTATTCATTTTAAAATTTCACCACGTGCATGGACCATCAAAACCAGTCTTTTCCTTATTCTGGCAAATTTCTATTCTTTTTGAAGTATTTGTCTTGAATTGTTTTGTGGATGGAACTTAAGTAGCATTAAGAAGTGATAAACAAATTATTTTCATGTCCTTAAAATCCACCAGAAATAGTCATTCAATATTGCATTTGATATTCAAATATGAGATCCCATAAGATGTGATGTGTCAGCTCCTAAAGCCAAAGTTGTTAACAATGTTCGTCTTCCTGGATGTACTCCAAGATTCTCCCAATTAATCCATGATAATCTTGCTGTTAAATCTGTTTTAGGAAAAATCATTTAATAAAAGTTCAATAGTAAGTTAATTAAAGCTTTACCGCTAGTATTCCAATGAGCTCTATCAGCCTTAATTTCACCTCGTAGACATTTTTCAACATATGTCAGTGGATCATAATCAGCATCGAGCACTTCTCTCAATAATGCTATATATGCAATTGCGAGTTTCAAAGTATCAATTTTGCTCAATCGCTTCTCATAAGGAAACGTAGGTACATGGACACGAAGTTCGTCGAATGCTGCATTTATTGAGCTGTAGAGTAGAATCAAAAATTACACGATTATAATTTTGATAGACGAGTAGATTATGAATTAAAAATGGTTTTAATTTGAATACCCATTTGGAGCAGACCTCATAGTTCTTTTACGTTCACGAATCGGTCCCTGCTGCCTTGAATTATTTTTATGTTGCGAATTGTAATTTGCAGAGTTGTTTGAAGAAGTCGAACTAGACAAATTTGAAGTATTCTCTGACATTTCACATCCATGCTGCATAAAGTGTTGCTGCATTTGTCTAAAGTTATTGACAGTCAATCGCAAATTATTTGCACTTGCTGGTGATAAATTTTGAGTTGATAAACTATTGAGTTGGATATGAGATGGGAGCTGATGATGTGAATTTGCGTAGACACACGACGGTAAGTCTGACATGGCATCATCATTGAATGTCTGAAAGATTCCACTTAGTGGAGGTGACGATGAAGAATCGGGCAATTGGTTCCGACTTAACTTTTCCATTTTTTTGTAGATTTTTGTAACTTTCAAGCACAAGAAATTTTCACATCCGATCGAGATGAATGCTTAAAGGAAAATGGGGCAAAAATATTTCTGAGCATGATTCAAAAATCAGTATTTATTGCAGCCATGACAAAACATTAAGGCAAAACATTCTCCACACAGCATAGCTCCGCCTATCAATTTTCTTCTCACCAGTTCCGTTTTTAAAATTTTCATAAAATTTTATTTTTATCGCACGCGATTCCTTTCTTTTCATCATGAATTTTAAAATTAGACATGACATTAATCTGATGTTAATCACTACAAACAATGATCATAACTAAATTTTTGTTATCTTTTCCCACAACCACATGTGAGCTAATAAACAGCATTTCAATCTGTTTTTCATTGCAATGCTCAATTAATCAATTTATAATTTTCCACACTGTTGAGTGCCTTACATTAGAGCAGGAGTCAAACGCAAAACCCTCTTTTTATACATCGGAAGGATGAGGAACTATTTAAATCCCTATCCCTTCCCCTTGTCATGTTCGGTACTTGAAATCAGCCGCAAGATAAACAATACAAATACGCGTGCACTTCCGATGACCTTGCATTCACTATTCATGACAAGGGTGTTGATCGACATAAAAGGATTTTCTTCTTGTGCTATTTATAAAGCATCAAAATAAATAAAATATTTATGTAATAGTTGTTGACAATAATTGTAACAAATATAAAAATATTCATTCGTTGTGGTTGATACATGCGTATTGTCGCGTGTCTTAAACGATTAATGGCAAGTTAAATATAAAAATAATTTATTCTAATTCAAGAGATTTTTATTTGTGAGAATTATTTTCTGGATCTAAATGCAATTTTAATTTTATTGTTTATGGAGTTATTTTAAAGTGTGAAAAATGCTAATTATCTGTGAGAATGGTTGGTTCCTTTATGATTGTGTCAATGTATAAAGAAACAAAATGAAAAGCAACGGAATCAAAGCATTCCTTAATAATTTTGGTCTCAAGATTGTCAATAACAAGGAGACCTTATTAGGACGCATCTATAAGCTCTGTTAAGTAAAGTATTTAATCTCAATAACCTGAAGTGGCTCGGTGGTTGAATGGTTTAGTACTTCGGTACCTAATTATTGCAATACCGACACAGCGATTATGGGTTCGAGACTGGGTAAGGGATTCTTTTTCGAATCATATGTATTGGAAATGAGGCTCACAGCCTTCCTTTGTAGGTTACAGGCAGAAATGTTATCAAAGTAGCTGGAAAGTAGCGTTTCAGATCTTACTAAAAACTGTAGATTCTTGTCTATGAAATATTATTCAGCGTTCAATGCCCCAAAAGCATGAAAACCTAATCTTAGTCTATGAAATATTCTAGGTTTGAGTGGGAGGTCTGGTGAACCATCACTCGTTAAACTAGTGGGGGTGAAGTGCGGCCGAGACCCATATCGACACAGTTCAAAAGTTATACCTAATTTATGTCATAATTATGTCAGTTACAAAAACACTTAGTTTGAATTTTGTCACCCTTGGGAACACTATGAACCAGTATAGTTGATTTTGGTCCAAATCTCGGCCAAATTTCACACTTATTTGAACCACATTTTCTCGTAAATGTTAAAATATTACTAAAAAGTAATTTTTCCTGAATTATGTCGCTATTTTGTCAAGTGTTTTAAGATAAAGATTTTTTTTTGGTTTACACAGTGTATAGTATGAACAAAATTCAGATGGGGCAGTCAAAAATTAAAATTGGTATGTGATTTACGTCAGAATTATGTCAATTCAAATATAACATCCTAAAATTTTTTTGAGCAAAGAACCAAGTAGGAAATACATTTTCAATTTTGGACTAGGGGCGACCCTAGTCAAAATCAATTTTGTCTTTTTTTTCTCCGAGGGTTTATCCAAATGGATTGAAACTTTGCATAAGTATTCAAGTGCCTAAAACAAATACAAATAAAACATCCTAGAATTTTTTTTGAGCAAAGAACCAAGTAGGAAATACATTTTCAATTATGAACTAGGTGCGACCCCACTATGGGCCAGAAATGGAAAATTTTTCCAAAAATTATTTCTACAGCTTATATGATAGTCCTTATTCTGTCCTACATTTACGTCCTTAAAACTTTGCCTAAGTCGACAGCATGTCCGAGATATGGCACTTCAAAGTTGGTCAGACGACCATTTTCACGTTACATTGAAAATGCTCTCACCAGTCACTGGATGGATGAATCTCCTTCAATTTTTTTTTGGTAATAGCTTTAAATAGTTCCTTCATTTTAAGGTATAAACAATTGCAAAAAACTTTGGAAAATTTTGTGAAAAACTTGATTTTTCTCAAAAACCACGTGTTCGTCATACTTCCGTTTGTGTAGGTCTTCACAAGCACAACCAAAGTTACTAATTTCTTTTTTATATTAAAGATTACATCAAAAGCTATAACTTTTGCATACATGTCGTATAATTTTAACAAAGTTTTGGTAGTGAAAAAAATTTTTTTTATAAAAAAAACACCAATTTTTTGACAAAAATCGCTGTAGTGCTCCAGGGATACCCATGGTAGTGGAATTTTATTTCACATTTAGAAAGCTCTCTGGATATGCTATCAATTAATGCAGTAAAATGAACAAGTGTTCTCTTGGCAAAGAGCACTTTTTTGACTCTGAAAGTCGTATGTCGAGCAAGGTCAAAAAAGAAAAATAATCATAAAAATTTCAGTTTTAAGTAAAATTTAATTTTTTTAAGTTAGATTGATAGATCTTTTTAAAACGCGTCTTTTGAGTATAAATATGTCATAGTTTTGTCAAGTTTCATGATCAGTTTTTTAAAAAAATAGTTTTTTTCAAAAAAAAACTTGAAAAATAAAGTATTTGACTTTAGAATTTCATAAAATGCATTCTTTTTAACATTTTTTTCACTATTTTGTCTAGTTTAGCTCCTCGTTTTTTCCTAAACATAAATCAATAAGAACTTAACATAATTGAAGCCATTTGGAGGTTAAATTGAGTTAAAAATCGTTTAAAATTTTTGTATTTCTTAAATAGTTCTTTACACAAGTATCTAAGATATAAAGTGTTGCATAGTTTTGAAAAGGTATTAAAATTTCCAATATGTTAACATGAAAATTTTAGGAAAATTTTCAAGTAATATAGTCAATTTGGGTAAAAAACGCATTTTATATATGCTAGTTTTTAATGTTTTTCGTTTTTCTCAGCAAAGACTTTATGAAAAACTCTCAAAGTTTGCACACTTATTTGTTATATAAATGTTAATGACTCGTATAAGTTTTGGAATTTTCTATTGAGTTTTTCATGAGTTCTCCAAATCTGAAATTTTCAATATTAAAAATCCTTTTTTCTCAATAATTCCGATTTTTTATTTATAAATAAATATCTTATTTTGTTTCATTTTACAATATCTTTTCATTGATATGTAACAATCTACGAAAAAAATAAGACTAGCGAGGAATCAATAAAAAAAGTGTCAAAAATTTATGAAAATTCTACGCTATTTTAATTTTTTAGCATTTTCTGGTTAATTTTATTAAGTTTTGTAAGAGTGTTATACCTTTTTGCAAATTTATAGCTCAAGACTTTCATCTGCTTTCATCCATTAAAATTCGTATGAGTTTACGATAAGCACAACTGAAGTTAAATAAGCTTCACGTTGGCGACAAAAGACAGTTCCATATGAAGAAAACCAGATATTAATTTTAATGCTATTTGAGCTATAATATTAAACTTTTTCATTTAGTTTTGTTATAAATGTTTCATGTATTTAATAGCAGCCTGAAGATTTAATTTAAAGCTTTTAAATAATTTGATTTTAAAAAATTCAAAATTTTTGGTTGCGCCAACGTGAAGCTTATTTAACTTCAGTTGTGCTTATCGTTGACTCATACGAATTTTAATGGATGAAAGCAGATGAATGCTTAAAATTAACCAGAAAATGCTAAAAAATTAAAATAGCGTAGAATTTTCATAAATTTTTGACACTTTTTTTATTGATTTCTCGCTAGTCTTATTTTTTTCGTAGATTGTTACATATCAATGAAAAGATATTGAAAAATGAAACAAAATAAGATATTTATTTATAAATAAAAAATCGGAATTATTGAGAAAAAAGGATTTTTAATATTGAAAATTTCAGATTTGGAGAACTCATGAAAAACTCAATAGAAAATTCCAAAACTTATACGAGTCATTAACATTTATATAACAAATAAGTGTGCAAACTTTGAGAGTTTTTCATAAAGTCTTTGCTGAGAAAAACGAAAAACATTAAAAACTAGCATATATAAAATGCGTTTTTTACCCAAATTGACTATATTACTTGAAAATTTTCCTAAAATTTTCATGTTAACATATTGGAAATTTTAATACCTTTTCAAAACTATGCAACACTTTATATCTTAGATACTTGTGTAAAGAACTATTTAAGAAATACAAAAATTTTAAACGATTTTTAACTCAATTTAACCTCCAAATGGCTTCAATTATGTTAAGTTCTTATTGATTTATGTTTAGGAAAAAACGAGGAGCTAAACTAGACAAAATAGTGAAAAAAATGTTAAAAAGAATGCATTTTATGAAATTCTAAAGTCAAATACTTTATTTTTCAAGTTTTTTTTTGAAAAAAACTATTTTTTTAAAAAACTGATCATGAAACTTGACAAAACTATGACATATTTATACTCAAAAGACGCGTTTTAAAAAGATCTATCAATCTAACTTAAAAAAATTAAATTTTACTTAAAACTGAAATTTTTATGATTATTTTTCTTTTTTGACCTTGCTCGACATACGACTTTCAGAGTCAAAAAAGTGCTCTTTGCCAAGAGAACACTTGTTCATTTTACTGCATTAATTGATAGCATATCCAGAGAGCTTTCTAAATGTGAAATAAAATTCCACTACCATGGGTATCCCTGGAGCACTACAGCGATTTTTGTCAAAAAATTGGTGTTTTTTTTATAAAAAAAATTTTTTTCACTACCAAAACTTTGTTAAAATTATACGACATGTATGCAAAAGTTATAGCTTTTGATGTAATCTTTAATATAAAAAAGAAATTAGTAACTTTGGTTGTGCTTGTGAAGACCTACACAAACGGAAGTATGACGAACACGTGGTTTTTGAGAAAAATCAAGTTTTTCACAAAATTTTCCAAAGTTTTTTGCAATTGTTTATACCTTAAAATGAAGGAACTATTTAAAGCTATTACCAAAAAAAAATTGAAGGAGATTCATCCATCCAGTGACTGGTGAGAGCATTTTCAATGTAACGTGAAAATGGTCGTCTGACCAACTTTGAAGTGCCATATCTCGGACATGCTGTCGACTTAGGCAAAGTTTTAAGGACGTAAATGTAGGACAGAATAAGGACTATCATATAAGCTGTAGAAATAATTTTTGGAAAAATTTTCCATTTCTGGCCCATAGTGGACCCTAGTCAAAATCAATTTTGTCACTTTTTTCTTCGAGGGTTTATCCAAATGGATTGAAACTTTGCATAAATACTCAAATGCTTAAAACAAATACAAATAAAACATCCTTGAAATTTTTTTGAGCAAAGAACCAAGTAGGAAATACATTTTAAATTTTGGACTAGGGCGACCCTAGTCAAAATCAATTTTGTCACTTTTTTCTTCGAGGGTTTATACAAATAGATTGAAACTTTGCATAAGTATTCAGGTGCCTAAAACAAATACAAATAAAACATCCTAAAATTTTTTTGAGCAAAGAACCAAGTAGGAAATACATTTTCAATTTTGGACTAGGGGCGACCCTAGTCAAAATCAACTTTGTCACTTTTTTCTTCGAGGGTTTATCCAAATGGATTAAAACTTTGCATAAATATTCAAGTGCTTAGAACAAATACAAATAAAACATCTTAAAGTTTTTTGTAAGCAAAGAACCAAGGAGGAAATACATTTTCAATTTTGGACTAGGGGCGACCCTAGTCAAAATCAATTTTGTCACTTTTTTCTTCGAGGTTTAATACAAATGGATTGAAACTTTGCATAAGTATTCAAGTGTCTAAAACAAATACAAATAAAACATCTTAAGATTTTTTGTAAGCAAAGAACCAAGGAGGAAATACATTTTCAATTTTGGACTAGGGGCGACCCTAGTCAAAATCAGTTTTGTCACTTTTTTCTCCGAGGGTTTATCCAAATGGATTGAAACTTTGCATAAATATTCAAGTGCTTAAAACAAATACAAATAAAACATCTTAAGATTTTTAGTAAGCAAAGAACCAAGGAGGAAATACATTTTCAATTTTGGACTAGGGGCGACCCTAGTCAAAATCAATTTTGTCACTTTTTTCTCCAAGGGTTTATCCAAATGGATTAAAACTTTGCATAAATCTTCTAGTGCTTAAAACAAATACAAATAAAACATTTTAAAGTTTTTTTGAGCAAAGAACCAAGGAGGAAATACATTTTCAATTTTGGACTAGGGGCGACCCTAGTCAAAATCAGTTTTGTCACTTTTTTCTCCGAGGGTTTATCCAAATGGATTGAAACTTTGCATAAATATTCAAGTGCTTAAAACAAATACAAATAAAACATCCTAGAATTTTTTTGAGCAAAGAACCAAGTAGGAAATACATTTTCAATTATGAACTAGGGAAAAGCCTAGTCAAAATCTAGTTTTTCACTTTTTTCTCCGAGGGTTTATCCAAATGGATTGAAACTTTGCATAAATATTCTAGTGCTTAAAACAAATACAAATAAAACATCCTAGAATTTTTTTGAGCAAAGAACCAAGTAGGAAATACATTTTCTATTATGAACTAGGGAAAATCCTAGTCAAAATCTAGTTTTTCACTTTTTTCTCCGAGGGTTTATCCAAATGGATTGAAACTTTGCATACATATTAAAGTGCTTAAAACAAATACAAATAAAACATCCTAGAATTTTTTTGAGCAAAGAACCAAGTAGGAAATACATTTTCTATTATGAACTAGGGAAAATCCTAGTCAAAATCTAGTTTTTCACTTTTTTCTCCGAGGGTTTATCCAAATGGATTGAAACTTTGCATAAATATTCTAGTGCTTAAAGTTTCAATCCATTTGGATAAACCCTCGAAGAAAAAAGTGAGAAAATTGATTTTGACTAGGGTCGCCCCTAGTTCGAAATTGAAAATGTATTTCCTACTTGGTTCTTTGCTCAAAAAAATTTTAGGATGTTTTATTTGTATTTGTTTAAGGCACTTGAATACTTATGCAAAGTTTCAATCCATTTGTATAAACCCTCGGAGAAAAAAGTGACAAAATTGATTTTGACTAGGGTCGCCCCTAGTTCAAAATTAAAAAATTTATTTCCTACTTGGTTCTTTGCTCAAAAAAATTCTAAGATGTTTTATTTGTATTTGTTTTAAGAACTTAAATATTTATGCAAAGTTTCAATCCATTTGTATAAACCCTCGAAGAAAAAAGTGACAAAATTGATTTGGACTAGGGTCGCCCCTAGTCCAAAATTGAAAATGTATTTCCTACTTGGTTCTTTGCTCAAAAAAATTTTTGGATGTTTTATTTGTATTTGTTATAAACACTAAAATATTTATGCAAAGTTTCAATCCATTTGGATAAACCCTCGGAGAAAAAAGTGAAAAACTAGATTTTGACTAGGCTTTTCCCTAGTTCATAATTGAAAATGTATTTCCTACTTGGTTCTTTGCTCAAAAAAATTCTAGGATGTTTTATTTGTATTTGTTTTAAGCACTTGAATATTTGTGCATAGTTTCAATCCATTTGGATAAACCCTCGGAGAAAAAAGTGACAAAATTGATTTTGACTAGGGTCGCCCCTAGTCCAAAATTGAAAATGTATTTCCTACTTGGTTCTTTGCTCAATGAATTTTAGGATGTTTTATTTGTATTTGTTTTAAGCACTAGAATATTTATGCAAAGTTTCAATCTATTTGGATAAACCCTCGAAGAAAAAAGTGAGAAAATTGATTTTGACTAGGGTCGCCCCTAGTCCAAAATTGAAAATGTATTTCCTCCTTGGTTCTTTGCTCAAAAAATTTTTTGGATGTTTTATTTGAATTTACATAATTCTGACGTAAATCACATACCAATTTTATTTTTTGTAATGCATAGCTTAAAAAAATCAAAAGCTAAAATTTCGACTACCCCATCTGAATTTTGTTCATACTCTTCACTGTGTAAACCAAAAAAAAATTCTTTATCTTAAAACACTTGACAAAATAGCGACATAGTTCAGGATTAATTACTTTTTAATAACATTTTAACATTTACGAGAAAATGTGGTTCAAATAAGTGTGAAGTATGGCCGAGATTTAGACCAAAATCAGCTATACTGGTTCATAGTGTTCCCAAGGGTGACAAAATTCAAACTAAGTTTTTTGTAACTGACATAATTATGACATAAATTAGGTATAACTTTTGAACTGTGTCGATATGGGTCTCGGCCATACTTCACGCCCACATGCTATGAATTCTTGTCTATGAAATATTATTCAGCGTTCAATGCCCCAAAAGCATGAAAACTTAATCTTAGTCTATGAAATATTCTAGGTTTGAGTAGGAGGTCTGGTGAAACATCACTCGTTAAACTATCATTAGCCTTGTAACGCACTTAATGCTCAGCTATGGATCTTAAAGTCTGAATGCTAAAGTTTATTGTTTCAAGTTATTGTGGAAAGTCAACCACAAGTCATAAGTTGAATGAGGAGTTGTAATGGAGTTGGTAACCAGCTTATCTATCGATCTGTACTAGTCAATAAAAATTGATCCGTATCACTAGCAAACCATGAAAAATAATCAGGATATTCAAAAAACAAGCATCAAAGCGTGCTTAGCAAAAGAATCGGTTAAAGACATTATTACACATAAAAATTACAATCCCTGATAAGTATGCAACATGCGAGCAAAACGAATATCACCCAAAACGAAAAGAGAAAATAAATTTCAGGGAAATTGGGTGATTTGTCAGTTACCTTAGCTGAATTTCAGCTGTCGATTTGTTTTTATTTTTCACAAATAATTTTTAACTCGATAATAAGCAAATAAAAGTGTGAAAATCTTATCAAAATTTATAGCATTTATGAGGCATTTATATGTGTAATCGTGTATGATAAAAGGTTCGATTAAATTTATCGGTGTGATTGTGAAAATTAATAAGAAATCTAAGTTTAAAAAATTTATTGGTGACCTAATATTAAATCGTAAAGTAAAAATTAACTGTTCTTGTGGTGGACTTGTGTCTATATTATTTTGTGACCAAACAACTTGCGTCATCGGTATTCTATCATCATTCCATATTTATAAACATGTTTAAAATTGCAATTTTTTAAGTAAAATCTTTAAAATTCTAAAAGTGACGAAAAGAAATCAATAAATTTTGTTTCCATTGTGTCCACCGCCCATAAAATATAAAAAGTTTGCAGAAAAAAAATGTTTAATTTTATTGGGAAGAAAGAGAAAAAGTCAAGGAAGGTCGGTGCAGGTGGAGAAGAACTTGAGAATGTTGACAAGTTGGAAGAAGTTCGGCGCTCCTTAAAAATTCGTTCAGGAAAGAGAAAAGAAAAAGCAAAATTGCCATCCGGAATCACAGCAGACTACAGTTCAGCATTTTTCGCTCAACTGGATATCGATCGCGGCAATGAACTAGACAGAGGGAATGAGGAGGTTTTTGCTGGTAACACAACCACTGTCATTGATTTAAATAATGGTGATGTATATGAGAGACGTGGTCAAATCGTAACTGGAACAAATTCTACGGTTTCTGCAACGTTTCTCTCGCAACACTCTGACAATGGTTCAGATAATTCCTTACAAATGTTTGCGAGTAGTACAAGTGTGCAAAATTTACCAGCAGTTCCACCGCGACCACCAAAGAGAGGTATTCTGAAAGGTTCCAAAACCAGTCTAGTGAATGTAAACGACTCAGATTCGAGAGCAGTACTAATGCGTAACACATTGCAAAATGAGCGTATGGGTGATGAGGTAAGAGCAAGTCATGCATGCAATAAGCGAAGAATTATTAAATCAAATAGAAATGCTTCCATTGTTTACATTACTGTTCTCTATTGCTGTTTTAGATCGTGTATTCACAACTATCGCCAAATCATAATCATCATAATTTAAACATTGCCACAACACCATCACCGTCAGCAGAAAGTTTGACAGACACAACAAATTCATCATTCGCGACACCTCCATTTTCATTAAGTCCTGTTGGTGAGTCGCAAGGTTTATACAGTTGGACTCGCATACAGCAGTTTGATGATGTTAGTCTTCCACTACCGCCAATTAGATTCGTCTCACTACCGCCAGCAAGAGAATTAATTATCACCAGACGAAAAACTCACGATTTTGGGTTTAGTCTGAGAAATGCCATTGTACTTGATCGTTCGGAATCGCTTTTTATTCCGACATCTAAATCCGTTATTTTTGCTGAACCAGGAGCTTCCACGGGTAATGATACTGGACTTTTGCCTGGTGATCGTTTAATGAAAGTCAATAATCAACCTGTTGATAAATTGCCACGCGAAGCAATTATTGAAATGATCAGAAATAGTGGAAATAGTGTAATTGTTGAAGTTCAGCCTGTTGCTGAGTTAGTCGAGTTGTCAAGACGTTGTATGCCAAAAGAAGGTTCTAATCACGATGAAATCGATAAAATGTCTCAGGTATCAGATTGCAATACACTTCGAAGGAGTGCAAGTAAACGATTCAATCATGTAAGTAAACAATTTTTTGTTCCTTTATTTTATTCACATTACTTACTTGTGCTTGCAAAATCAGCAAGTGAAATGAATGAAAAAAAAACCATAAAAAATCTGAAAATAGAATTATACGCCTCACAACTGCGGCTTGACAATACGACTTGATATCTATCGAGTCATCAAAAAAACAATATTCTACGAAGAAGAGCTGAAAAAAAGCCATAAAAATGACATTCCGCGATTCTCAACAACTCGTGCAAAATGCAATCAAATAGAGCAGAAAGTTGATGTTTACAATTAAACGTTTTGAGGTTTTAACGGTAATCAATGCTGTACTACAATTGGCATTTATTAAGTATATTGGTAAACAAAAATCATTCAGATAATAAGTAGATACGATCTTTGTAGCTATAATGAGCAATTCATAGTGATTGTGCGGGGCTTGAATTTTGTTTATTTTTTTCTCTTTCCATTCTTCGCATTTCTCTTTAACCATTGTGCACAATAATAAGGCATTTCAAATATTTTTAGTGGCATCAATTTAGAATAATCCCCATTTCAAAACAAAATGTTATAAATAGTTGAAAGTTTTGTGACTAGAGCGCAGTTTTTATTTTCTACTTGTTTAGATTATTCTTTAAGATAGCATAAAGATTCGTTAAATTCTAAGAAAAAGACAATCAAGTAATAGTAAAAAGTGACGCATTTGTCTAAACTGGTCAAATCTTGCAGCTATTAAAATCTCATAATCATGCCAAGCAAGTCAATGTGAATTCCCAAAAATAATCCACCATTCAAACAATGTAGAAATTCGTAATTTTTTAAGTCCATCTACTTAAAACACAATTGCGAGAAAAAGAATTTAAATTCAAGACACAAATTCACTCACACAAATGTGGCTTTTGGCACTTGTTAAATTGAATTCATTATCTCATCAGTTTGGTCAGATACTTTTTAACACATTTAAGTAAGTTTTGGAAATTTCATTTCTGATTGTCATTAAACATTTCGTTTCAAAATAATAATAATAATAATAAAAAGAAAGGCAAAGAAGAAGACATGAAAAAGTTCAAAATTAATACAAAGTTTTCGTCTACACGAAAAGTATCGCGTGAAAGCTTAATAACATGGAATGATGTAAACGAACGAAATAAGCGTGAAGTTGAAACAACAGCATCAAATTTTATGAGTGACTTACTTAACAATATTGACACGATTGTTTGTGGTGAATTTTCTGAAAAGTCATCATGCTCGCTCATTCCACTATATTCAGAATCACTAGAGTTGAGAGGAAATAAGCTACTAAATAAAGATGAAGATCGGAGATTGCTTAATTGGAAGAAATGGATTGAAATACGCGAAAAAGAAAGCAAGAAAATTGCAAAAGCAACGCTCCGACATCGTCAAGAATTATTGCTAAATTCAAATCCAAATGATTTACGTAAAATTTTAAAAACGAAAGAAATAATTGAAAAATCGAGAAATAATGTAGGTGACTTGAATTTTTGGAGAGTGCCGGAAAAATCAAGAAATAAATTACATCTTACTGTGCCAAAGTCTGAACAATGTTGTACACCTCCAGAGTTCACTTTTACACAAACACCTGATGCTATCTTGAAGGAACAGAACATTTCTAGAGATAATAAAAAGCCAATGGAAAAGTTCTTGGAAATTGCCGACAGTCATGCACGAAATACACATTTGAATATCAATTCGATTGCCAAATATCGACCGAGGATGGAAAAGCTGGCAGTCTGTGCAAATGTTGAGGATATTGCTAAACAATCGGTGCCAAAAGTTGAATGCACGATTATTAAAGAACCAATGCAGAGGAAGCAAATTTTAGTCATCAATGACAACGTCTTGGATATCGAGAATGAGGACAAATGTGACTACTTACTTGATTTAACTTTCAACAGCTTCAAGTATGAAAAACATTCTAAATCAATAAGACTTGAAAATCGTGGTGAAGTTGCTATCAATATTTATTTCCAAAAATTGAAAATCACGGACCAGTACGAATTCCTCGAACTTCCAACAGATCAGACATTCTTCTTTGATAAAAATCTGTTCCGAATCATACCTGGTGAAATAAAAGAAATTAAATTTCATTTTTATTCAAGAAATTTTGGAGTCTTTAATGAGAAATGGACTGTAAAATGTGACCCGCCATTTATGGATCATCATTCAGCTGTTATTAATTTACTTGGAAGTTGTCAAAAGAAGCATAAAAGGAACGAATTTCAAGAGTTTAAAGAAGAAATTTTAAGAAAATCAGCTGAACAAAATGTAAAGAAGGAAATCCAAAATATTTTGAATCTCGTCACTCCCAAATGCAGGAACTACAAAAGACAGCTGTATGACGATACAGTACGTGAGAAATTTCTCAAATCAAATCCAAATCTCAATTATCATTCAGACGTTGTTGACATACTGTCCGAAATTTACGAGGAAGTTAATGAAAGTGAATGTGAATGGGATTATAATGTTTATGATCTCTATAAAATCATCTTAAATATGCATGACAACGTTGAGAAACAGCAACTCATTTATCATCGATTCAATGACGCTCTACAGCAGCTAATGGGCAAAAGCTTATTAAGTCTCGAGCATGACGATAAAATGATAAAAAATTCTTTGATAAAAAATAATTTTGCGATATTTTTGGAGCAGTTTGAGACCGAAATGGAAGAGACTAATGATATTAGGTCCATTAAAAAGTATTTACTTAATACTATAAACAAAATGATCAACATTTTGGAGTCGTAAATAAAAAATTATGATTTCCGATTCATGCATTGATGTCTTTTGACTTCTTAAAATTGAATAAAAAGATGGAATTAAGAGAAAAGATTAATGAATAACGGATTGGTTTGGGAAGACTAAGAATAGCGGCAACAAGTAAGAGATTGGTGACAAGAAAGCGCAATATTGATAATATCAGCTATTTTAATATATTGTGGAGTTATTGTCTGCTTTGATGTAGCCATTAATATAGTTCTTTTGACTTATCAGCTGCTTGAATGATAAGTACCTTAATCTGTGTATCTACAATCAAGAATCTTTAATTGGATCGCATTCAACATTACTTAAGATATTGGAAGCCTGTACACTAGTAGTTTTGGACAGAATGACAAAACATTAAGCTCTAAGTCATATTAAACCACAATAATTAAGCTAATCAGATTATCGAGATAAAATATACCCAAATAGCAAGTGTAATCACTGCGTAGGCAGTGGACAGATTTTTCAAACATTCCAAAATGGAATAAGATATTTTTTTGCCTTTACAGCAATAATTGTAAATGAGATTCTCTCACATTTTTAATGTGCTGATGTTCAACTTAAAATGTTAAATGCAAATTCAGTGAGTTCTTTTTTTTATTAATATGGAAAAGTATTTCTTGCGACATTTGTAGGAGGTAGCAGATCATGCAATTTCCTGAAGATATTTTTAAAAGCTTCAATCTGTGTATAGATTGTAAAACAAGCAATTACAATTCATTTTGTGTATAATTTACATACATCAAGAGTGATTAAGGCATAAATAAATTTAGTATATTAAATTTAATATTCGCCTGCCATACAGACAATACTTAAGGATTGTCAATTGTATAAATTTTATGAATTCATTTCAATTTCACAATATTTTGAGCATTGTACAGCTATTTTCCTGCGTTGATTTACGAAGATTATGAGTCATAAATGTAAACTATATTCAGCCATTTCTTTGCATTACAAAATTATTTGATTTTTCTGCATTTTTACTTACCACGAGATTATTATTATTATAAATAAATGTCCATCAATCTCTACAAGACTCTTTTGTAACAGTCATAATAAAACCCAAGTATTATTTATTAAGCCTCGTGCTATTGATATATGGCATTATAAAATATGAGAAAATAAGAAAGAAAAATCACCAAAAAGTTCATAAAATAACAAACACTTTATTGCCCCCTTTGTAACCTTTATTATTGTATTATATTTACAAATATCGATAAATTGAGGAATTTGCAAGTTCAGCTGGGCTGTGATTATTCGATTGAAAAGCATTTGACTTCTTAATATGATTATTAACTTGATTTTCTTGATGACTTAACGGATTTGAACATGATTTAGATTCTGAGAACATTTAAAGCCTGCATTAGGTTATACTTAGGATGAAACTTGATTTTAAGGTTGTTCCCAGCAGTTTTAAATGCACTTCGATTAGAAAATTCTAAAGAAAATTTATTTTTTTAAGATTAGGCAACAATTGTGTCTTGGTGACTTAATTCTACCATTCAGATAAGCACAAGGATGAGAGACTTTACCTTGACACAGTGCAATTACAGGACATATAGATGTGCACATTATCTATAGCTTGAGAAATGGCCAAAATTTGCTCATAAAATATTAAATCCACAACCAAACTGCTTTAAAAATCAATCAATAGCCAGCAAAAAGTGTGCTTAAAAATCAGGGCAGTTTTGAAAAGAAAACAAATAACTGAAATCAAAAGAAAGGTTAAAAGGTTCACCGAATGTATTGCAAATCTTTATCTGATTTACAACTTTTCTGGCGCTTTTCTCACATGCTTACCTATGTAAGCTGCTTTTTTATGAACATCTTGCACTCATTCATACAAATGATTCATGTTATATTTCCTCATTTAAACTCACTTAACTGTCTGCGAATGAGAAAGATCGATAGCAATGCTCAATAAATCAACATGATCGAGCATAAAGAGAAGTGAAGCAAAAAAAGAAACAAGTTCGAGTACTTATAATCAATCTTTCTTGCTTTTTCGCACTTTTTTTCTTCATAGTGATGCACAATCACTTAATGTTGTACATGATGAAATGGAACATAACGGCGTTAGTTGTAGAATTTATGCGATTTTTTATTTATTTGTGTGGATTTAATCGTGGGAGTTTTTGCGTGTAAAATTTTTCTTTCCTTCTCAAAGCACAGCGAAAGTTAATTAATTTTTCATGGACAAGTAAAGAAAAATCTATTTGGTAATAGAAGTA